GGCCGTACGCAAAGAGCAAGGGGCACTGGACGCCGCCGTAGAACAACAGACCGTGAAGATTGCCGCCTAAGATTGTTGGCCTTAAGGGACCGTTTCTCCACTACCAGGTCCATTGCAAATGAATGGTTTGCAGAACACGGAAGACCTATTGGCATGCAAAGTGTTTACCGACGAATGAGAAGTTTTGGCTATGTTTTCATACCGGCCACACTGGGTCCTTCCTTTAACTCGAGAACACCGACGTAATCGCCTTGAGTGGTGCAGACAACGGTCACTCTGGGATCAGGAATGGAACAGTATTGTCTTTAGTGACGAGTCTCGATTTTGTTTAGGCATGCACGCTGGTCGTGCCAGGGTTAGAAGGCGACGTGATGAAAGGAGGAATCTACAGTTTTTTGTTGAAAGACATGTTCATCACACTGTTGGAGTTATGGTTTGGGGTGCTATAGCTTATGGTTCCAGGTCACTTTTAATCTTCATCAGAGGTAACATGAACGCGCAGCGTTATATCCACAAGTTCTAGAACCCCATCTTATACCCTATCTTGACACCCTGGCAGATCCAACTTTCCAACAAGATAATGCCCGACCACATGTTGCAAGAGTCACAATAGACTTCTTTCAACATAATGATGTCACATTGTTACCATGGCCACCAAGATCTCCCGACTTATCCCCAATTGAGCACGTGTGGGATATGATGGGTAGGAGATTGCTCAATTTGCAACGTCCTCCTTAGACTCTTGAAGCACTTCGAGAGGAGTTGGTGGTTGCCTGGAATGTGATACCACAGGATTTCATTGACCATCTGATCAGAAGCATGCCTAGGCGCGTTGGAGAATGCGTAGCACATCAGGGCGCATCCACACATTATTAAAGGTCAAAGGGCTTTAAAGCAGTGCAATCATTTTGAAATTTTTATCATTTACTTATTATGCTTCATTAAGTACTTATACAAAATTTTATTAAAATAAAACCTTTTAAACTGGGTGTTCGGATTTATATGTCACTTAGTATATGTTAACGAATTCCATGCAGGATGTTCATTTCAAAATTGTGTAAACAAACTTGGCACACGTACAAATGGCATGTGCATCCATACAGGAAGATTACATTTTCGTTGGTTGGAGCGCCATGTCTGTGTCAGGCCGATAACTTTCCACTCCATCCTCGTACCTAGTTGTCATTTACACCCTCTGTTATGCTTGAGTCGTGCAATATTCTTGGTATACTGTATATACATACACCTGCGTTTTATGGGAGAAGAAGTTATTTATGTACAAAGGCAGGCAGTAAACAACTGAAAATCGATGAAGGAAATGCAGCGTAGTCCAGAACGCATACTCGCAATTTTGTTGGGTTCTTTGTCACTGTTTTTATGACCCATTCAATTTCCTGTTATTGCTTTCCAGGCCGTTTTCAAGTTCTTAGCGCATGAGTGCGTGGAAATTCGTCGACAACAAAGTAATTTAGAACATTTAAATAATGCATTTTGACCGTAGAGGAACAAACGAAATAAGAATTAATATAAACGATAAATTCAATATCTTAAAGGCCTAAATACCCATTGGGTACCGTGGGGCTACAGGGGGATACAGGGGAAAGGGGGAACGCCACACGGACTCTGGCGAGGGAACACGTGTACATCCAACCCGCACACATTCTGGCTCCGCCTACGAGATCCGCCGGGTGGTACCTCCGCGTTTGTCAGTCAGAGACCGATCTACGGACAATCACAACAGCCATAGCCAAGAGAAAAATTTCTCCTGGGACGGGATTCGAACCCGCACAGCGCACGGCGACTGATCAGGAGACCGAAGAGTCTACTACTGCGGCCACCGCTGCTGCCTCCTGTAAGTTGTCTAAGGGGATCGGCTAGCGTACTCTGCCAGAAGATGTACAGCCATATGCTGTATTCCAAATTTTATTAGTCTACGAATTTTGATAGAAGCTTTTAGTATAATCATACACAACGCAAAAATGTTCTATACGTTTCGTAGAAATATTACAGTTGTATTACTGCGCTAGATCATAAATAAATTAAACTGAATTGTTTTTTCATTTATGTTATGCTATTTATGCTACGCATCTAACACTGCATTCTATTTACATACGACTTGACAGGTCACCGATCGTTTATCAACTGCTAATTTGTTTTGCGTGATGCCGAGTAAAGAAATATATCAATCTAGATCTAGACTTCATGAAAAGGTTACACGATAATATTCAAGTGGAATTACTGGATACTAGAAACAATGTTTGCCCAGAGATGGTCAGAGAACTGTAGTAGAGCCACTTTATTAAGGCTTTGTCTGCGCAGTTATAGACAATTATATTATATTATAAATAGACGCAGATTTGATATACCATGTATTCGACGTTCCGATGTGCTACGCTAATGTATTCCATACTAAATAGATCATTGTACTTAATATTAATTTATTACATCATAGGTGTCGATAAGATGAAGATCTGAAAGCCTCATATAGATATATTGGAACATGTAGCCAGAACGTCTACTGAATAACTTATGTCTAAGCGTGTAGATTAGGGTTGCAATTTAGAACTTTTTTATCTATGAATTTTCATTTTGGAATTTCTAAAAAATAATCTTCCAAAAATTCAATTACATGTTATACTCGTAAGTGTGGCAAAACATGTTACCGAAATACCCACATTTACATTTTCAAATGCGACACTTCGTTAGGACTTACATCGGGACTATATGGAGGATGGTCCAATAATTCTACGTTTTCTTCCGTTGCATTGTCTTGGTGGAGGATGATTCTTCTTTCGGGGTTGATTTTTCGAAGCTCGGTGATGACTTTTGGAAAACAAATATATATACCAATCCGCAGTAACAGTTCTTTGCTCATTAAGAGGAATTGATGCAATATGACCGGCTTTTGACACTAATGTCGCGACCATCTGACTTTTGTTGGCCTTTCTTCACTTTGGACCAATTAACCCTGGCTGCTTTCTGCTCTTCACTCAACAGGTGGGGTATCCAACGAGAAACTAATTTTCTTCCTCCAGTTCTTCATGAACATTTTTTGAATTGAAGTCTTTGAGATCTTCAAGGACGCCTCAATCTCGCGATATGTCAATGATGAGTTTGCGCACAGCATCGACGTTTTCCTGGGTGACTGCCGTTTTTGGTGCACCCACCCTGGGATCGTCGCTTAACTCACGCGTCCACGTTTGAATTCTTGGGCATTCTTGTTGCGATAATTGTCTCTGAAAGTTGTAATAAATTATGGCGCGAAAATGTTCTCGGTTTCCATTTTTCTAATGACTTGGTGACACTTAAAAATCCACTGTAGTGAGAACACTGCACGTATTGTTGTGAAACTTTGAATTTAAGTTTACTGAAGAGTGAGGTTAAGATTCAGTACTGACGTTCGATCCGCGCGGCCTACTATGTTTCTATATGCAAAACTTAAAAGACATCCCTCGTATACGGAAACCACTAAACAAAAAGCAGCTATGTGTAATTGAACAAAAACAAAAGCTCAAACTTCTAGTGTCGGTTTAATTTGAATGCATTTTCATATTTTTTTTTGAGAAAATTGCTGAAAACATAATAGACGAAGCACCTGATACTCAATCCAATTTTGAAAAGTATGTGACACCTAGTAAAGGTATGTATTTCAGTTTCCGCCCAATTAGCATCAACGGAGTTCGTCATTCTAACATTCCAATTCTAGCCAAAAGTTACTGCTGAAAAAACAGATTAGTGAATCACTTCAACAAGATTGGCAATTAATAAGTTTGTTTTATTAATCAGGGTCTGGAGTAGAGCATGTATAGTTTGGCATGTTTCTGTGACCTGACAATGCCTTTGACTGAATCCATTCAATTTTGTTAAAAAAACTGTCCATCTATGGTTTTAGTCATAATAACTTGTCGTTGCTAAGTTCCTCCTTGACAAATAGGCGACATTACGGGGCTATCAGAACTATACTTCCAAAACAGCATCCTGGAGTACCACAAGGAACAGTTCTAGGGCCTCTCTTTTTTTGATATATCAACGACCTACTGAACTGCATTGACAATCAATGCATACTTTTTGCTGATGACACCACAAGCATCTCTTCCAACAAAAACTCCCAACAATTGACGGTAAATTCTCAGCAATACTGCACTAACAACAATTGACAATAAATTCTCAGCAATACTTCACTAATATGCAGCTTTGGTTTATAACTAACAGGTTACCCGTGAGTATCACATAATCTCAGTTCCTTGTGAGCAGTATTCCACCACACAACTGCGAATGGACACAACCAATTAAATTTCTTGGCGTTCGCTAGATTAAAAATTGACTTAGAAAACTCAATACATTGACAGATGAACTTTCAACACTAATATATCTGTTCCGGCGTATCATGCATATTTTTAGTCCAAGATTCATTATTGTATATTATTGTGACCAAAGGCGATGTTTGAGAGTTATAGGTAAATGTATTTCAGAGATTGTTGTAAGCAGGCATTTATTAATTTTAGAATATATGAGCTATTTCAAGTTTATATATACTGGAATGCTTATTGTATGTTAAACAAAGTTATAATGGTTTGAAATCCCGAAGGACACGCACAAATAAAATACCAGATCTAACAACTGCATCGTTCCAAGTCTAGATGCGGTATTAATTGCTATGATGCAAAATTTTTTAATGTCCGAGGGAACTTTCACAAAGACTGTAAACACCTACCTACTGACCAAATCTTTTTATAATTTAGAGTAATAATTATTGACATACGATTTCATTATTTTATTCTTATAGCAATTTGTTTCGCTACCCAGTATATTGTGCTGCGTATTTATTGACTTTTTACTTATCAATTTATTATAATATGCAGTATTAATCTGACATGTGTAAGCACCATGTAGTGTATCAACACGAATAAATAAATAAATGGTCTCGTCACTGAATGTTTTCCAACGTGTTACGTTACGGTAAGATAGTTTTAAAACTTTCTGAAATGTAAATATTCTAGGCGAGAACACCATCTGGAGATTTTGCAGCACCAGTACTTCGGAAACTCACCAGAAACCTTTGGAAAAGCTAGTCAGTACAGAGAAAGTTGATGATAATACTCCGGTAACAGTAAGTAGCACTATTAATATTCCTAATTCCACCACAACAAATCTTAAAACTGAAGAGTTTCAAAGTTAAAAATAATTAATTATTAAAATGATATTCTTCGATTATAGTTTGAGATGTAATATACGTCGTTATTTGTTATCTGTTACTAATTGTTTTGCCATGAAATCCAGACTATAGTGCCCGTATAAAAATCACAAATTCCAGTATATCTAAAGTATCTTACATTCCTTTTATTATTCATTTCTATCATTTAATGTACTCCTTACTTCTTTTCTAGGTGATGCGCACAGAATCCCATGTAACGAGGTTCAACAATGCCAGGGCACTCTTTGAAAAGTTAGGGGAAGAAAACAAGAGAGACAGTAGAGTTAATCCCCTTCAAACAACTAAAAGTACATCCTGCGTACCGGATGTCACCAATAGGAGTAGAAGCAGCAGTGCGAACAGTGAAACCAGAGAAACCAAATCACATGGAGGATCAAGGTAAGTCAACTAGATTTACCGTCCTCTTACAAGAAAAAAACGCGATTTGGAAGATTGTGAATAAGTAAATCTCTTTGCAAATATACTTCAATAGTATACATATTTTGATTTGCTGAAAAATGAAGAAAACGATTGAAACTCGGTCCACAGTAGTAATTAGGGATGTTTTATTCATGATCTAGTGTTTGACTTTCACTTCCGATGCCACTGGCGAGAAAGTATTGTAATTGAAGAATTTCGAAAATGCGGTATTATGTATTTTGGATGTTATATGACATGTACATTTCGAAAAGCCATGTCACTCATTTTTCTCGGTCTATCGATCTACCTGTCTGTCTGTCCGCTAATTCCTGGCCGGTTTGTAACTTGGAAAACAGCGCTCGGATTTTTATGAAATTTTCACACAAGGTTACTACTGTACCAAGAACGAAAAAGCTTTGTAATTTTTGAAAATCGGTAAAGTGGGGGAGGATGTATCGCAATTTTTGGCGGCCCTTAATACTAAGAATATTTTACATATAAAGTCGCACAACCGCTGCTCGCTCTCCAGTGAACATCTACGCGACAAATTTTACCTGAATAAAAATGATCAGAGTGACAACATTAGGGCTGTGTTTTATTCAGGTGTGAAGTAAGGAATATATGAGCATTCTTCGAATATGAAGATATTTTGTGGACAGAATACTATTTTTATTACCCTTTCCTCAAGCAAATAATACCAGGGCGTACAAAACTTGTCATCGATTTTACTTATATTCAGAAAAATCAAACTCACAATACCTTACCTTACCAGCCATAATGTTTTCCACAGCCGATCAATAGTAAGCCTACCCAAACATAAGAAAGTTGATTCTGATAGTATCTTCAAAGTCCATAATTTCAATTTTTGCCAAATCAACAATGCTTTTTGTTCACTGACATTCATTCTACTTTACTCAGGAAGAATGATTTTCCTATGTAGTCGGCGAACAATAAAGATACCAGAGCGTACAAAAGTTGATCATGATGCATATAGAAAGTCCATTTGCCCAGAATTGCGTGAGAGACAACCTTCATGACTCCATTTTACTTCACACACCTACTGGCGACGAAGTATTTCATTTCACCATTCACTTCAGTCTGTCTTTCTGTCTGTGGGCCTGTCTGCCTGTCCACTAATCCTTGGCCCGTCAGATTTTAATGAAATTTTCACACAAGGTTAGTATGCCAAGGACGAACAAGCTTTGTAGTTTTTGAAAATCGGTGCAGTGGCGGTGGAGATAAAAGGCAGAACGAAAAAAATGAACATCGCTCAGGCCTCGTTTTTTGACGATTCAGAGGATCTTTATTTGTTTTCAAGTTTTTAGGAGTGAAAGATTGACTATAGGTTCAAGAATGTTTTTGATCAAATCAAAAATATGACTTTAAAGGTCGCTCCAACGAAAAGGTAAACCAATACGGTTGGATGTTACCATTTTATACTAAATGATATAGAAAATGCAACACCGACTAGGAGTGCTGTAATTGTGAGCATTCTTTTTCAAGTTTCAAGGCCTATTAATAAATAGAAACTGATTAAAATTTTGATTCGAAATTTGGCAAAATAGCTGAGATATCCCACCTTACTGTTAATAATGTGATGAAGCTTCTCTGTTCGCTACACATTCAGGCCATCTGAATTTGGTTTAGTAGAGGTTAAAACTTTTGTGGAGGGCGCGGTGAATTTTGCAACCTTCTTCCCATCATGTCCCATATATGTTCGATGGGGGAAAGGTCTGGAGATCGAGGAGGCCACAGAAGCAGTTTAGTCAGGACGCACAGTGCGATGAATATGCCGTTCGATGGAATATTGGATGTTCCGTCTTTCACCACGTCTTCTCCTTACTCTTGCACGACCATCATGTGTGTATCACAAAAAAAGGTACGGCTTGGAATGCCTTCAACATTTTATCAGCATATACTTCCATGACAGCAAATATGTTTACAAGTATTTATCAAAATTCAATAAATAATTCTGGGTGTTGCATTTTATATGTCACTTAGTAATATATGCCTATCGGTTTTACAGTCCGTGAGACCATTGCATGCAAGCTGTTGCAGTTGCAAGATCGCATTGTTTTGTCTGCAAGACAATTGCATCGAATCACACACTTGCATGTATAATACCGGTTTTACAGACAACTAGAACAAGAGAAATGTTGATCAGACTTATGCGTACTAACAAAACAGCTGATTCTTTCTGTCATTTTCTTGCAACTGCCGCGGTGTTGCATAAAAATCAGTCAGTTGGATTTTTCATGTAAGTATGTCTGCAATTCTGGTAGAATCGTTGGTAATTTACAAGTTACCAATGCATGCAAATGTGTGGTTATATTTAATTGTTTACAGATGTACATTTGATTGTGTTTTGATGTTGGGTGTTACGTTTGAAACTACTTTGGATACTAAAACCATGTGTCCTGAAGGGTAAAAAAAACAAAACCATAATTATTGATTATGGAATACTTCATACGTTTAGGTTGGATAACCTTGCTCGTTTGAATCGAGGAAACTACAACAGCTTGCATGCAATGATCTTGCGGACTGTAAAACAGTTTTAATTCAGGAATAGTGTGGTCTGGACAATTCAGACTGTTATTGAAATAAGTACTATATTGCAATCATACTACTAATTTGTTGTAGGTCGCCATCCCCTACAAATCAAGGTTTTGCCGATACATTTAGCAACAGTGTGCCAATGTTGAACAACAATAGAAATGGAATTTCGGGAACCACAACAAATACTAATGTCGCAAAATCAATTTATAAAACGAGTTACTCCACATCTGAAGAAAAAATGAAAGGTAAAATGAAGCCTTCTTTAAAATAAGGATCTTCAAAGTGTAGCCTCTTACTCTTACAAAGCATTGGATAAGATTAAATCAACTACTCAAACCTATTCTGTTTTTCAGTTGAAGAAAGGAGTCCAAAGCCTGCCCTAATGAAGAAACCTGATAAACTTGAAAAAGTGGACAGACCTGATAAACCCGAAAGGCGTTTTAACAGCAAAGAGCTTATTGAGAGGCAAAAGAATTGGACGTCTCACTTCTCCAAAAATAATAGTAGGAGTAGTAGGTAGGTGAAGAATCAATTTCTCGTCTGTTTGTCCGGTAGCACAAGGTCAAATTAGAACCCACGCTCATAATACTTTTGCATTTCCTCAATGAGAATACGTGATTCCTTGTAAAATTACTTTGACCTTGAACTCCCCTTTACGCTTTACGGTCGGCGCCAAAGGTGGTGCAAGGTACTTGGTAACCTCTAAAACGTATATGAGTTTGTTGGTTCCACGATTCTTCATTTGGGTTCTGCGAATTTTTTTCTGTTTTATTGAGTCAATCCTTATGTTCAAAGAATCACCCTGTGCTCTCCTGATTTCTTACGAAGCTGTCGAGAAAATGTGTCAGTATGAGGTCTCTACAGCATATATGCGTTTGTTGGTGGCACAATTCTTCGTGTGGATACTGCGATATTTTTTAGTTTTATATGTACTTATTCGTTCGTGTCGTTTATCGAAATCACCCTGTATAATCCTAATATAGGTTAACAAGTATCTGGTATTTACAGAAGTAGTACAATTAGGTCTAATAACACTAGGAGCGTCAAGTACGAATTAATGTTGTTATTTTGAGAATTAAAATAGCACACAAGTACATGTTCGCGTTTTGCCGTTCACTCTACCACTGGTCATATCGAATTTCGTGATACTATCTAGAACAGTTTGTTTCTTACATAATGAGTAACATAAAACAGCCCTCAGAGGCTGAAAATACCAAATTTCTAGCATATCAACAAAGCTTCTGGTTTGGACTTGATTCTTGCCGTTGCATTGAAGAGGTGTGCAGCGGAGCTTGCTCTTGTTCTTTGGCGTTTCTTCCAGATATCTTACGAATGTGGCACCTTCACAGAAAACTGGAAATTTGCTAATGTCCAACCCATCCCAAAAAAGCGATCTAAGCTCCTAAGGCCTATAGCTCAGCTTTCTGTTATAAATAAGGTGATGGAGAAGTGCATAAATCGCGAGCTTCTGGACTATCTCGAACGTTACGGCTTGATTATCGACAGGCAGTATGGTTTACGGCACCAGCGGATCACAGGGGACCTCCTAGCTTACGTCATGCAATTGTGGAGTAAACTCATCCAGTCTTATGGTGAGGCTCATGTCGTTGCCTCCCAGAGAAGCTTTGCAGATGGGTGGGACTTTCTCTCTGGTCGCAAGATATCTGTCGTAATTGACGCGTTCTCCCCTTCCTCCCACAACGTCAACGCGGGATCGGCCTTGGCTCCGACGCTGTTCCCCTTACATATCAACGACCTCCTTTCCTGGATGATCAATTCAAACCACAGCTTTGCTGACGACTGCACTGTACATGCAGGAATTCAGAAGGACAAGCCAATATCTGCCAGTGAGCTGGAAAAACGAAGACTAGCACCGACTTCCTCTCTGACGAGAGACCTGGAGGTTATCACTGCTTTGGGACACAACAATCTTGAATAGGTTAACGCTTCCAAAAAACAAAGTAGTTAACCTTGACGAACATAAAAACGTCATAGCGCTCATCCGGTTTCAATGGATGGCCGAGTTCTGCCAAAGTGCCGTTCATTGCGGCTGGTCGGAGTCCAGATCACCGAGGACTTGATCTGGCACGAAGTACTTTTCTGCGCATGACCTCCTCATTCTGTATAAGGCCCAGATAAGTCCTAGCCTCGAGTATTGCTCACATATTTGGGGAGCAAGGAGGGCTGATCGACTGATCGATGACGCCGTCGGCGATCTATTTTTTTAATACTCCAACTACCACGAAGGCCTAAGGCCTAGATACCCATGGGGTACCGTGAAGCGGGATACAGGGAAAAGGTGGGATGCCTCCCGGACGCACACACGTGTGCATACAACATGCATAAATTCTGGCCCCGCCTACGAGATACGCCGAGTGGTACCTCCTACGGACAATTACAATATCCATAGCCAAGAGAAAAATATCTCTTGGGACAGGATTAGAACCCTCGCAGCGCATGGCGACTGATCACGAGACCGCAGAGTCTACCACTGCGGCCACCGCTGCTGCCTAAACCTCTCAAGCCGGTAGCCATCTTTGACATTTGAGGTTTCTCATTGCGAAATTTCTATTCCATTACACCGTACCTACAAGTGAGCAAAACTCGACCTACTCTTTTTTTCCTATTCCAGATATAATAGTGACCCGAATAAATCCGAAGCCAAACTGGCATCAACGAACGGCAACAAGGAACATGCTGCTCAAGACACAAAATCCAGTGCCATAGCCTCTCGAAGCGCGTCGTTCACTTCGAGTGGGCTCACATCTCCTCCGACCTCACCACCCATACCGCCAGTGAGGACGGAAGCTTCCAAGAGGTCTAACTTCGTGAGGAAAGAAAGACCAGCATCTGTAATACCCAGTCCTGCGGATTACAATGCTTCCGCGGGGTATGCCAGTCCTACGAGGAGCCCTCTGAGGTCGCCAATGAGAGACGAGGAGCAGTCCAGGAATAGGTAAGGTCACTTGGGGGTTGGGTATTTTTGAGAGGTTCGTAAATACAATGAAAATGTATCATTACCTTGACCCTTGACCATGGTTAACCATCTGCCTGATCCTACTGTTCCCTTTATTTCTGATATTCCCTCTGATCTCGCCACCTTTACCTCACGGAGGATGGAGGATTCTAAGAGTTCTAGGAATAGGTGATCATTTAGGTGTTTTTGTTTCTACTTTTCCCTCCAACCTCACCATCTATACGTCCACTGAGGGCGAAGGCTTCCAAGAGGTAAAACTTCGTGAGGTAGTACTAGCCGTACGAAGAACCTTTTGAGGTCGCCAATAAGAGACGAGGAGCAGTCTATGAAGAGGTGAAGTCACTTAGATGTTGGATACTTTTTGGGAGGTTCGCAGATACATGAAAAAGTTATCATTGTCTTGACCCTGGTCAATCCTGTGCTTGTCCTACTATTTCCCTTATTTTATTTTTCCCTTCGACCTCACCACTCATACCTCCAGTGAGGACGGAGCTTCCTTGAGGTCGAATTCCGCCGAAGGGTATGTTAGCCTGTTGAGGTATTTCATTGCCCATACAGAGTTCAAGATTTTTAAATATATTCCGAGCTTTAAGAATGTCTAAAATTACCGATTGTAGGTATGAACATATTACAAAAGTAAGTGCGTGCTAGCGGATCGTCTAAAACTTCTTGGATGAAACTATCGCTTCATGACGATAGTTTCATCCAATATTGGGTCATACCGAATAACGCTGTCTACCTTTTTTGGACACAAAAATAAACCTTTTTTAATATAATCCGAGCTTTAATAAGGTCTAAAATTACCGAACTACAACGGTGTTAGGCGGGATATTTTAGAAAACCTAGGCTTCCAGAAGGTCGAAGGAGGAAAGAGAGACCTGCGTCTGTAATGTCCATTAGTGATTGACGTCTGTAATACCCAGTCCTGCGGATTATAAAGCTTCCGCGGGGTACGTTAACCCTACGAAGAACCTTTTGAGGTCGCCAAGGAACGAAGGCCAGTCTAGCGCTAGGCATTTGGAGATGAACATTTTGTAGGGGTCCGGCGGACTTTGAAAAGTATTCCAATACCCATACAGAATGGATTCTGTTGGTATTCGGTGCTTGACTCTTTTTCTCGACTTTTTCCTTTCCCCTTCTTCACTTAACACCCAGTAGATATTGGTATATCTGTAATATCGAATCCTGCAGACTACAAGGCTTCTGCGGGGTATGTTAGCCATATGAAGAGCCTTTAGAGGTCGCCAAAGAGGAACGAGGTGCAATCTAGGAATGAGTGAGGTCATTTGGAGTTGGATACAGCTGACCTAAACACATTTTACTCTGCTGGTATTCTAAACTTGACTCCATTTACTCTCAAATGTTTATTTCACCGTCTTTACTTTTCTCTTCTGACCTCACCTCCTTACCTCGCTTGAAAACGGAGACTTCCAAAACATCGAACTTCGTAGAAAAAGAGAGAATGGCCTCTGTAATACCCAGCCATGTGGAGGTTTCCACGGAGTATGTCAGCCTTACAAAGAGCCAACTGAGGTCGCTAATAAGGAACAATCAAGGAATAGGTGAGGTCATTTGGGGGCAGACCATCTTAAGAGCCGGAACTATTTGGCTTTACGACGAACCTAAAAATGTTACCTTCTTTTGCGTTTGACTACTTTCTGACCTCACCACCTTTCGGAGGCTTCCAAAAGATCGAACCTTGTGAGGAAAGAGATACTGATGTCTGTAATACCCAGTTGTGTGAATGCTTCCACGTAGTATGTCGGCCTTACAAAGAGCCATCTGAACCTATTGAGGGACAATGAGCAATCGAGGAATAGGTGAGGTCATTTGGGGGCAGATCATCTTAAGAGCCGGAACTATTCGGCTTTACGACGAACCTAAAAATGTTACCTTCTTCTGCGCTTGACTTTACTTTCGAAGTTAAAATAGTATATTCATGCATTTTTTTTATCAATAGGTCTAGTTTGATCCTGTCTTCCCCAGACAACGATATCGACCGAGATCTCGACTTAGTTGGTAGGAATAAAGAAAACGAAGTGCCAGTGAGAAAAAGACTGTTTAGGTAACCAACCTTCAATTTGTATTTCATTCAAAAACAGTATGACCACGTTTATAATGCCGACTCGGAATAGCCCAGGAATATTTATGCTAAAAAATGTCAGTTGCGATTCTTGTTTCAGAAATCTTATACTCCTGAGCTATTCCGAATCGGAATTTCAAGTGTGTGTGCCGCTTATGAAATCTATAGTCCCTTTGTGTGATGATAATGAATATCTCATTATCCGCAGGGAATCCAGTAGTCCTGAAAGGGATGCTAAGGATGCCATACGAAAATCTCCATTGGAGGAGAGGGAATCTAGTCGTGAAAACTTATCTGCTGCTTCAGGTATATGTATTTTGATTTTACTTACATTTGCTACATTCTTATAGTTAAGTTATTTAAAATGAAGTTGTAGAGTTTTTAAGAAAATTGTATGTTATTGAAATTTTGAATATGAGAAATTATAAGCACACACTTCTTTATTTAATAGGTAGTTTATCTTCCCTGAGTCCTCCCAGTAGTCCTGGGAAATTGAGATCGGAGCAAGAGAAACAGGAACAAGAGGCAAATGAAAAATGTACATTCGGTGAGCTTATCAAATATAATCATATGTCATATGATATCAAACCTCTTTTTTAGAAGCTCTATTCAAATATAAAATAAAATAGTGTGTTCTATTCAAACAAAATATATGTTTGCTATGGCACGAAGTTACGGAACACCCTGTATATATTAAAATAATTTTTGAATATGCGCTATACCCCATTCGTATTCCATTTACGCCCAGACAAAACACAAGATGCCCAAAAGCGAAATTGCAATGGTCTTGGAATAATCTAACAAAATAAATGATTATTTTTATAGAAAGAGGTGCACATACTTTTCACAATTCTTTATTCGCTGGAAGTACTTGAATCATCTTCTTAATGGTTAATATTAATTATTACAGGTTCAATTTGAATATCGATCATATTGTCCAGATCCCACATCACTATGTTGACAGCTTCATAAAACAAATTTTTCACGTCAATAAATTTGAGTCTTCTATTGTTTGAAGCCACATAGTTTTTTTTATATTTGCCCAAATCATATCAGTGGGATTTAGTTCGCAGTGATAAGGGGGTAGCCTTAAGAGGGTCTTATTTTGGTTTTTAGCCATTTCGTCAATAACATTGAGATTGTATTTATATTTGTGCTGCCTGAGTAGATGGATAAGTTCTGCTTTGACCATATTTTCAGTGAAACTAATGTCTTTTGATAAGAGCCATTGTTGAATTTTTTCCTTTCTTGTAGATACTATGGGAATTTTTTCTAGTTTTCTAGTGTGGTAACCAGCATTATCAAGTACAATGACGGCATTGTCGTCAAGCTTTGAGAGCATTTCTTCAAAACAATGGTTCAAATGAACTCCCATCCATTTCTTCATGGTAGTCGGTCGTTTTCTTTGACTCAAATGCCCATAGGGCAGTGGGCACAAAGCCATCTTCACTGCCAATGTGACAGAAACAAATCGTTTTCCTTTTCCTAGAAATAATTATTTCATATAATATTCAAGAAAACTAATAATAATAGAAGCAGATTATCAAACACGTGTTGGCTTAAAATCTACCAGATATAGCTGAGTTTAGTGTAGCTAAGTTTCCAGTGTTGGCTCATAGATTCAGTCTACTTGACACAATTTTTACAACACAATTAACGAATTGGTTGATAAGTACCTGACGGATTCTTCGGGCCAGTGGTTAGTCCATCTAAGAAGGCTTGTCTTGCTGATTTAATTGCAGATTCAGCCCATACTTTAGGTTTTGTATGTAATGCATTTATCCAGGTTTCATCACATAATAAATCTTCCTGCCCTGGTCGCGGTATTTCTTTATTGACTTCTCCATAAAATAATCTCTTGGCTGTCCACCAAAATACTATTCCTGTCCCGTTTTCTATACTCAAAATGAAGTCCTTTGAGTAAACTATAGAATGTGGTCCTTTTGAAAGTAGGTAAGTCTTCATCACTATTAGCTGGAATACTTTGTCTATGGTGGGAAGTTCCTGCCTTTCAAAAAATTCGTGGACTTTGCATCTGATGGCATTCCGATCAAAGTTATCAACTGTATCCAACAAGTTCGTGTAATGCAGAGTATTGTGTGGTGGAGACGATTTTTAGTTTTTTTTATATTCTTTAACAATGCTGAAAATTGTCTTAGGACACAAGACTGTTCTATTCGCCACACGTCTTTCAATATCATGAATTTTCATTAAAGCATGCTCTGAAATTTCGCTCTTATAAACGTTAAGGACAATTTCTTTGCATGGCTGAAGGATGCTTTGGGAGAAATATTCTCAGTTTCCTCTGCTGTATCCGTAGGCGACATGCTAAAGTATAAACACAGGCTATGTATGCACCGAATATGAACAGCAACTGCCGGCGTCGGCGGGCCGGCGATATCCCGAGCCTGAGTTCTATCCTGTCGAATCCTGTACTTGTTCGTAGTTTTTTTGTTGTGCAGGGGCGTAAATAGACTACGAATAGGGTAGAAATAAATAAATCGAGTAGTACAGGGTATAAAAAAATCAAAAATATCGCCTTGGGGTAAGTCGGTCCCTGACTATCTAATCGTTTGCGAGATTGTCATGTTTGTCCGGGACACCCTGTATATAATCTTACGGTCAATCACTCGATATAGCTGCCCCGTAACAGTATGTGGGCGCCGCGCCGACCGCGGATATAAAAAGACCGTAACGACACATATGGAGAAAATAAAAAAAGAATCCTCAGTCCAATCCCGCCGAGTATTGCCGAGATTTTAAAATTTATAAATAGCCGCCTCGAACTGTCTACTGGAGTGCTAAATTTAAAGTGCGCACAGTTCGGGTTCGGGACTAGAAGTATTACAAAACCGAACAAACCCCAAACATATGCTGTGTTCTATTATAGTTGGACATTTTGTTATTAGTAATTTTGTGAAATTTTCTGTGATAATACAAGTGCCAGAATAGCTAATTAGTGCCACAAAAAACATTAATATAACGACAATCTGGTGAATGTCATATTGTTGCCTGAAAAACTCGTTGATAGTGATGGTTGATGGTTAGGTGCATGTTTTGTAATAAGGCGAAAAGCGTATAAAATGTTTTCAAATAATGCTCGTCCTGTATATTCAAAACGAGGAGGTTTTTCAAAAATCGTTAAATAATAAAATAGGCATAGAAATATCCTCAAAATGTTCTTGAATATCGTTCTGAATGTTAGTCTACGACTAGGAAACACCTTGTGTAGACAACCTTGAAACTAACGTTTTCAAAGTGTCGGGTTGTTTCACATAACAACATGTGTAACATATCGATATATAATTAAAAAAATAACTCCAGTAGTATTTTTAGTGGATATTCGAATATCAAAAGCACATTATCTTTAAAAGGTATAACTACGGCATAATCTGCACAATTGAAACAAACAGGACGAACGAAAAATATAACTGATAACTAGAAGTTTTTACTGGATATTATTTGAATTTTTTGCTTGAACTCAATGGAATGTTAAGGGTTGTAAAAAATCGGGACTTCTGAAAATTTTAGATACTCAAAAATTGTAAGCATCATGAATCTTCAATTTGCCCAAGTTAAACGTCTGTAAGTCGCTTTATAAGTTTTAAACTACGCCTAGAAGTCATCAAGAAATTAAAACAGTTAAACTACGCTGTTTAAAATGCTTTGAAATTCTGACCTCTTTGAAATCCACCAGAAACCCTAAGAAATTCTAATCCATCAGAAATCCGAAAAACTTTAAAATTTCGATGCTGTTTTGGTTTTTGAAACCTTTTCTCAAAACTATTAAAGTCAAAATTAAATGACATTTTTACGATTTTGAATTAGCCTAAAAATTTACATTTAAAAGCCAGTCACGCCGAGTCATGCCGATGTGAATTATTAACGGTTTTTTGCTCAAAAATCCAAGCATGTCCCAAATTCGAATTGTGACTACAACACCAGCTTTGCCTACTCAAAATGAACTCTAGGTATGATTCTATAAATTAATACTTCGCTGCGATTATTTTAGAACTCAAAGCCGTACAGATTGTAATTTAACATCAGTTAAGTACGCCTTTTCATCCTGTAAATCAATTGCCGCTAGATTGGCGAAACAAAGCAGTTGTTGCACTAAATTTTACTATCAGTAATAATTTTATCACGCCCAGATTTAGACACTCCATAATTTATTGAAGTAATTTATATTAAATAAGAATGGTGTATGGTGAACTAGATGGTGAAATTGCTGAAGATGTGCCTTAGGTTGAGACTTCTATGTATTGACTGCTCAGGTACTAAAACTACGCTAAACATTTGTCGCCTTTCCTTAAAATCCTCCATATTTAGTTTCAGCATTGGTTTAATTTTAGTTAATAATAATTATTGATAGATTATCAATGCCTGCGGGTACGCAGGTGAAAACCATTTCCAAGCAGCGCGACACTCCATAATGAGCGTTAGATGGGTACTGACCAAAATCGCTCATCTATGATCATGGAGGTGGAAACCTTGCCTTGGAATGCACGAGAGCCGCGTTTGCCAAGGGAACCAATGATGCAATGTTGCAGAATTTGTGGCGAACCTGACCTTTCATTTCGACCTAAAATGGAGCGCCATAAGGACCGATCCGGAATCGGTCCTAAACAGATTCGACACAATTCAAAAATGCATACGCTCAAAACAAAGCCATTATTTGGGCATAGGGAATAAACTAACACGTATTTTCAACATGCGACTCAATTCAAGGAACTGGTGTAACATATTGACAACGCATCAGATTGCCACGTCAGCGTTGCTATGCAACGCGGTGATGAGCTTCGCAATCAGCCAGCGTGTCCATACACACTTCTTTCTGTAAACATTGAACTCAAGCCGTCAGACAAATTTGACTCTCAGTGTATTCCAGTGGCTTTCAGCAAGGTCCCCTTCTAAGTGTTTTTTGAAAGCGTTAAGGTAGTAAGTTGAAATTCGGAGTGGTGTGAAGTTAATGCATCATATAATTTAACATTACAGCAACAGTTGAACATTTTAAGATGACGTAATTATTTTTAAATGGAATGGGGGTCATGTGATACCTTATTGTGAAGCTCCATATGAATACTCTATAATCCTGGAATATAAAATCACTATCTTTCAAAATGGCACGCAATCAATGTTGAACGTCTTTATATATCTTAAAATTTATAGAATGTAATATCAAACTTCTTCTGGAATGAATGTGCAATAAAACATCAGACATTTTTTTACAGATTTTGACAATTTTTTTGAATGGAATGTTTCATATTTTATTACATATTCGAATAACCCTTCCAAGAGAATAATAATATTTATTCACTCAAGTAAACAACATGAGTAAATATGAAAATATAAAATAAAAACAGGCCCATCCCTATGCAATAATTTCAAGCTGTAACTGTAGAATACAACTTACAAAAAAAAAAAGGCAAGAGTTAGTCACAGTAGATTCTGTATTTCCTTTATGTTCGTATTTATGAGTTTATGAATTTTAGTCCTAGATATAGAATGAAGTCAGCTATTTCAAATTTCTTTTGTAATAATTTCGAATCCGAATAAAAAATATATAAAAAATTTGGCGCTAAATCGAGATATGGCCGCTGCATTATAGATTTATGTGGCTGAGGAACTACTGTGCCACGAATTTTGTACGTTGTATAGTGATTGTCTAATTTTTTGTTGGCGTTTTGATGATTGGTTGTTGCATTCCATGCAATAAAATCTTGAAGTTTGTTACGGGTATTTCCATTTAGAACATAGTAGCACTTGGTCATCAATTTCATCACCCCGAATTTCAACTTCTTCCCTCTTGACCCGTTTAAAAAATAAGTAGATGAACATGAAAAGCACGGTGTATTCAGTACAGGTGATGCGATGTCTATACTAGAATCACAAATTATTGTGCAGCTACTAGAAACTGTCTATGTTATTCCAGAGGCTAAGTAATTTTTGAGGAATTAGGAAATGCATGTCACAACCTCGAGATATATTATACACAAATAAGAAAAAAATAGCTAATAGGAAGTTCTATCTGCAGATACTCCCGAGTCGAGACGTAGCAAACCAGATGCAGAATCGCCTAGATCATCTGAAGATGGAAGTCGAACAAGGACATCAGCGAAAGCTTCAACAGTGTGCCTCAACTTGCCTGCTGCCGGTTTGGGAAAAAGGCCTGCTTCTTTGGTTAGCTCTGCTACATCGGATAGTGAAGGTACGATAATATTTGTTTAAATGTGCCAATATATTCTTCAACTTGTATGATGTTCAGGGGAGGGCTGTCCGACGGATCGGTGACTCTTCTCTAACAGACAGTCTTGAGACACTTTCACATCGGCGACGGCGGTTTTTGTGACATAACGTAGGTTTTTCTACAAGCTGTTAGCATAAGCTGTTGCACACTTGTTGTGAACTCGTTTTGTTGCTGTACGTGTTGCTTAAACGTGGCAAATGTGGAATGAACTATTTGCATACTAAAAACTATCTAGTCTGCAATATGACATTTCGTTGTTTTTTTACTATTTTTGGGTTTTTTACATAATAGCCGTGCGCTTGCGTCGCCGATCCGCAGATCAAAGGTGACAATTTACAGAAAAACCTACATAATGTCAAAAAAACCCACATGAGCTCATAAAAAATCAATGTTGTCACTTTTTAAATAACGGGTGCTGATGGGACTGAGACGTCGGAGAATCGGAGCGAGACAAATCTAATGACTCGGCTTTCAACGCGAACTAAGATACCTTTACAGTTCCAATAGCTGCTATTCACTTTCACGGTGGTCGACTGGCATTGCTTTTAGTGTATCCAGCATATGTTTATACATATTTTACTTGTTTTATTTCTAGGTGGTTTCACCGAGCCTTCTCCTCGAGTTGAAGCCCGATTAAGGCCACACGAAGATTCTCCTGCTCCGCTACAACCATCTGGAGGAATTGGCTCTCCTCCAGAAGAGGTGCGTATAATCATGCAAAATCAAATTTCACTATAAACAAAGAGTAGTTGTATCAAGAAAAGACACTTCGTAGAATGTCATAATCCGCCGGTCGGCTTCATTTACCATGTTTTCCTTCTACATTATAGTAGGGTAACGGACCGCAAAATTTTATTTACACCATCGCGTACTGATTTGATACGATAACAATTGGTCAAAACTTACATATTTTGATGCTAAACAGCAAACTTTCCCAGTTTGTTGTTCAGCATCAAGTTTCTAGAATATATCATTACGCGATTTAACCAAAACATTGCGGTCGGCTCTTGGACTATTACTGGCTTACAAAGGAGGTTAGGCGATGCACTCATAGATGACTCGACATTCTGTCAAAGATCCGCGTGTCTAGCTCTGTATTTACTGAGGCGGTGTTGCCATACTGCCGTAAAATGTTTAGAAAATGCTACATTTATACTGAGCTGATTGGAATTCAGTTCTTCTCACGGTTTTTGGTGATTACTTAAAGAAGTCATTCGAAAGTAAACATATCGTCTTGAGGCTAGGCTGTCTATATAACTGGCAACAGTGTCCAATACACCGACGATTGGTCAAATAAGCAATTTGAGGTAAGAAGAAATTTGAATTTCAAGCTGACATTTCTCTTTTGTTACTAAACTAAATCGTGTAAAATTTCGCGCAAGGTCCTAAAAGTCAAATAGCTATGTGATAAGTTACATTTTTTTTGAGAATAACTTCTGTTTACATGAATTATTGAATAAAAAATATGTTTCGTAGGCCTCAAGCAGAAGATAAATATCCCCACCATGAATAAATGCCCAAACAACAGTAAATTTGAACAAAACACTTCGAGTAATTAGTAGTAGTGTTTAGATGCTATCAGCGTTTTGTGGACACCATGTTTTTGGATACATCTCTTATCTCTCCCTAATTTGCTCGCCTTATCTTACCTATCTTCTCTTGTTGTACCTATCACTGATTTTTTAGCTAGTTACAGTACGATGTTGCACTGATAGCTGCGGCTGACTATGTCCTTAAAGTAAATTATAACATGATGCAGTTAACTTCAGGCAAAAAAGTCTGTTTGACGGATGTCCTCTGAAGTAATAGAGATATAACCGAAGCATTGTATCACACATTTTTATGAACTTGAAGATTTGGAGACGTTCATTTTTAAAATGTTTTCCATCTCTCCATTATATTTCCCTTTGACTATATCCTTGTTACATTTGTAGGATATTCGAGAATACAGTGAAGGTCCACCACTTTTAGAAGAAGAAGAACCTCCACCTCCTCCACTAGTACCAAGACTGACTCAAGCTCAAGTGGAAGCCCTGTATGCAGTTCCATGCAAACCTCATGCCAAGGTACGCAAACCAATTATGAAAAAAATTTACGAGCAATAAAAAAATAAAGTCACGGGCATATATTATAAATGAAGGTCCACTTGCAGTTTAATTTCGTTAATACTAGACTTGTTATGTATGGTTGTTCGGCCAGCGGTTGGGGAGAAATTTTACCTCTGACTGTCATACTACTTTAATAATCAAAATACATAGTGATGTAATTTTAATAGACAAGAATGTAAAATTACAAAAAATGTATTGAAGAAAAATATGTAACCGAATTATTATATAAAATTGACATTGTAGCATTAATGCTAAATAAATCTTCAACAGCAAACTAATACATGTAAAATTAATGTTTTTTAGGTGTCACCTCAGCCCCAACAGCCTCCTCGATCTCCGTCTCCACAGACACCTCCGGTTCCTCCACATCCCACCAGGGGGAGTATGCTCCAACAGAAATCAGTACCTTCTACGGATTCTGAAACCAGCCAGGTATCTCAAGTCACTGTTATCCCACAGGATTCTGTCGACTCTGACGTTATGTATCACGATAAATCGCAGGTAAGGTCCGCAAAATATGTATTTGGATTTTCCAAGCTCACTTTAGGAAATATTAAGACTGCCGCTCTTCAATCAAAGCTTCGGCAAAGCAAAAGCCAAAGATTTGACCTAAGGCCAAAGGTTTCAAAATAAATTAACTCCCTAGGCCTGCTGAAGCTAAGCAAGAGTTTTCTTTGCACTGTGCTCAAGTTTGAAGCAAAACATGATAGCACACTGTTAATCGAAATTAATATCACCCATTTTTATAACACAATAGAAAAAACTGTTTCAAAAAAAAATTTGCTTCGCACAACCAAATGACTCGAGAGAGTTCAAACTTGTACTGAAGATGGATCACATTGTTCCCTGTCTCCCCTCCAAGCCCGGCGTCTCCAGTGTTTCAGATCGAACGCTTCGTTGCTAATCTCATCACTTAACTTACTGACCTCGTATAGTCTATAACAGTATCTTGAGAAACATCATCGATTCGGGTCTTTATTAGTAAGCGACAAATGTAGTTGTAACCAATACTTTTTATAATACAGCACATCACAAACTCAGTGCTGGCCGACCTAGAAAGTCAAGAAGCTCAAGATGCACTAGATCAGGACGACTCAGTGGACAGCAGTGCTAGCGTCCGTTCAGAACCGTTTATAGTAAACAAAGAAATCCTGCAGGACTTTTGCCCCTCCAGGCACAATTCTGAAGTACAAAAGGCAGAAGCCAACATTTTGGATCTCAACGACGTGGAGTATGCTGATGCAAGTGACACAGACCAAGAATCAGGAGTAAGGAAAAGTAATGAGACTGACGTGATGACGCCTGATGAAGCCGAGCTTTTACTTAGTAGCAAGTGAGTACAATCTTCCATGAAATTGTAGGTAATTTATTGAATTGATTGGGACAATACATACACATAAGACGACAAGTGGTTTAAGGCACTTTTGTTACTACAGTTACAACTTTTAAACAGATTCATGCAGTCTTGTATATTTTAAATTTCTGTGGATAGTAAGTCCCAGTAAACATAGGATTTTAACTGTTAATTAAAATACCGAAAAATGCACGCAAAGTTAACGTTTTTCAATGACTGATCACAAGTGATAACTTTGCCGATCTAAAGTGACTAAGTAGGAAAAATGATTCGTACTGGTTGTGATTGGACCAATCATGCAATGCTCCCATGTCACAAGAACACGTGACTACTTTTCAATTTTACTACTACAATATAGGAAAATATAAATTGTTCCAGTTGTCCAAAAAATCTTATATGTATTTCCAGCGTAAACTATTTCTGCCACTCTTGACGATGCAATTGTCGCACGACAAAATAGCACTTTTTTATACACAAATTATTATTTTATGAATATGATAACTGATATCTAGACATTCTATATCAACTTTTCTTTTATTTCCATGCTTGCTCCTGTCAAGTAGCATTTTGGAAAACAAAAATAGGTAAGTTGATTTTTGTATACAGAAACATCATACATAAAATTGTAATAGACTATTAATCATCTTGACGGCCCAATTTTGGTATTTTCATCGACGTTTTCTTCAGAAAAATCAAATTTCATAGAGACATATCATGTTTGATTCTGTTTAGTCTATTTATTTACTTCAACAAAACTAATATACATATAGATTTCGAGGTGTTCTTCGAGTTTTCACTTTGCTACGTTAACTTTTTCGTCGCGAATTAGTCCATGAAATATCCAAAAGTGAAGATTGGGTGATTTTTATTTTTTTTTTTTCGTTTTTTTTTCCTCTAGCCCGTTCTCCACTAGATCGATTTTCAAAAAATACAAAGCCTTTTCGTCATTGGCAGAGCAATAATGTTGTGTTAAAAATTCATCAAAAATCGAGTGGTACTTTTCAAGGTATCGACGGGCCAAGGATAAGCGGAGAAACAGACAGATAGACCGAGAGACAATTTCGAAAATTTTCGCTATCACAACACTGCCTCGCCAGCGGCATACGATGAAAAAGTGTAATCCAAAAAGAGTTAAAAACTTGTAAAAAACGATATCCACAGTATTGTATGTAATTAATAGTTATTTTGTAGGGTGCGTAATTTCAGCGCACTCTCTATTACGAATATATACGAGAAACCAATCATTGGTTCAATGATTTTATAGTTTTCCGACAAACTAAACTAGAAAAATTACTAATGCACTAATGCTTTTTGTGAGTTGGGTGATTTCGATGTACGAGCGCCACAAAGTTATTATTACACGAATATACCTAAAATATTTAATTATACAGAGGTATTTTATCCTCTAAGCCATGCTGTAAAACAGGGCTGTCCAACTTAATGTGGCCCAAGTGCCACTTCTAAAAAAAAAATGCAATTTGGAGGGCCGCATTATAAAATCTTCCTATACAACATTATTACTGAGTTTTAATAGGTATATATTATACGTACTATATGGTATACAAAAATAGTTTTTCTATTATTTTTATTTATTCAAAAAATATGAAATTACAAAAAAATCAGTGGGACATTTGAGGATGTTGGTTTTCTAATACTAATGCATCAATATTAACATTAATATTTGTTGTTGATAAATGAAGTAACTGAGTAAGTGACTTATCAGAGAGGGAACATCTATACTTTGACTTGATAAATTTCATGTTCGAAAAGCTGCTTTCGCAAAGATACGTGCTTCCCATCATTGATCCCATTGTAAGTCCTAAGTTTCGCGAGTTGGGGTATCGTTCTCGTGGCAGTAACTTAAAAAAGTCCAAGCCAGTTTCAGTTCTTCCTTGGTAAAAAGGATCTGATTGCAAATCACACAATTCCAGTTGAAGGTCTGCTCTGCTTACGTTCTCAACAGAAATTGTTAGTGGCTGAGTAAAAACTGAAATGTCGCTTTCGATTTTTTTAAAGCCATTAAATCGATTTTTGAATTCTTCTGCATTTGTGTCAATGTATTTTATATGAGGTAAATATGAAACTTCCTCAAAATCCTTCATTTCTTCGAAATGTTCTTTACAACTTGGAAAAAATGAAAAATCATTTTTTTGTATTGAAGACTTGAAAAGCTTAATTTTATTCTAAAACCCATTTATGTGTCTAAATAAGATGGCAATATTCTGCTGTTTTCCTTGTAGCTTCAAATTCAATTCGTTAAGGTAAGATGTTATGTCTGTTAAAAATGCAGTGTCTGCTAAAAATTGTGCATCTGCCATTTGATTTTCCAGTTCCGTAGTGTCGGACTTCACTTCATTTTTAAGGAAAATATAAATTTCCTTGCGTAGAGCGAAAAATCGTTGCAAACACTTTCCGGCGCTTAACCAACGAACATCGGTGTGAAGTAACAAGTCCCCATATGTAGCATCCACTTCGGCCAAAAAATCACGAAACTTTCTGTGAGTCAAAGCACGATTGCCCCCTCTAACAATATTAGTTATTTTAACAGCCACTTTCATGACATTTATTTGACGTAACGATTTTCCACATAAGCTCTCTTGGTGAACAATACAATGTATCATAGGACAGTTGATGCTGTTTTGTTTCAATAGTCCTGCAAATCCAATTTCAGTCCCTGTCATAGCTCTGGCGCCAACAGCGACAATACAGGAACATTTATCAAATCCCCCGTAGTCTGACACCAACTTATTCACAGCTTAAAAAATATCTGTACCCTTGGTTGTACCATGGAGAGGAATAAGGTCAAGCATCTCCTCTGCTATACTGAAGTCGTCTTGAATAGTTCGGATAAAAATTACAAGCTGGCTAATGTCAGACAGATCAGTGCTTTCATCCATGCATAGCGAAAAATATTTACATTTTTCAACCACGTCACGCAATTTTTTGGATACATGTTCATTGATATGGTCCACCCATCTTGCAATTGTTTGATGCGATACTGAGACTGTTTCAAATTTTTCGGCATCTTTTAATTCATTGAATTGTTTCGCTATTTCTATTGCACACTTTTTGATAAGCACTCCATCACTAAAATGTTTTTTGCTTTGGCAATTTCCAGCGCTATTTTCTAACAGGCGGCAATACTGCACTTGTTATCAGAGTCAGATTTTTTGAAAAAACTTGTTTTTTCTTGTATTCCGTTATGATAGCCTGCCTCGAGTCCCCTGAATATTGCCGAAACGTGTTCTCGTGTAACGTAGTGTAATATCATTTCACATTATATTCTTTAGGAACCGATAGTACTTGCATACAAACAATGCACTGAAGTTCATTATTATTGTTTGAGATTAAATATTCTGATTTCCAACGGTCATTATAAACTTGATGTTCGTTCGTTATTTTTCGTTTCTGTGAAGACATATTTCACGGAGTATTCCACTTAAAAAGGCTTTAGAGTTGCTGTGTACTGAAACGCACTAGCACTAGAACAAAACTGCCTGTCCCGCTTGATTCAACCTTCTTATACAGGGTGACTTCGAAGTTGAGTGATTTATTTTAACAGTAGATCTGATCAAAAGAAATGCTTTTTTCCTTAACATTTTTCTGGTAAAATTAAAGTAACAAAGTTATAGCCCTTTAGAAGTTTGAGTACCGCCCTGTCTCAATAATAACATTATGTGCTCGTGTTTGGCAACAACGGATATAATCCGCCTTATCGGTTCATCGCATCGGAAACAAAAAAGCGAAAGAATTTGAAACGTTTATCACGATGTTTTTCGTCAGTCGGTAACCCGTGAGTGAATAGTGGTGTTTGTTGCGTTTCGCAAACGAAATAAAAAATGGCACATGTTTACGAAAATGCTGAACTTGTGGACATGATTATTATTTACGGGGGGGAGTCTTTACAAAATGCTGCCGCGGCATCACGGATTTGTGCGAATCGGTTTCCCAATCGAGTGCAACCAACCCCTCGTGCCTTTGTTAATGTAGTACAAAGGGCTCGTGAATCAGGTGACTTAAGACCTCACAGGGGAGGGCTTGCCGGTGCTTCAAGACCGCACGATCAAATACAGGTCCGCACTGAAATACTTGTCGGGAGGATACTTTATAAAACAAGGTAACATTTTTATTTTAATTTTTTTTTTTATTTTTACACTCATATTTTGGATTATCTTCCTTCTACAATCATTATCTGAAAATTAATGACTCAACTTCAAAGTCACCCTGTATACGCGCCCGTGGCTTCTCGTATATTCGGAGATGATCGAGAGATCGATCCAATTTTCAGTAAATTCGCTGCGGCCTGCTATCGGTCGCCAGTGGCGTTACATGTTATTGTATTTTATCGTTAATGTAAGAATTGTGCATATTCGCGGGCCGTATGTTGGACAGCCCTGCCATAAAGTGTACTTTCTTACAACAAAAGGCCCCAAGTAAGTGTTGCTATACCCAAACCCAAAAGCTTTCATCCTCAACAATACTAACATGTAACGTTAAGTGGAATATTGGAAAGACATAGTACACTAATGGAAAAAAGGGAACAAATAGAAATTGTAAATTTTTAGTGATTGTTTGAAGTACTGTATCTCATTAAAAAATGGTCGAAATGACAGTCTAATAGAAGCATTTTAAAGCTTTAAATGTGTAGTTTTTGGACATTTTATAGCAAAAAAAAATATTTGTAGATGCATGTTGCACGCTATTCTTGAAAGTAGTGTGAAAAAAATTCAATTTTATTTTTATTAATCAGGTTGTTTTTTCTGCTGAACCATTTTTTGTTTAGCTTCAATTTTCTTTTTTCGTAACCTCGATACGACCAATTTTTGTTAGATATCCATTTTTTATTGAAGAAGACCCCTTTAACTTTGATTATTTATTGATATCTCTTATAGAAAATCTAAGGATGGTTTTAAAGGCTGAAATGGATTTTCTAAAAGAATCAATGGTGATTTATGGAGAAACAAGTTTCCATGTTTGATGTGGGCCGGAGAAAAACTGGAAAGGAGTAATTTATGGTTTTTATAAAGCTCAGGGCTAAATTCCTAATATTGCAAAATTTCTAATGTTGGGTGTGACGTTTACAGCTCCATACACCGATAATGACCCTGTAAAATTTCACTTTGATCTACCCAGACGTTTTTCTTTTGTGTGAACAATCAAAATGTCGAAAAATTTAAAGAATCACCTTTATTGCTGCTAAAAAAAATAAAATTGAAAATAATTTCAGCTTTTTCCACATTTTTTTTACAAAAAGCGTTATCTCCACAAATATGAACGCTTTTTGTAAGGAAAATGTGTCAAAAGCTCAAAAAAACTCGTTTTCCATTCCAAGGTTTTTAGCGGCAATAAACGTGAACATTCAATTTTTGAGTTGGTAAAAGTCACGCTCAACATTATACATTTTGTCAATATTTACACCTTGGCGATTGGTTTCCCAAAAACCTATAAATTACCGCTATTTTCCAGCTTTTCTTTTCCAAGCCCACGCCAAGGATTAAGGAACATTGTCTTTCCATGGATCCTCTTAAGGAATCCATTCCAGCTTCTGAAATCACCTTTAGATTTTGTGTGCCATGATTGGTTCCCGAGATATCGATGATAGAAGGCAAAAGGGCACTTCATATAAAAATTCGATACCTCGTTAGGAAATAGTCGCATTGAGGTTTTGAAAACAGAGGATAGATGCTGAATAAATGGGCTATTGAGTCCAGATAAAGGTTATGCTGAAAAACATTGTTCCAAAACCTTTGAACTAAGTAAATTATAGAAAAAATTAAACTTTTTTCTACACACTATTTTCTAGGATTGCGTGGGATCTGCGGTTTTTTAGAAATTCTTTACTAAATACTACTACTAAATCCAAAAACCAGACATTTGAAGCCTCAACACGCTTATCTTAGAACCTCAATATGACCATTCTTTACTAGAATACAGCACTCTAAAGTATCGCTAAACATTTACAATTCTTATCTGATAGCTTCATAATTTTCCATCAGCGTAGTTGGTACAGATAAGAAATTATTGCAAATTCCAGGACAAACATCCTATCAGACGAAGAAGCTCAAGAAGTCACTCGCCTGCTAAGCTCCAATGAACCACCCGCATCAAAACTCCAATCATCCATCATCCATGACTCAATGTCCGCTTCGGTCCACGACTCTTCAGGACCAATCTCACTCAACGACAGTTTGGGCCCACCAAGTCTGCTGGACGACACCGCGACTACCAACGAGCAGACCAGCAAGGATCTGCTTAACCAGAGCTTCATTGCGGACCAAACTATGAACCAGAGTTTCTTGGATAGTACCAATGATACCATGAATCAGAGTTTTATCGAGCATGATTCCAAGGTGCGTAGATTGATTGCCTAAAAAAGGTTACATCTATCACCTTTTCGAATTGATCCGTTCATACAAAAATATTTTTGTAATTTAATAGACTGATCTGAGGAACATTCAGTATTTGCGAGGACGCAGTATTGTTAAAAGAAAACTATTTTTGAATTATTATTCATGGTATATGAGGGCGCATTTCTAAAATATTCACAATTATACAGGATGTTCCAACTTTGATCCACATATCAAAGTTGTTTTTCTTTTATGGATTGCCCAACTTTTTCTTAAGCGTTTCGATAGGTCTATTTAAAAGAAAAAGATCGATATGATATACTAATGGGTTTTGATTATTAGTTTTTGCGCTATTGGGTTTTCTATGTGGAAAAACAGTTTTCACTTGAAAAAATTATTTGTGTATCTCACAATATTATAAGACAATTTCGTTTCTTCAGGTGCAAGAAGAAAAAGAACCTTTATCCCAGTATTACGAATCCACATCGAGTTTGGATCTCACTCAAGAGGAAGAAGAACCTTCAAAAATAGACATAAGCATGTCAGCATCGGACTCAGGCCTCATAGGTACAGAGATTTTCACACATTGTGAAATTTTTAAAACAATTTGCGGTTATGGAAATGACAAACGCACTGTCTGGAAATCCTTGTCAGCTCTATACGACTTCATACTATTATATCTCCAAAAGATTATAATTTGACACATGTAATCAAGAGTCATATGTTTTCAAAAATGCCTGGATTTTTAATATTTGAACTGCAAATACAGTCAGGGTATCGGTTCACGAGATAATCGATCACATCTTAGGACACCATTCTCTGGCCAGGTCATACCACTTATTTTAAATTATTATTTATTGTACGACGTTTCGGAGAGTACGGTAGCCTGTTTCAAGTACAATGACAATTAATTATAGTATATATTTTTTTGGTACATTTTTTGTGTACTTGAAAAAGCCACCGTACCGTGGTGGCCGAAACGTCGTGCAATAAACGGCATATGATTTGGACAGACAAATGTAGTCCCATGAACAAGAATTCCACAGGATACGTTTCAGGAGTTACATTTAATCAGTCATCTCTACTACCTTGTCAAGGGAAAGCAAATTTTGTGGGTTTTGAAAATGGGCAAAAAAGAAAAAATCCGGAACCGCCCCGAACTTTTATTTTCGTTTTTAGAGTTTCCTATGATTTCAGGGCATTGCGAAATCCGAACCTCCATTTTTCTACGTTAATAATTTTTCTAATCATCTTAAGGCATAGTAAAAAAATTAGGAATACTGAATTTTGAAATCTGTCAATTTTCAGATATTTCACTTATCGCCAATGGTGCTTAGAAAAGTACTAAGTCAATCTACTTGACGGAATTTTTATATTTAAGATTCAGTGACGAGCATCTCTGAAGGGAATCACTTGGACTCCGCTGAACCATTCGTTCCAAAGCCTGTTAAAATAATCGGGGTCGAGCATGGCGTCCACTACTACGAGGATGGCCATTTCTGGATGGAGGTTCCTGGATTACCTCCACCTGAAGCAGAGGAGGACGAACTGGAATATCCTGCCTTTGTACCGAAACCACCTAGCAAAGTAAGAAGATCGGTCCGGGAAAGGCTTATATCTACAATTATAAAAGAACTTTATCACTTTTGGGATATGAATTTAATTTATTTAAACAAAAATTGTATACCAATTTGGTCTGGGTTATCGGGCGGGTATATTCAATGCTTGAAAACTCGGTTAAAAACTTGATTTTTTAAGATCTTCAAGTATCTAAATTAAAGTTAAAACCGTGCTACAAGACTTTGAATAGTATTTTGAGATTAATTCATTTTAAAGCGTGTTCAATCTTGTTTTTCATGACAAAATTGGCGAACTTCTGGTTTTCGCAGACTGCACCAAAAAACAAAAAAACATCTCAAATTTCCGTCGTTCTGGAACTTGGAAAGTACGGCTAGGGTTTGGATGAAATTTGCACACAAGGTTACTTCTATGTACTATGGCAAGGACAAAAAAGCCTTATAGTTTTTGAAAATCGGTTCAGTGGCGGTGGAGCTACAGGCACAAAACGGAAACAATAAAAACTGCTCATACTTCTGGATGTATCAAGTTCAACAAGAGTAGGATAGGATGCCGAAGTTTGGTGGGTCTGTCTGGCGCGCTTATCGCGCTGCGGCATCATAGATGAGAGCTCTGAGGAGCAAAGCTCGTTGACATAGTGCCCAGAGACCGTGGGTCGGGCAGCTCTCCTCTAGACAGCGTCGAATATCGACAATGTAGTCGGGGCATCAGGACCCCAAACATGCGAGCAGTACTGGAGGCTAGGGCGAGAGTGAGGAGGTTATGTGGAGGAAAGTATTTCTCAGCCCCAAACAAATATGCTACCTTTTTCTCAGCAGCTCCCGCTATTGACGAGATATGTTCGTGCCAGATTAAGTTTTCGGTGATCTGGAGTCCAACCAGCCAAAATAAACAGCTCTTTGGTGGAACTGGGTCATCCATCAAAACTGGATGAGCGTTAGAGCCTGTTAGTCAAGGTAGCCCACACAAATATTTCGAATTAATTGAAAGTACATATTTCAGCTATTGTAACAATATTTTTAGGGCATTTGAGACTATAGATAGGGAAACATTGTTAATGAAATTGCGTCACTATGGATTTATAGGATCAGTATTACACATTTTACAAAATTATTTAGTTAATAGAAATCAAAAAACTAAAGTTGGAAATATTATGTCAAGTGTTCAAAATATATCAGTAGGGGTGCCACAGGGGAGTGAATTAGGGCCGCTACTTTTTATTATTTATATAAATGATATCTCTGACATTTTAGAACACTGCAAAATTCCAATATTGCTTTAGAACTGTTGAATAGTGATATTTAAAAAATTATGAATTGGTTAAATATCAATAAACTTAAATTAAACACTAATAAAACAAAATGTATGTCAATAGGGAAACATTTAGGTGACAATACAATTAGGCTCATGATTAATGATGAAAAAATTGAAGTATTCGAGTCATTTAAATATCTTGGTATATATGTGGATAGTAAGCTACTGTTTCACGAACATTATGAATACATTATTTCAAAAATATCGAAAAAGATAAATTACTTCTATAGAGTTTCCCATAATCTTAGTATGTATTCAAAAAAAAATGTACTATAATTCTTCCCCATTTTTTATATTGTTCAACCATCTTGTTTACAGCAAATGAAAAGATATTTTCAAAATTACAAATTCTACAAAATAAAGCTATGAGAATCATTTTAAATAAAAACAAATATGCTAGGATTAAGTCTATGTTAGAAGAACTGCAGTGGTTTAATGTGAAAAATTTCATATATTATTTAGTACTCGTTTTCATATTCAAATTAAAAAATCATTTATTATCACCACATTTCGAGAACTTCACAAAATTAAATAGTCATTATCATAACTACGAAACTAAAGGCAGTATAGTTTTTCATCTGCAAAATTGTAGTAGTAGCACAACTAGTAAATCTATATTTCAAAAAGGAGTATTTGAATTTAATAAATTGAATAATGATATTAAACAGAGTTCGAATTTAAAAATGTTTAAGGAAGGTGAAATTAAAAAATTACTTTATGGATAATCAATATACATAGTGGCGTAACTTTAATGTAAAATTACAGAAAATGGATTGAAGAAAAATATGTAACCGAATCATTATACAAAATTGACATTGTAGCATTAATGCTAAATAAATCTTCAACAACAACAAAAAAGAACCACCCCTTAATGTATCCGTAATCATGGCTCCTGACTGATCATAGTATCTCAATCATAGGTTTGTTTCTCGAAAGAACCGATGAAGGTCTACTCAACATTTTCAATCTCCGAGTACGACAGAAGAAACGAAGATGTGGATCCGGTGGCGGCTTCCGCAGAGTACGAACTGGAGAAACGTGTCGAGAAGATGGACGTATTCCCAGTGGAGCTGGTCAAAGGTTCTGAGGGACTTGGACTGAGCATCATCGGTATGGGAGTGGGAGCTGACGCTGGCTTAGAGAAACTGGGGATCTTCGTAAAGACCATCACGGCTAACGGGGCTGCGGCAAAGGACGGAAGGATTCAGGTGAGGATGGTTGGGTTTATTCTGTGAATTTTAGTTGACACAAAGCCAAAAGTTCTCGATGATACAACATTGAATATCAGGCCAGGAAGAAAGTTTGTTATGTGTTCATCTCAAGTTTTCGAAAATGTTTATTTTCTTCTAAGGACGTGGCAATATATATATATATATATATATATATATATATATATATATATATATATATATTATATACGGGTGTCCGCAAAGTTGGGGTTTTCCTTTACACGACGTGTAGATCTTGAAAACATAAGCAATTTTTCTTAGTAATGTTGGACCAGCGAAAGATTGCAAGCCGAAAGAATGCGGACAAAAAATTGCGAAGTTGTCAGATGTTCTACATAAAATGCGGTCCATACATATTAACATATTTAAGATATAGAATTGTTCCGCTGAATTTGGCAATGTAGCTGGAAAACCCAGGCCGCAGGTAAACATCCGGTCGCTGATTGGTCCAAAACTCTTATCTTATCTGAAACTAGAATAACGTGCCGATGGCACGGTCATTTATAAACCTACTCCCATAGGCGTAGGCAGTTGGCAAATACTTTGAAAATATAATTTACTGTTTAGTGGTGATAATGGAATTCAAGCATGGGAAAGTTATTCACAGCCAGGCAAGGGAAATAATAGCAAACGTGATACGTGCTTGCGATGCAGAAGCGGCTAACAATACTTTCGTTTATCCACTGGTAGCTAGAAATGCAAGGGCGGCATATTATACGGGTGTTAGTGAACGAACTATAAGTAAAATTAGAAAAGAAGATAAAGACAGGCAAAATGCAACCTCCACACAGCCTTTAGCTTCTCCCGGAAAAAAGAGATCACGCCCTTCTGTGATCCAAAAAATTGATGGAGTCGATTTTTCCATTATTCGGAGAATGATAGAAAAATTTTACTGTGATTTTAAAGTGGTACCTACTTGTAGTAAACTTCTAATCAAACTGAAGGAAGAAATGGAATTTCCATTTGGTAAAGAATCGTTGAGGCTGCTTTTAAAAGCAAAAGGATTTTACTGGCGTAAATGCCACAACAAAAGGAAATTACTAATGGAAAGACCCAGTATTTTACATTGGCGATACAAGTATCTTAGGTCTATTAAAAAGTTCCGGGAAGAAGGAAGGCATATTATTTATTTGGACGAAACTTGGGTTGATAATGACCTCACTTTCAAGAAATGCTGGCAAAGCGAAGAAATTATGGGTGTCCTGAGCAATATAAGTTCTACAGGTAATAAAGTTTCTTTCACCTCGATTTTGCTTATTATACATTTTTCTCAATTTTGGAATATTCTTAATAAGTGCTCATTTAATTTGTCTAATTGAATACATAATCCCTTGCAAGTATTTTTTTCTCAAAAATATGTTTTTTATACATAGTGATTCAAAAAGGTGTTGGCAAACTTAAAATAACACTAAAATGAGGCTATTTATTCATTTCCAGGACGACTTATAATTGTTCATGCGGGTTCGCAAGATGGTTTTGTTCCTGGAGCCTGTCTCATTTTCAAGGCTGGCTGTGCCACTGGTGATTATCACGGTCAAATGAACCAAGAAAATTTCACGAAGTGGCTTACTGAAAAACTATTTCCTAACATTCCTCCTAATAGTATTATAATAATGGATAATGCACCTTACCATTCAGCTTTGGAAGACAAGCCTCCAACTAGATCTTCTCTAAAAAGAGACATCATCACGTGGTTGAGCAAAAAAGGTATAGAGCATGATCCTAATGCTAAAAAAATGGAGCTTTATGAAATAGCTTGTCTACATAGGCCACCATCTGATGAGAAAAATTATAAGATAGATAATTTAATAAGAAGTTTCGGACACACCCCACTTCGAACGCCACCCTATATGTGTCAGTTTAATCCCATAGAGATGATTTGGGCACAAGTAAAATTTTTCATTAGAAGCCATAATACAAGCGGCGAATTTACTATAAAAAAACTAGATGAAATTTCTAATAAGGCCATCGCTTCAGTAAGTGCCAGTGACTGGCAAAAGGTTATTGGACATGTTATAAAAATTGAAGATGAATATTGGGAAAAAGACAGTCTCATTCAAGAAATACAGGAAGAAATAATAATCAACATAGGAGGTGAAAGTGATAGCAATGACAGTTCCTCAGACAGTGATCATGACTCTAATCAGGATTGAAACTATACTAGATTGGCTACCTTTTAGAATTTTTAGATATTCATTTATTATACTATTGGTTTGTGGCTTTTAGTATCTCAGTAGAAAGTCTAATTCTATGTGTTGTTTATGGGTTATTTCATCAAGAAATTACTTTTTGTTTTCCTATATTTTCTATTCAGTCAGATATTTTTGACTTGTTGTATTCTATTTTAGAAGAATGCATAATTTGTTTTGCTGTTCAATCATAATGCGTACATAGGAATATTACTTGTTGCCTAAAAAATATATTTATTTTGTTCTCAATATTCAGTGTTTGTGTATATTTATTTCTTATAATGTATGTTTGGTATCACGTCATTATGAATCGCAAAAAAATATTAATACTACCAGTTGTAATAAAATATAAATTCAATTAATAATTCAAGTCTCTCCGATCTCCGCCTATGACTCCATATAAAATCGTCTAATGGTAAGGTTTTTTCATCGCATTTCCCCCTTTCGTCCCTAGCAATCTTTGGCTGGTCGATCAATACGTACCATATACACCAATGTCTTAAGGGAACCGAGATAAAGGGCTCTGCAACATCAAAAATATCTGAATACCGTCCTGTAGCCGCCACCCGCCGCGATGTCCCAAACTCGTACCGGCTACCAGCTGAACCCGTCGACAGAACTGGGTCGGGGGTCGGGGTCAATGTGTCAGGTCAGTATGCAACCTTCAACCGACAGTAAAGGGTCACGCGTATAGAGGTAACGAACCCGTATAATCGATTGCGTTTCAAAAAAAAAATAATAATAATGGCACACTCATACACCAATAATGAACTCGTTGATATGTTGTTAATTTATGGCGAATGTCTTCAAAATGATACAGAATCGTCGCGAGTGTATGCAGATCGTTTCCCTAGACGACATCATCCAAGGCCCCGCAGATTTGTGTACCTGGTCCAGAGAGTCAGGGATACGGGCCATTTGGAGGAATTTCGAGGTGTGGGAGGCCTAGACAACCACGAATGGTGCAAGTTGAGGAAGAACTACTGAATCGCGTAGACGAGAATCCCTCAACAAGCACTAGAGACGTGGCTAGAGAAGTGCAAGTATCACAAACTAAAGTGTGGCAAACGACCAACGTGTACAAGCCCTTCAACCTGACGATTTTCCAGCAAGAGTGCGGTTTTGTGAGTGGTTGTTGCATCAACATGACAATAATCCGGACTTTTTGAAGTGCATATTGGTGACAGACAAATCTACGTTCACGCGTAATGGGGTGAATAACTTTCGATTTCAGGCAGAGACGTACTTAGCCCTTCTCGACAACTGGAGAGTGAGTACTTTTTCATTTATTTTTTTTTACTTGGTCGCCCTCGTTTCACTACACATTACCTTTGTTATTTCAAGGGTAGTTGTTTCTGAAAAGGAAAACCCCAACTTTGCGGACACCCTGTATAGCTACATGATGAGCTAATATTAGTTAACGCTCATTTTCAAATATGTCGGAATATACTGATACGAGCGCCACATGGCGACCATTCCGGGAACTTTTTGATCAAGGTGGTAAAGTTTGACATAATGAAGTTAGCTGGATACAATTTCAAATGACACTATTATTTACCTAGGTGGGAACCGAGAAGGCAGAGAGCAGCAAAACTTCGCACGCTTATGCTAACGCTAGAGTCCGTGTGGCGTTCCCCCTTTCCCATGTATCCCCCTATAGTCCCACGGTACCCAATGGGTGCTTAGGCCTTAGGCCTTCGTGGTGGTTGGAGTATAAAAAAAATGATTTTCTCACACAGCAAATATCACTGATTTTATACACATGCAGGCCAATACACATAATCATTCAGATGCGATCTTGCTATTCAACCAACTTTCTTCTCAGAGATGAAAACTACAGACTACTCGGCTTCTCAAAACATATGCAACCAACAACGCGCGTAGAGTCATTCCTCTATAGATGGACGCTCACAACGATCCTAGTGAGGAAACTTGGAATGACTGTTTGCACCCTAAAAACTACCTAGTCTGCAAGATGACATTTTATAGGTTTTTTTGACGTTTTATTAGTTTCTTACATAATACTTGTGCCGGCTTTTTTGATTTTGGATGTTTTTCATCATTTTCCGAATAAGAATTTTTTTCTCGAATTCACCGGTCAGCTTCCTGCAACAACAAAAACCCTTGAGACTTCCAGAATGTGTATTAAAGCGTGCGAACTATCTTCATGACTCCGTCCTTTTTTCCAGGTAAACGACCAAATCATCGAAGTAGACGGCAAAAGCCTTGTGGGTGTAACCCAAGCCTATGCAGCTAGTGTCCTGCGAAACACTTCCGGCCTCGTAAAGTTCCTCATCGGAAGGGAGAGAGATCCGGAGAACAGCGAAGTGGCCCAACTGATCAGGCAGTCATTGCAGGCTGATAAAGAGAGGGAAGATAGACAGAGACAGAGAGCTGCAATGGAGGCTGCCGAGTTGGCTGCTGCTGGGACGCAAAGTGATGCTAGCACTGCTCAGCTATCTGGTAAGGATGTACATTCATCAGCAGCTTTTGTACGAACGAAACCTAAATTGTGCAATTTAACAGCAAAAGCGACATGGTTCATATGACTAAACTCAATAGAGAACCTTAGTCTCAACCACACTAAGTTTAAACAGTGTTCGGTTAAGTTCCTTAGAATGTTTAACGATTTTTGGCCCTTACGATTTGTCTAGCTTAGCAAATATAATTTTATTTAAATAGTCCTCTATATAACATTTAGATCCGATCCCATTATTAGTCCATATCAATGATTTAATGAGCTTTAACACAGATGGTAAACTCGTTGTTTTTACTGACAGTGCCACAATACTTTGGACAGACACAGATATAAATGAGACAAAAGACAAACATTGATAGTGATATACAGTCAATCAAAAAATGGTGCGACAATAATTACTTGACTTTCAATGTTAATAAGACAAAATTTATGACATTTGAATGCTCCCTTAATTTTATAAATGTGAATAATGAATTGATACACAAAACAGACACTATCAAATTTTTAGGACTGACCATTGATCATAAATTAATTTTACGTGTCGACAAATTTCTTACTCAACTAGTAAAGATTTCCTTTATTATAAGAACCATTAGTTACAATGTAGGATAAAGCACGTCAAGACCGAAAAACTAAATGAATTTCGCTCTGTCAACGTTACTGAATTCGTCGGTTACAACGGAGAACAAACTTGCATTCTCACACGAAGTATGCCTATTATTCAATACCAATTGTTTATAATGATAATTTTATCAAGACTTTATTTCACCAAGGTTCCGCCAATACGAGCGTAAGTGAAGGACCTGCCAGTCCATCAGTGAATCAAGAACACTTTTTTGAAAATGATCAAGATAGCATCGAGTCACTCAAAGTACTACTGGCCGAGGTAAGTTATAACAAATATTCAAACTATTTGGTGCTTTTTCATTCTCAATTTTGAACATGCATCCTTTGCTGTGGAGTTAAATATTTTCTGCACTAATACTGAACGAAAAAATTCTGTTTTTAAACCAGTACCTTTACTGCTTGTTGTTTTTGTGCATTCATACGTATAACTCACATTACCCTATTTGTACCTAAGATATACTAACGATATTATTTGATGTAAGTCTGAAATAAAAAATATTAGTAAGGCAAAAATGTGATTAGGCTCAAATGAAGGTTTGCATGATACTCCTTAGCAATTTCAAATGGAAAACACCACAAGCCTGAATAACAAAAACTGAATTTTTTATATGGGACATAGAAGAGTTAAATCTAAATTTTTGAACATATACCTGTTGAGTTGCTGTGTATAGGTGAATATACGATATTTGGGTTTTCAGTGTCAACCAAGAAAAATAGCTTATTTTGATTTCATATTCATTATGTCACAAGACAGCTTTTGTAGGTACTAGGAAAAAGGTCTGGCCAGGGGACAACTATGAAAAAGATACTTTAAACGTGATATAAATAGTTCTTTATTAAAAATAACAAGTCTTCAGTTCCATCGACCTTGAAACAAGATAATTGTATAGATTGAGAGTTCTCAGATTTTCAGGATAACGGTTTTATTTGGAAGCTAGAATATTTTTGATAGCGGGTTGCAGCCGTTGCGTTCATTGTGTATAATATTTTTCATTGCAAATAAATGACAAAAAGTAGAGCGTATAAAAGTAAGAAGAATAGAAATAACTGTTGTTATGAAAACTGACAGAGAGTTTATGCCAGGGTAGCGACAAAAACGTAAATACATAAAAAAATGAATATAAATAATTAATTATGATATTGTTGCATGTGACTCATGATTTTTGTGTTTGAAAATCTTTGTTTTTCACAAAGATACTTAGCAGGGTAAATATTGAAACCACTAAAACGGTATCGGTCGACACTACCTGAGAAACTGTCGCATTGCTAGTTTCAAGACAACACAATTTTCAGGAACTTGGTTTTTACACATGTTTTCTAAAAATTTTTAGTGTATCTTTTTACGAAACTATGTGTATTTAGCAATATAAAGGGTATTGGTATATTGTTTATACCAGTTACAAATACAGATATCTGTAGTAAAACTCGGGAATGGAACACGGCAGGGGGAGTATACATTTTGTGAATTTTTAAGCATATTATGTCTAAATCTTAATGATTGCCTTCATTTCATCATATGTTCCGAACGAAGCATTTTATTTTACACTATTTGGATGGTTTATTTCCACAATTTGTCGGTTTGCTTAAGATTTTTGTGGCGAAACATTAAATCCGAAATTCCTATATTCACCCGTAAAAAATAATTGCTTTAGCATATCTCACTTGTCATAGAAACAACTTTATCATTGTATTACGAATTTCAGACTTTCATTTCATCTTTGATGTCTGTGTAATGTTGGCTAACATTTTTAATATTTCCTGTGTTATTTGTGTGTTTGTTTAGACCCAGCGTAAATATAGCATGTCAGAAATGGAAATAGCACGGTTAAAAACCAAGGTAAGTCAAATATTAGCTACTAAGTAAAACTGTGTAATATGTATATAGGTTCAAATCAATACCTTGAGGTAGCACATGAAAAATGGAAACAAGTGTGAATAGGGCTATAAACATCGCAACAATAATGGTGACTTCATTTTTGTATGAATTTCATGTAAATGTTTTGGGTGTAGTCAGATTTTTTTGGAAGTCAGGAGTTTTTACTAATTGTAAGCCTATACTTTTTGTTTTATGTGTGTCCTAAAATTACTTTATTATGCCTGAAAGATACTTTGAGTTTCATTTAGGTATAGCGTAAGAAAACTATTTTTAACATGCTTTTATTAACTTGACCTGTGTATGTATGTATCGAAATATTTCAACCTAATTGTCGCCAATTTCAAGAAGTTTGATTAACTTTAAAATTTGCACGAGGGTCAAGCGTAACCGATGACAATACAATACAACAATTTTGGGAAAAAAATTCGAATTTGAAAATTTGAATAATAAACTAAAAATTCCGAAATTTGGAAATTAATTTAGGGATTTGAAAAAATTGGAAATTTGAAAAATTTTTGGAAATTTCGATATTTTGTAAAAATCATTGTAACTTGAAAAAAACTAAAAAAAAAAACACTTTTATCGCAAATCAAACTAAAAAGTAGACAATAATTTTCGTAATTCTGTAAATAGCTGAAAAATAATTTTAACGTTTAATATCAAGAATCCCAAGCTTTTTCACTAGAATTGAATTTTTTGTTATTTTAATTTTTATATTGATCTTATTCCGAATTAATTAGCCACACTTGATTGTTGGACTTTCTATTGTAGTAACACGAAAATTATTTTTTAGTTCGGATTGCTATTAAAGCGTGTTTTTTTAAGTTTTTTGAACAACATTTGCTTCAAATACCTCATCAGTCCCTAAAACACAAATCACTAATTTATTATCATTCAGATTATAGAAAATGATGGGCTGGTGCTGGATGATCCAGAAAAGCTTGAGCAAGTCAACTACAAGCTGCGTGAAGCTGAAAGAAACCTCTCAGCAGCTAAAAAGGAGGTACAAACTTATCAAAATATGCTGGAACAAAGCCAGACTCAATATCAAACTTTGGAGAAGAAATATAGCAGAGCAAAGCATTTGGTAAGACTTTACAAGATGTTAGAATGTAAAGCGCAAAAACATTTTAGAAATATATTATTTCACAATTTTAGTGATATACTTTCAAAATTACTACACTAATGGAAAAAATAAAGAAACCAAATAAAAATTGTAAATGTGTATTGACTTTTTGAAGTGCTAATTCTCAGTAAAATGTGTTACAGCTTCAAATATCTAGTTTTTTCGGTCAGAAAATACTTCAAAGCTGTAGGTCCCTCACAATTATAAGGAATAGGGTGAAGAAAAAATCTTCTTTATTTAGATTCACGGATCCAAGAATCTCGACATTTGACGCTTTAAAATGCTTTTCTTAGAACCTTAATACGACTATTTTTTACTCCGATACAGCATTTCAAAGAATACAATCGAACAATCTTTATTTGAACCTTAATTTTTCCATTAGTCAAATATTATAAAATGCTCTTTCCTAGGTCAGAGAATTTCAGCAAAGAGAATTGGACATGCTCCATAGAGAAGACTTCTATCAACAGCTGCTTCAAGAAAAGGATATAGAATATAATCAGCTAGTCAAAAATCTTAAAGATCGCATCATAGCGCTGGAACAAGAGCTGCTGGATACTCAGAGAAAAGCAGGTTTCCCAATGGCTCTACCATACGATAACATCAACTTGAAACAGGTAGAATTTTATCAAATGTAATGTACCGATATACGTCAGCGTATTTTATTCCTCTGTTTTCTATGATGCCGCAACTGTCTAAGTTTGCTTGACCAAATTATGGCAAAATTCCTTCTAGTCATGACCCAAATGATTGCTTTTTTGCTGCTAGAGCAGCCTCAAGTAGGTTGACTACACTATCATCAATTCATTAAGGATTTATTCGGCATAACTTACTCCCTCCTATAAAATACTTGGCTGAGAACATGTATGTATAACAAAGGAATTAAATGGATCGTGTCAGTCAAAAAGGCTCACATAAATAGTCCATAGTCCCCACACGTTTGACAAAATTGTGATCTAGCCTACCGCCACACCGACAGTGACAAGCACCCAGCCATGTGGTAACTCTGCCTGTCGCGGCATTCTCAATTCCAGCACCGTGTTGCATACACGGATATACGCATCGCTCAGTACACTCGTTGAGTTCTCCGACATCGTAAAAAGTCTAAATAAATGTCGTAATTCAAGAACTCTGACAGCTCAAAGGGTACAGTGATTCTCCCATCTAGAATCCCGGTCCACATGTTTACTTTAAAACCGGCGTCTCTGTAAAATTGTTTGACAAAACTTGAAAGATATTCAAGGAGTTGTAAAAATTGTACTCGCTGTAGAGTGGAACTCGTTCTTTCTCGTCTGCTTGTAGTACGACTTCCTCGTAACGATAGCAAATACTTCATTCATCATGTGTTTGATTTGGGAATCGTCCATCTGAGAGTAAACGGTGTACATCCACAAAAACTCTGTGATCGCGATGACAAGCAGTATTTGGATACCTCTCACGATAAAGTCTAGCTGCAGCACTAGCGTTTCAACTACATTCCCCATAAATAAGGTGCATGCTGGCGTATACTGGTAAGGTGTACACAGATATGCTGGCACTACACAATCGCGAATTAATAAAAGTAGCGTTACTAACAGTCTTGCTGGCACTACCTAGAATGATATTGTCTGTCACTCCGTCTAAGAAACAATTAAAATTTGTTGTAACGGGTACTAAAAGATCATCACAGGATGTAGATTTTTCGATTTTCCGATTTTTTTATTGTCTATAATTTGAAAAGAACACGAATTTTATTTTTCTTATATTTTTCTGATAACTATTATGACTTGGCCTATCCCCCATTTCCGTCGACCCTGTATAGTATAATGTCCAAATTACAGTTAACACCCCAGATGACAAGAAGACAACCCCCCAAACCCCTATACCAAACCTTGGAACCGGACTTCAGCGACACAGAAGCATCGGATGCTAGCCCCGATGAGGACAAAACAGCTACCGTTGAAAGAAAGTTACCGATAAAGGAGGAGTTTGACCGAGCGGTACCACCCCATGAGCTGTTAGACATTTCGGCCAGTAAAAGCAAGGCGGAATTGGCGAATAGGGGGGCATTGGCGAACAGGTGAGATTTTAACAAGAGGTTTTCAGTTTGTTAATCATGCAAATTGAAGCAAGCGGTAATAAACGAAAACAAGTGATATCCGTCAGTTTCAATATTGAATTTTAACTTGCCTACAGATTAGCTATAGAGTGTACCATCTAGCGTACCTTCAATGAGTGATATATGTTGAATGAAAGTGTGATAATTTATATTTCTGTCAGCCTTTGTAACTAACAGCATATGTTATCCTAATTGGATATCCTTGAACTAAACCACAATCGTATTCAGGGAACCAGTTACGAGTATACAACCTTCTGCTTGCTTGGCTGCCTGCGGTGGTGTCCCGTCTCCTCTCCAGGATCCGTCAGAAAGAACGCATGTTTTTCGAATGGGTACTACATCAAGTGAGCTGGTCCCGTGTCGGTGGGGAAGGGCGTGTTGGATAGTGGGAGAAGTGCCGTTTCAGTTGGCAGGATGGTTTGAAACGTTGAGCATCGTGTGTTCACTGTACGTCGGAACTTTCAAAATGGCGAGTCTGTTGTTCGATCGCAACACCATTGTGTTATGGGTGGAAGCATTCAACACAACAGGTAATGTGATGAAGGAAAAACCGCCTGAGCGAAACCGTACTGTTAGAACCCTCGAAAATGTAGACAGAGTGAGAGTTGACACGCCGCAAAGCCCGAATTGTTCCGTCCGTTTGCGTGACAGTTCCCTAGGGATCCTCGCGTCCTCTGTACGTCGCATCTTGAACAAGGATTTAGTGTTCCATCCTTACAAAATCCAAGTTTGTCAACAACTGTTACCGGGGGATAATGCACAACGTGTTAATTTTGTCCAGCTCGTGATTGAACAGTTGGATAACAATGACATGACGTTGTTTATGAGTGATGAAGCACATTTTCATTTACATGGATACGTCAATAAACAAAATTATCGATATTGGTCTCCAGTGAATCCCCAACAGTTGCAAGAGCACCCCCTGCATACCCCGATTATTGGCCCTTATTTTTTTGAGGATGATGGAGTAACAACTACTGTGAATTCCGAGCGTTACATCCACCTGCTGAACAACTTTGTTTCCAGAACTACGACGTCGACGTGTCCGTCTCAGAACAGTGTGGAACTTCTTCGGCAAAAATTCGCTCTCCGGACCTGTCAACGTTTGATTTTTTTATGGGGCTACCTGAAATCAAAAGTTTACCAAAGCAAGCCTCGGACCCTCGTCGATTTGAAGGAGGAAATAAGAAGAGAAGTAACCCAAATTCCTGCATGGATACTGGCCGATGCAATGGCCTCATTTCGGGAGAGGCTTGATTCCTGCATTTCGGCTCAAGGGCGCCATATGGCCGACATAGTTTTTAGAACGTACATTTTGTTTTACTCAAAAAATGTCATGTGTTGCTGAGTATTTTGGTATAGGAAAATATTTTTTCCATACTTATTTTGACTGTACTACTCATTTAATAAACATGCGTTCTTTCTGACGGACCCTGTAGATCGCTTGGATCGTCGGCATCCTGTAATAGCGTAGTCGTTCGTGGTAAACAAATTAACGAATTTTTCGAGGAATGATGAACTAGTTCACTTAATTCAGTTAAAAGAATCGTTGGTATGAACTAGTTTGTTCTCGAACTACTCATAACTAATCACGTGTCGTGAAGAAGTCACTGCATTCACAACTAGTGACTATTTGGTGTGGTTTTGGCGACATCATTGAGCTGTTTTTCTTGGAAAATCAGCTACCGCCTCCGTCCATGACGAGCGTAACCCTGTTATGCTCAATAGATTTTTGTTTCCAAAAGCTGAAATAAATGATATAGACATTATATTAAAGCAGGACTACGCTAACGTGACAACTGAACTTCTAGAAAACATTTTTGAAAACCGAACAATAATCCGAAGATTCCTATGTTAATTTGCCGCCTTTCAGCTGCAATTTGAACCCGCTCAACTGGACTGTTTTCTATGGGGATCCTTTAAGCATGAGTGTTATGGTAACCGGAGACAATTGACGAGGCCTTGAAACATGAAATCGAAGTTTGTCATTCAAGAAATTCAAACCCAAACAAATGAAAAATTATTTGCCAATTCTTTGGAAAAACATTTGAAAAAAGTTTTATTAGTTTTTTATAGCCGATTCAAATTTTTAATCGCCCTACCTATATAAGCTAATGGAGTGTTTTGAAGTCATGAACAAAACAGCCTCCAAGCTGCCTCGTGTGACAACACTGTACTACTACTACTGCGTGAACGGAACCTCATTGGAGACTGCCGATACAAGAGCTACCAGTGGAGGGTATCTATCTACAATTTATTGTCCGGCTAGATACCGAATACTAGCTTTAGTATCCGGTGAAAGCGGGATAGTAATAAAACAAAAAACGCAAAACATATGCCTTTGATTTTATTGCTACAGTCACCCTTCAGTCACTAAATTCAAACAGCAAATGCTTCTTATGCTAACATTATATCAGACATAAAGAATGACAAATAAAATGCTTCTTTTTTGTATTAAGAAACAAACTTAAGTACAAATGCTTGATGTCCCGGTGAATGATCTTTTCTGTTTCAAAGCAAAATTTAAGGAGAAAATCCACCTTTACGTTTGTTCGTACAATGGTCGGTGACTGTGTCTGGGATCCGGCCGTGTGAATTATATCTGAATAGCGTAGCAGAATGAACGGGATATGCGTGGCAGGATCTTGGACACGATCACGGACAGGTTGGTGACAGCTGTACGAACAAGGCTTTTATCACCGAAATAGTAAATACAATTTATTAACGACGAATTGCGGTTTATGAACGTGACTTTCTGCGTTTGTTGGCCAAAATCGGTTTTGCTGCTACTCGTACAATATACCGGCTTTACAAGACAGTTATTCACTGTATACGCTGTTATAGGGAGACGAGATATATTTTGACATATTTTGCCAGCAATAGTTTTTTTGTGAAAATTTCAATGGTCCAAGGTGTTCACTCCCGTTACCGCATTGAAACAATTCCAAAAGATTTGTGAGTTTCTTGATAGCTGCGGGCGTATCTTCTCCACTGCTGGAAGAATCTTTACATACGAGCCTTTTGGATCGGGAAGTACCCTAGTATTAAATACCTCTCATCATAAACTTAGGAGAAGGATCTAGACAATTTCTCAGTCGATACCAGTACACCTACCGGTTTCTGTAGCACCGTTTCCTCTTGTATTCTTCCGCTGGATACAATATATTCGTATCGCTTACATCTTACACTCCTTGTTGCTACAATGTTATTGAAATACAGTTGATATTCCAGACAGCTGCCGAGCGCAAAGAAAGGCTCCTTGAGCAACTCCAGCTCAGACTACGGCTTGGACGAGAGTTACAACTCCTCTGAAGAGTTGTCAGACTCCGCGTTTGCTCAGTCTGATAACCAGTACGTGCAGCAGACTAACGATACGGCTGCAACTACTGTGAAGACTTCTAGTAAGAGCAAGTCAGAAAGCTCCAGCACTAAACTGGAGAGGATAGATTACTCTACTAGCTTGAGCGAGGAGGTGACGAATATTATGAGCGATTCGAGGTAAGCTGTTTTCCAATGAAGGGAGAGAGAGAGAGAAAGAAACAGATACTTTGCATTCAAACGAGGAATTTTCCAACTGGATTTTTTTCGATAATCACGTTTGTTGGATGCCCTTATATGGATCAAGAGATTGCGGGCGCTGAGCAGGTGTACGTTTCGTTTAAAGAGAACGTTTTAAACAAGTTACAGGAATTCGCTCAGGTTTTTTGGATCATGAACAAACATGTCCTTAGTAACTAATAAGACATAAAAATGGTCATTTGTAATGCATAAAAACAAGGTTCTAACCTATTAGTTTTGAGTACAATAACGCTTTGTGGGACTCGCGTGTGTTGCTTAGAATTATGGTCTTTTTCACGAGCCGCCATTACATTTTAACGTCTGCTGAGATGAACCGCTGATGAGCAAGTGACATCTTTGTACTAAAGTCTGTAGTGTTGGCAGTAATGATTCGGGTAAAACTCAGACCCGTATTCGGAACTATTTATACCAAACATAGTCAAAAACCGTTAATCTTGCCTCTGCCTACCTAACTTGAAATATAGTCATGAACATTAGCAGCTATTTTGCTTGAAGCGTTTTTTGTGTGTGAAGGACTTGTTCTAAATAAAAGCATTCCATATGAATCCATAGCGTTCAAAAGACCACAACAAAGTACTATTTTGTCTACAGATCTAGTGTTGGCAGTCCGTCAGAATTTTTGTCACTTGTCGATATGGAGTATTTTGAAATGTTACTAGATTATCAGCTGTTATCTGCTGTGACGTTTGACGTAATGGAGACACTTAAAAAGGAGCTTACGTATTTTGACGGCCCAAAATTTTTTTGAGAAATACTCCGTTTTGTGTTTATAAACACCCCGAATAGACAATGCTCAAAATTTAAAAGACGTTTAAGTCCAGGCTGCCTAGATAATTGGCAACCATATCAAATGTACCGACGCTTGGTCAAATAAGTGATTTCAGGTTAAAAAAATTTGAATTTCAAGCAGATATTTCACTTTTGTTACTAATATTCTTTGAGAATTTCCAATTGTTTATCCCAAAATCTAAATATTTTTAAAAACTGTTAAATATTTGTTCCTACAGATTTTTCAATATTTAATAAATATATTTCTTATATATTTATAAAATATTCATTATACATGTTTGTAGTATATATAATCCATATATTTTTGCGATATTTTTTCCAAATATTCAGAAAATATACGAGAAAAGGTTTTTAAATATCAATTTTATATTTTGATGAAATATCTAATATTTTTCGTAAATACGTATGGATTTTCAAGCATTAATCTGATACATATTTTCAGTGTATATAGAAAATTCTTTATTGGTCATTTTAGCAAAACCTGTAAGAATGCTTATATAAAATTGTCCACTCCTCTGAAAAAAAAAACTTACTAATTATGAAGTATTATTGAATACATCAGCTGCTTTCCAGTGTATTTATTGGTTCTGAGCATGGTGAGTTACTCCGAGTAGCTCAACTGGGTCACTGAAAAGCAGCTCTATAATGCACCTAAAAGTACCCCACATGTTATGCCTATGATAGTTCGAGATTTGGTTAATTTTTAAGAAAATCCAGTATGTGATTTTAGATATCTTGATGAAAAATGTCCATGGGCACAACTTGATCCTTTGACTAACACCTATTGATTTTGTTGAAATCTGACTTTTTTTAGTAAAGGAGCTAACTTAACCATAAATATTTAGTGATTTTATATTATAATTCAAGGGACAAAAGTATATTTATTTAGACTGTTAAAATTTTTGAACGTACTACGACAAAAATAATAATAATAATTGAGATATTTAAAAAAAGCATTTTTGATGTATCTCGATGAAGTTGCGATTATATGTGTCTTTTCATTGGGATGTTATGAACATAATTTCCGTATCCAGTCTCAGATAAATCCACCAATACGAAATAACTTTTACACTTCAAGGCTAGTTATTTATGGTCTTATGAATACCTTTATACTCAGCTGGCACAATAATGTTTACTAGTCAGATAAATTAAGCTATGTAATTATCGAAAAACTTGCCCTTTTCCCTTTCCACAAAAAAAAACACTCAAATAATGAACCGCTTGGAGGAACTCAGGATGCACGCTATCATAGTGAAAGTCACAGGTAAAACGGCTGCCGGCAAACGGGTCGCCTCAGGCCGACTTGCTATGGATCCCATTGGTCGCTCGAGGTCACACGCACATGTGCCGTAGCCGAAAATATTTAATGAATATTTTCTAAATATTAGAGATTTAATATTTTCCATTGATTGAAAAGTAAATATTTAATGAATATTATAAAAGAAATATTGTATTTAAAATATTGAATAAATATTTAATAAAAATATTACATTACGAATATTTATTAAATATTTGTTTAAGAAAACAAATGTTTCAGTAAGATAAAAATATTATTAAATATTTAATGAATATTTCGTGCTATCGGGGCTGTTTTCCGGGCATCACTACTAGTTTATTGAGCAATATACAGGGTTCGTTCAAAGAGCGTTTAATAGCAAAATGCACGTGTTTACGTTGCCGATACGATATTCGAAAAACAGGCGTCACTGTAAACATTTTAAAACAAAGCGGATGTGTCTATCATCTTTTGTTGCGAATTACTCACAAATACGGAATGTTTGAATTTATTTAGAAGAAAAAATGTAAACCATCCTTTTGTGCATAATAATAAGATTTATCTTCCGGAAGGGTTTGCGATTCATATCAGCAAGGTAAACTAGTGTAATTTGCTATAAAATTCCTTTTCAACTAACCCTTTGTATTGCTAAACTAGTAGTTATGGCCGGAAAACAGGTGTTTCGGGATAGACAATTATAAATTCTCGAAAACTACTTCACCAATCTACTCCAATTTTGATGTGGTTATTTAGAAATACAAATTTGAAGAATTTCATGTAGTTGCCTGAAATTATTGCCGCATTAGCAACAAGAGCCATGCCTGCATTTTGCCTCGTTTTTCGGCCATAACATTTTTGGTATTAGTTGGATCTTTTTACGTGTAGCCTCATTTTGTAGGTCTCATAAATACCTAAAAATCTTATATGAAGAGTTTTTTCGTTCCTGCCAACACTTTCGATAGAATCCCAAAGAACATTTCTCATTCTTTGTTGTCGAATAAAAAGTTTTCACACAAAAATTGATGTACCCATTTTATGCGTCCATGTTTTGAATACCCCCTTGAACAACTTGCAGCAATAAAACCAGACTTTACAATTATTTGGCAAACCAGGGGTATTTTCGTCCAATATGATTAAACAATATGATTAGACAAAAATCGTATAATATTCCGCATAGCGCTATATGATAATTTTCTGGCGGTGACAATGACTTCTGTTTTTAAAAAGTTATAAATAACACTTTTAGTTGGTGCTATTCGATTTATTAAAATAGAATATTACACGATTTTTTAGGTTAGTAAAAAAAGAGAAACGCCTGCTTGGATTTCATATTTTTGCGAATTGCGAATTGTCTGGGCAGCCTGGCCTTGATGACCAGAAACTATAGGATATCAAGTTTATTTTGACTAAATATTCCTCAAAAAAAAATAGCGATACATACCCTGGTATATCATTCTTATTTTTAGAATACAGAAAAATATACAGGAAACTCTTAGTAATAATAATAATAATAATAATCTATATTCCAAATTGTACAATGACATTACAAAAATTGTATAGCCACTACAAAATGAAATGTTGCGGCACTGTAACCATAACTATAGTAGTTTACCTGATACCTTTTTTTGTGTTACATGGTTATTTATCTTAAAACAGCTACTATCTTATACTATTACAACTCCCATAGAACTCATCTATTGTATAAGGCTCTGACTGTACTAGAAATTGCTTAATAGTCTTTTTAAATTTACGTAAACTGTTTTATGTTTTTAATTTCATTTGGTAGATTGTTAAAAAATTTAAACATATGTAAATAGGGCTTTTTTCTGTGGAGGATAATCTGTGTATCGGATAAGTAACATTGACTGTTCGAGTATCATAAACAGCTTGCACCTCAAGCTCAAATAAATTTTTATTTTTGAAAAAAAATATAACACACTCATACACATGGATGGCATACATAGTCATGATTTTTTCAGTTTTAAACACCCCCCTGCAAGTTTCATTGAAATTTAGTCCCTTTAGCAGACGTACTGCTCTTTTTTGAACAACAATAATTTTTTGAATAAACCTATTGCGTCCCCAAAAAATAATCCCATACGTTAGAACACTTTCAAAATTAGCATGGTGCAATATTTTCATACTCGTATTATTTAGATATCTTGATATCACCCTAAAACCATAGCAAATGGAATTGAGCCTCTTCAGCAGTTCGAACAATCTAAAAATTCATCAATATAGATGCCTAAGAATTTTACACTTTCACTCAACTGCAGTTGATGATCATCTATATCGATATATTGTGGCTTAACGACTTTACTCTGCTTAGTTCTAAATAATGTTGCATCAGTTTTGGATTTATTCAGCACTAGTAGTAGTACTACATACTTTGGAGTTTTGATAGAATTTATGAACTCTAATTTCACACCATTTACGCCTCGACACTGTCGCGAATTCTCCGACAGCCAAACTCGTATATTTATATGTATCTCTCTCAAATCACGGTTAGGTAACTCAAATGTCAAAAGGAATAGTGGATTCGTTAACTTTACACTGTATAAAGCCTAATCAGTTTCAACTCCACTTTATGGTTTATTACTTTTCAGAACAACTGAGGTGATATCAGGAACCGATTCAAGCGATAGAATATTAGAAGATAATCACATAAAAAGAACTTCTACCGAATCAGAAAGAAGCCATACACAATCACATAGACATCAAAAAGACTCTCGCCAATATTCTAGCCAAGACAGACATAGAATTCTGTCGTCAGAACCAGAACATGATCAGAGAAAACACCACAGATCTGACCATGAGAAGCATAGAACGATTCCTGCAGAATATGCTGAATCAAGACACCATATCCCCCACAGGACTGCTGACTATGGTAGAATTCTAGAACACAGCAAAACGCCTGACAGAATTTTGGATTCTGGTGCGAGAATTACCGGTGATTATCATAGTGAAAGGACGTACGATTCTGGTAAACATAGAACCATGGTTGACCCTTCCAGTAGATCCTCTGAGTCTCATAGACAGCACCATTCTAGTAGATCAAGTCATGATTCTACAAGAACGGTAGATCCAGATAACAAATATGAAAGTGAAAAGATGTCAAGCCAAGAAGTGAATAGAATCGCTGAAAGTCATAGAGCTGGTAGGAGCCTACATTCTAATAGAACAGAAAGTGACTCGGATAGAAATAGAATACAAGACTCGGCAGAAAAAGATGGAAGGAGTATACCTTCTAGTAGATGCAACAGTGGTGATGAACTTTCTAGCAGTAATGATAGAACTGCATCGGGAAAGGAAGATTGCTCTGAACGTGTGGAAGGTAGTTCCAAATTGTCTTCCAAATATATCTATCCCCCATCTCAATATCATACCAAGTCTAATAGCAAGAGTGAAGAATCTAGCGGTGGTAGAATTATGGTAGAAGAAAGTTTAGTAAAGCAGTATTCTACGCAGAGCATGTCACAGAACTCGCATTATGTTGTGCAGTACAGCCAGGTGCAGAAGCTATATCCTACGTCTCAGACTTTTCAGCAACCCAAAGGTACGTCCAATAGTTATAGGGACGCTGAGGCTCGACATCATAGACGCCAAGTTAATGCCCATAGCTCGGAAAATGTTTGAATGAATTTTTGGATATATGGTTTCTATTGTGGCTAATTAGATAAAAATGTAATATTTTTTTTATTTCCCCACATATATGTACACGTAGGTACATGTCCTGTTTTAATCTCCCCGCCTAAACATTCCGAAAGCTGCGCTTTCTAGAAAAAGTTTCAAGAGGGAAAATGGTGGTGACCTTGATAATGCCCTTCAAAGTTATTTCAAGGTCAAGTCAATATTTTTTAATGGAACTCCTCCTTTGTCACATCGGAATTGAAAAAATGAGCAAATTTTACGACTGAACAGCACCTTAGCCATGACCTTGACCATTGCCTTCAAGACCATTTCAAGGTCGAATCAAGACATCGAAAACAATTTGCTCTAGCAAAAATGTTCTACAGCACAGTTGTGAGGTTTGTAAGGATGGCCCAAAGATGACTTTGCCCATAACCTTAACCATTTCCTTCAAGGTCAAGTCAATTTTCTGAAACGTCTGAATATGACCTTGACCTCAAATGTAAGGTCGGGTCAAGCTTAAATGTTACTTGAGGTCATGTGAATATTTAGACGTAACATTTCCTATCTTTTTTCATTTCCAGTATAAACATGCGAGGTTTCTTTTAAACATTATGAATTGACCTTGAAGGTCATGGTCAAAAACTTCTTTGGACGATTCCCGCAAATCCCACAACTGTGCTGTCGAACATTTTCGCTAGAACAAATTGTTTTCGATGCCTTGATTTGACCTTGGAATGGCCTCGAAGGCAGTGCTTAAAGTCGTGGCCAAGGAAATGTTCGGACCTTGGAAATACCTTAAGGACATCATTTTGCTACCTCGAAACACCACAATTTATGCCTGAAACTTTTCTTCTGGAGTACGCAATTTTCGCAATATTTAGATGGGAGATTAAAATGGGACGCCGGGAATATGAAATACCTTTTCTTAGATCATTTTATTAGAAATTCAAACAATGAAACTTTTTGCATTTGGTTTTACATTTTTTCTTCTGACATTATAATAAAATTTATTACGTAATGTAAGATAATAATTCTTATATTTATTGCATATTTTGTTTAGGAATAAGTGTTACCAAAAAATATGTCTGAAACTCAGTCATATTTTAGTAAAAACAACTACATCATCGTTTAATGCTCTCTGTGTCCAAAGCCTCCAAGGTTTCCTGGACCTGAGATATCAAACTTGAAAAATAAGTATAATTATTCAACATTATTCAAAAATTTGGTTATTTGATCAAAAATGTATTAAAAAAACGAATCGTCATTTTTCCCATTCTAAGCAAAAATAGGCACAGGGATGGAATGCAATCTACTAGTCTAAGGAGATTATATCACTGTTTCCTTTGCAAGTTGAAGATCCCTTCAATCTCAATGAGGAGAACGATCGACGTCAACTTGCGGCATAATTTTTGAAAAATATTCGTCCCCTCTAGGGGAATTGGGAGGTTAAGTTCCCCATTCACAATCGTTTCATCATGACATTGGACGCAACCAAAAGCTAGTCTCGGATACAGAGTGTCTGTCTGAAGATCAGTTACAGTAAAATTTGTAGTTATTTGGAGCATGTGTGGATCGTTCAGTAGACATAGATAACACCTGAAAAATGAATGAATGAAACTTTGGGTCAACAAGATGCCGGAATTGTTCGTTTAGGCGACGATAAAAGAAAGATGGTTTGAGTGTTCATATAAAATATCCTTTAGAGTTTAAAATAATATTGGGAAAAAGTTTTCACATCAGTGTTTTTTTTATACTCCAACCACCACGAAGGCCTAAGGCCTAACCACCCATGGGTATCGCGGAGCTATAGGCGGATACAGGGGAAAGGGTGTATGATCCAGATTCAAAGTAGTTGTTTTAATCCAGGCAATATCATCGCATCTGATGGGAAAATATTCTGATTCGAATTTTTTGAATAATGTTATTCTAAAAGAGCCTCTTTTAAGATATTGCCCGGACTATTTAGGTTCTTGATGGTGGTGTAGAAATTATTTTTTTTGAGTGAGTATTGCGCTGCTGCTTGATAGTATTACACCTTTTATTTCAGGCGCCCCGTCTGGAGTAGTATATGCCAGTATTCAAAAGGACCCAAACGCCGCTCAAAACCAAGCTACTCCAGATCCATGGAATGACGGAGTTAGTCGAACTTCAAATGTCAGTGGAGTAGGACCTCCTGCATCCTTGGCTGAACAGTTGAAACAGGTAACTGAATTTTAATGAACACTGAATCTGTTGCAAATTTTTTCAAAGGTCATTAAAAATATTCCGATTGTTTTTTGCACTTTATCAAATATTGAATCGTTTGTATCGCAAAAGCTATCAACATTAGAGAACAACAGTTTGTAAGAATAATTTCTGTTGATAATGACCCAAAAAACTTTGTTCATTTGTTTTTGGAATTTGCTTAAAAATTGGTTTCAACATTTTTTTCGTAATTTGGTCCTTTTGAATACGATTATGCCAAACACCGAATTAAAATATTTTTCCGAACAGACGCAAAGGATACTTTTCTTTCGCAAATTTTGCAACGATACAGGAGGTCTTTCGTAAGCTTGAATTGTGGTAATACGCATTTTTTGATTTTTTCAGGTACTTGCAGAGAGGGAAAAAAGACTAGGCAGCGATAGTGTAAGCAGTTCTACCGACGAACTAAACGAAAAATCTAAAAATGATCCTGCTCACCACTTATTGGAAGAAATACGACAGGCTGTTAATGAGGCAAACGCTAAAGGTAAACAGTACTTTCATAAATTCTCTAGCTTTCTGCCCCGCGGTTTTATACGCGGAACGTGTAGATTGCGCCACCACTGTAGTAACCAAATAACCTAAACAGATTCGACACAATTCACAATTCAAAAATGTGTATGCTCAAATTAAAACCATTATTTAGGCGTAGAGAATAAACTAACATATTTTCAACATGCGCTATCAAGCTTCTATCTCTTCCAAACATATGTTACTTCTCTCTCGTATACATTGAAGTCAAGCCGTCAGACAAATTTGATTTTCAGTGTATAGAGAAGAAGATAATTATATAATATAGAGTTGAAAGTTGGCTGAGCCTAAATAACCGGTAATATGTACTAATGGGGCGAGATGGGGCATCCTCACCACTTAATATCACAGGATATTTCCAAGTAACTTAGAATGCTTACATAGTTCCTAAAAGTCGGAAATTATGGAAGCACTAATTTAGGATACTGCATTATCATAAAGAATAATAATGTGGAGTCAATAAGTCATTGAAGATGAGAAATCATACAGCTCTATTTGGAATAGTAAGTGCTCATTTTTTAAATATTCATCTATATTCTTTGTGTTTTAGTGAAAAGGGTAGCTCCGGTGACTTTATCACCACCTGATCAAACACCATGGCAGCATCAAAGAGCTTCAAGTCCGACACCTCCTTCTCCCTGCAGTCTTTCATCAGGATCTGCCTCTCCTTCCAGACATGAATCCTCTTGGGTAAATATAAAATAGTAGCACCTAATTAATAACACAGGCCGACAAGCGGACAAAAAAACAAGTAGAGTATACTGCCGCGAAGGTTGTCGATGCTCTGAATCCGAATTTGTGGTCCAAATCTCTCAGTTGGCTCTAGTTTTCTAGATATCCTAACCTAACAGTATATAGCAATTAAAAAAACTATAGATATCCTCTCAAAGGACATGCCTTGTTCTTTCAAATGCCGTTGAGTTTTCTTGAATATTTTTTTTCGCAGAGATGTAGCACTAGAAACTTTCTTTTATTGTAATACAATAACCAAAAATTGAACAAGTTAATGTATTTTTATGAAATCTATAAATCAACACTAAATATCAAATTTCTAAAGTATACCCATACCACAATTCCACAACCCAGCCTACCCAAACAACACCAATTTTAAAGTTTTGATTGTTCACTTTTCGTAAAATGAAATTTTTTTTCGTCATTGAAAAGTTCTAAAACTGTAATACATATTCGGACGTAGAATTGTTCGCTCTTTTGATTACTAGTATTAAAAATGGGGTTTTATATTTACAAAACAAAGTTGACCTTGACAATGTTGAAAATGAGGCTCAAATTCAAAGTCACCATCATTGATTATAGTTAGTATAGACCTAGTATAGAATACCTTACCTGGAAAAATACAGTTCCCTAACTTTTGTTACATCTCATGGTCCTTAATATTTGCAGATTTTGCATGGTTTTATGTATAATTTATAGGATTTTTAGGATCCCCATGGGAAACTTTACCCCCCCCCCCCCTCTCTTGAAACAGTTTTGGGGGCACGTACACTTTCAAAAAAGTTATATCTTGCTGATTGCCTGGCCTCCCTGAGAAAAATTCTTGCGTGCCCAGATGTCCGGTGCTTAATTCTTATTCTTAGTACCGATCGCTCTTGTTATTCGTTTTGAAAATATCACAAATTGATTTACCTCAGGTACCAACTGATCTCAGCCTAAGTTCCTGTAGTCTGGGAAGCACCACTACAGCAGACAAGAGGTACTGGCAACAAAATCAACCTGTCGCGAGTGTGAACGACTGGACCAAAGAGCAGGTAGGCTAGTTGTAATTAATGAAATTACTAGAAGTTGTTAAATTCTTTAGTATTCTTCTTCTTGACGGTACCTTAAACTTAGTTAAAAATAGCTGTGGCTTCTTGGACATCCATGTTTGAAATGAAGTGAAGAAAAGTGCATATGAAAATTTGTGTAATTGGAGCTGTAGACAAGGCGTACCCAGCTCAACAACAACTTTTTTGGTTCCACAAAGCTTATCTACTTTACTGTCGCGGTATATTTTCCTCTATTTGCATTTCATTATCTTATACATTTATAAAGACTCCTTGAGTCAAGTCAATACGTTAGGGAAGTTTGTAATCGCGAGAACGCCTCAATTGAAAGAATGCTTTTCAGGTATAACCTAGTAGGTGCATCTTTTGTGGCATCTGACAGATAATCTGTGGTCCCCTAATACAGACAGATTTTCATTTATTTATTGCTAATGGGTCATTTTGCGATAGAGTAATCGTCAAAAGACAATTAATGATTGGCCACTCTATAACTTGAAAAGTATCATTGGATTTGTAAGGAATTTTGAAAGGTCTGTCTAATGGAGCCGGTATTATGACAAAAAAATCTATACTTCTCCCAAACTTGGCTTCCATTTTTTCGTTTATGATGATTTTAAATGCAGTCAAAATTTAGAGGAGACAAAATTTAAAAAAGTCAAACTTGTTTTTTTAAACTTAGCCAATAATTTATTTAAAGTTATAAGTTTATTGAAGAATTGTAGGAGATGAAAAGACATTCAAACTAATAGATTTGTTTCAAGGGTTAATCGGTTATTGCAAAAATCATTTATTTTTTGCTGAAAAAATGCGTAAGAGTAAATATGGAATAGTAGGCAAAAGTTATAGGAAACGTATGCTACCAAAACTCTCTCTATTTTTTCTGATTTTATTTAAGATAGGATTTCTAAATAAACTGCACATTAACAACTACCACTTTCGACCTCTACGAGGTGGCATACTGAGTAGATTAATATGCTTTTATGTCTCTTATCTCCCGATATCAATTTTTTCTTTCGTATGCCATGATTATATATATATATATATATATATATCAATGGTATGTGATACATTAATATTGTAAAACCAGTTTTTCTGGGTAAGCCTTGAAATTATCATAGTCATTTATTTCATACAATAACAAAGATGATAACATGCCACGGATTGATATGAAACTTCAAGTGCCTAAAAAAAGTAAACTTCATAAACCAAAATCATCGAATAAGGAATTTTAACCTATTTATACTATTTAAGGGTAATAATGAAAACATCGAAAATTGTATGATTTTAAAGAACTGAGTGACGTCAGAACGAAATTCTATGTCACCGTGTAGAAGTAGAGAAAAAGTGGTAATGTTAATGTGTAATTTTTTTGAAATTTCTGTACAATGTGGATGTTTCAAAAGTTTTATTTCAGCTTGCGGAGAACCCAGTACATGAACAATTCAATTTTAATAAGAAATATTCTCTTCAATTAATTTTTGTCGAGCTTGAAAAAAGAGGGGCAGCTGGAGGCTTCAAAACCGCTATTTTTTCTCTTCTAAATAACCCTTCGCCACACTAGCATTTTTTGATGGCCATAATAGAAATCAGCGTCCCAAATTATCCCAGTGTATGATAGACTGCTTGTTTGTTGTCAGCCATTTTGTCAAAGGGTCTCCAACCCCAAAGGGGAAGGCTTGAATTTTGATTTAGACACTTGGCCTTGTCAAAAATAGTATAATACTGAGCTTTTGAGCATTGGACATTACTATTTTTATGTTTTTTGAACATTGAATCGCTTATACACGACAGTTACATGAAAGACCGCTGCACACCTCAAAAGTGACGGTTTGGTGCCCCGTCTCGCAAACTTGCATCATCGGCCCTTACTTCTTCGAAGACGGCATTGCATTGGCAATGCTGTTACCGCTAACTCGGAACGCTATGTCGAAATGATCAGCTTCTTTTCACCTGAATTCCGACGTATGTGGTTCCAACAGGATGGGGCGGCCGCCCACACCCGATGAACGTTATTCGCCCTCTCTCCGTGGTCGCCTTAATATTCCAGGTTTGATGATGTTCATTGGCCTCCTCGGTCCCCAGATTTATCCATCTGCGATTTTTTCCTATGGGGACACCTCAAGCCTCGTGTATACGAGCACAAGCTCCAAACTCTGTACGAGTTGAAGGAGGCAATGCGCGTGGAAGTCGCCCAAGTTGAGAGAACGATGTTGGAGAGAGTCTACGCAAACTTTCAAGAACGCCTCCAGCAACGCATCGTCTAAAACGGTGATGTGATTTTCCACAATTAATCGTGACAAACGACAACGAACCCGAATCCGCCAATAAATTTGTTTTTGAGTAAAAATTATCGATTTTGTGGTATTTTTAACTCGAACACGGTCAACCTTAAGGTTGAGATACTAGGGTTTTTTGGTCCAGAAGTATCAAAAAAAAACTTGAAAAAATGTGTCTCGAGCAAAAAACGGAGTTTTTCTAAACCAGTTGCGAGCACTACGATTTTGTCAGATTATGGCAGGCGAATTTATAAATGCATGACACGCTGACAAAATGCCAACCTAGGATTTTCGCGGACATAGGAACACAGGCGTATTGCATTGGCACTTTATTTTTTATTCAAAAACAATTAATTAAATTACTTACAGCCCCTTTTTTACAGTGTGGTATATACATACCTCTTATTGAAATTTGAGAAGATACTTTGCCATTGTCAGTACCGGGAAATGTGATTTGTAGCTTTAATGGGACAGCTTTACAACTTTTTCAGACAAATTTTAAAGAATGTTTTTTGCTCCGAACAAACAACAAAAGCTTAAAATTAGCCTTCTCAATGCTTAAGAACTTTGTTAAAACTGTTTACTTTTTGTAGGTTGACAAGAGTCTGAATAAAAGTTCCTTCCGCTACAACACCTCGTAGAGGCTTCAGGCTTAGATTATTTTAAGGCGATTTGCAATCTTGCTTATTATGCGAAATTGGCGAACTTTTTATTTTCCCACTCTGTATCTCACCTCATCATCCGCAAGTACCTTCCGGTCTCTATTCCAATTGGATCCCGATTTACGGAATAGAAGCACCCTTCCTTTCTTAAAAAGGCAGCAGTCCTCGTACACTTGACCACAGGTTAGGATTAGGAATGATTGAATGAATGAACTGAATATCATGCATATCGAAATGGGTGTTAAATTTTTGTATTAAGCATACCGAGTTTTGTTCGCTTGTAGTTACAGGTTACCAACATGGAAAGTTGGCATCAAAGAACTTGAACGATTGTAGAAGAGTTTCAAAAATTCTAGCGTACTTTGTAATTTCGATCAGAATCTGTTCCTTGGATAAATTTTGCCTATTTTGCTCTTTAGGTGTGCCAATGGTTAGTGCACGTCGGGATGGAGCAACACGTTCAAAAATTCGCTGAGCTTCAAGTCAACGGTGGGGCCTTGTTGCTTCTAACGTCTGCAGATTTCAAAATACTGGGTATTTCTAGTGACGACAAAAACAGATTGAAAAGGAGGATCAAAGAATTGAAAGTGCAGGCAGAGAAAGAGCGGAAACAGATGGAAAGAGACAGGAAAGAAAGAGAGAAAATGCAACGGAAAGCTGAGAAGGCTAGCAAAAAGCAGCAAGGAAAATAAGATTACTAACACGGCGTTTTATTTGGCACCCTATATGGCAGAAAAAAGTTCGATATGTCTCGTCTACATAGGTGAGATTATAGAGATCACCCTTAATCAAAAACTTGAATTTACTAGGGTCTGTATATTGATCGGTGATAGCTAAAACTAACCAAATGTTGTCTAAAGTTTAGAACCTAAATTATTACAGCTCCAAACTGTCTCAATTTTCTGGTAATGTGTTCTTGAAACGTCAGAGATAAATGAAGGAATTTGTAAGGTGCCGCTGATATTCTCAACTAAACAGAGATTAAAAAGAGTTTATACTCGGGTACCAAAACGGAAGAGAATCGTACGCTTCTGATAATAATGTGTCTTTATACCGACGAAGTGGGTGCGCGGATCCCGCCGTATGCAAAGACGCGGCGCCGCGTTAAAAGTGACGCACAACAAGGGCGTCAGCATCAGCATGGTCTAGGCTTGGACTCTGGGACAACGAACGACAGCATAGCAACTGTCCTCTATCAAGGATAGATGGGACGTGTAGAGTCAACCTGTTTGTCTCCATTTTAAAAAAAAGTAAATGTCTCTTTCTTTAAGGGACTGAGCGTCTGGGGGGGGACAAAAAAAAACATGCACGCTACTCATGACTTAAGAAACGGGTACCCTATTAGGTATATTTTACTTCTCAAATGAAAACCTTGCACCGTTCCCCCTAATGGCGTACGATGGGTTATTCCACTCTCTTCCATTTTGTACCAGACTGCACAATGCTTGAAAAATGAATTTTGGGAAACAAGTCTCAACACGTGGAAATGTACTCGTATATAGACAAAAGTTGTAATTTCGGGATCACCAGTGGCGTAATTGATAAAACACGATGGGTAGGTATGACTTCAGGACTGAATCGACATTTTTGGGCACCAACAAAATCACTTGCAAGGTCACAAGTCTTTTTGATACCGAACACATTAATTTATACTTTTTAATAAATTGATTACGTTTCTTTTTTAACGCAGCTAAACAGTAAACGCCACATTTGAAATTCGACAAAAGTTTTTGCGGAATATATTTTAGTATATTCCATGCACATAATAGAATGCTCCTTCAAAAGGCCTGATATGTCGTTTGGGAATAATTATTTAAATTTAATTTCCCAATAATCGTCGGATTAAAATGTGGATTTATGAAAATTTTTAACCTGTAAACCTGAAGGTTGATCTTCACATAAGTATTAAAAAATAGTCTCGGTAATAAGTGTAACAAAAATTGTCATTTTTAGTGTGTATCTAACTATTTATGGTTATAGAATTGTAAATGTGTATTATTTAGAAGATTATTTTGATTTAATACAAAATCAAATAATGGAGAAAGTTTTTATATGCATTTTACTAAGGAGTGCATTTTCGAAAAATAAAATTGCTAATTTAACCCTTGGCATCTAGAAGTTTCGATATTTGATTAAAAATTGAATCGAACAAGACAGTAATCCAAGGAGATGCACTTATTTCACTTATTGCCCCTAAAATATTTGCCATAAAACAATTGAACCATTTTTCTATATGTGTGCTGTGTGTATGAACAAGAATATGCAGGTATAAAATAAATCGATTACCTTACATAAAACACAGAAAGGTGTTGTTTCAAATATTGGAAATAATAATGACTCGTCTTTGTAAATTTTTGTATGTTGAGGTACTCGAATTATTCCTTACCTTATACAGGGTGTTCCATGTATCATGAATCTTAAAAGTTTGAACTATTCGTATTTACGGCAATATGGGTGTTCACTAGTTTGACAAAGGGTTGCTGTACCACTTTTGGAATGACATAAATAGAGATAATTCGAAAATGTGCTACTGTAAATTTACGATTCATTTTACTTTTAACGAATTGATGTTTTGGATATCGTTTATGAACATGGTATAGAATACCCTGTAGTGTATATAATATAGAGAGTAAGTTACTTTTTTCTTGTAGACCTCATAAAGTTCCTTGTATATTCCTTAATATTGGTTTTTAAATGTTTTCTTGTAGACCTTCTAAGCCACTTAATATTTTAACTTATTTATATGAAACATCTATGTATTATTATTCCTAATTTTAGATATCAATAATTTATTTCCCCGTTTTTTATGAGAATTTTATGTTTTGTGATATTCCGTCACTTGTTTTATTTGCAATTTTTATTTAAATTATTCTCTATTTGGTGCAGATTGCTGGACTTTTGTTAAAAATGAAGATAAATGTGATTATTTTCAGTACACTGTATGTTTTGTACTCCGGAATTACCACTATGCATAATTTGTTGTTTTGTGTACAATATATATGTTCCTTTCCCTTACTCCTTACTTATTGGGCACAAACCATATTTTCATTCTTATATTACGCACATGGGGTGATTCATATAGTATTAAGGATCTTAAAATATGCTACCTATTATTCCATAATCTTTTGAAGTTTTATAAGTAAACTAGGTTCTTCAGTTCTTACTTGAACTCAATATATAGAACACGTTTCATATATGCTTCATATCCTTCTAATATATTGAGTCTCTTTAACAGTCATATTTGATAACCATTGTTTTGGTATATATTTGTGAGTCACCCTGTATGTTTTGCATACACATAAACATTACAGTACAAATTGTTAAGAAATCAAAATCATATGATTCTCTGATTTTTTGCTTTTTGTCTTTCAGTTATGGTTTCAAATGAACACCATTCTTTATTACAAAAACTCATGCTATATGTTCGTAATGTATTATGCAGTCTTGAACTTTAGAAACTCTAATTGATGTTTTCTGGTTAACTCCATCAGTTCTGTATACAGTACACCAACATTTTGACTGTTTTTCTAATTATGTACTATAGAATCTAATTTATTTCTATGAAATCATCCTTTTGTAAATTTTTTCAAACCATATTTGTAGAAACGGAATTATAAAATATACATATTCAAAAAATTGATATAAGGCAGTTTTATTTTCATATGTGTGTTTCTGAGGATGAATAATCAAATCTTATAGTTATGGTTGACACAATAACGACGTATGTAAAGGCCTTAACACTCAGTAGATTTTGCTACAAAAAGGGGATTTGGCAATGGCACTTGGAACTGAAAAATCAACTCGTCATACCTTGGAGTAATCACAAAGTTGATTAACTTGTGCTGCCTTCTATACAGGTACAAGTGTAAATGAAAGCATTATGCTATAATCAAATGAAAATGGTATTTACCATTTTGGATTGGTATTTACCGATCCGTTCAAGCGAGTGTGGTTATCAGTTTGGTTATAAGATCCGTAACGTCATGAATCAGCTGTTATATGTCATAGTTATCACCGCAAAATTGTAGTATTTACCCAACTCAGGAGTAGTTTTATATTTGTGGTTATTATTTGACTTGTGACAAGTTAAAATTTTGCCGGGTATTGGATATTTTTATTGTACTTCAGCTTCATTTTTGGGAAACTTGATACAGGCTGACTTCAGTTTTAGCATAAGAGAGCACCTTATTAGTTATAATCATTACTGTTGTTGGGGACACTTTAAATCTAGTTCCTACGCTTAACAAAGTATCCTGTATAGCCATATACCACAAGAATATTAAAATATGGCCATATAAACTCACTGTATGATGTCCACCTGTATACAGTTTTGTTAATATCTTTTTTACATCGCTTTTTCATCATTTCAGCTAAATCAATAAATATTGTCTTTGACACGCGGAAAAGTTTAGAGAATTGGAAGTTATCATAGCTACAAAACCATGGTTCCATCAGTAAAAAAAAAAATATGAAAAAAAAACATTCCTCCCATTAATATTATGAAAGGTTTCTTTTTTCCAAATTACCATACCCCGTTGTAGCCGAAAAAGCACCGATTATTAAGTTATAATAAAAATAATCAGAAATTATATACGCGCTTTTCTAAAATAAACAACTTGAAACAAACCGCGGTTAAAACCAACGCGTTCAAGCGATTCGAGTAACTGACGTCATCATCCCGTGTGTCATCTTGAACCATATTATAACCGCGGTACATAATACGGAAATTTTGGTTATTCGCTTGGATTTGATTTATATGTTCGTAATGTATTATGCAGTCTTGAATTTTAAAAACTCTAATTTATGTTTTTCAGTTAACACCATCAGTTCTGTATACAATACACCATTTTGACTGTTTTTCTAATTATGTATTATAGAATCTAATTTATTTCTATGAAATCATCTTTTTGTAAATTTTTCCAAACTGTATTTGTAGAAACAAAGTTATAAAATATACATATTCAAAAAATGTATACAAGGCAGTTTCATTTTCAAATCTTATAGTTTTTGTTGACACAACAACGACGTATGTAAGTGCCTTAAGGCTCAGTAGATACTGCTACATACATGCGATTTGGCAACGCCGCTTGGAATTGAAAAATGAATTCGTCATACCTTGGAGTAATCACTTTTAAGTTGATTACCTGTGCTGCCATCTATACAAGGGGACATGAATCTCGGTATTCGCCTCGACAGACGGCAGATCTGTCACCTGTCAAACGGGGCACCCACCACCGTTACGGAAGTGATCCATCATCAAACTCTTGGCAAGTTCCAATAATTTCTGAGTAGAAAGCGACCACCAACGGTTCGTTCTGAGTGTCCCCAAGCATTTTCTGATCATAAACCACCACTGGTTAAGTAGATTTCATTACCTGGAACTCAGGTGATTCAAGTGTTCGATCCCCGTTTGTCCCGATTTTGACGTGTGTCGTGACCTCGGCCGCCATTTTGCAAAGTTGATTCTTCGGGTTTTAGTTATTGTACAAAATAATTGAAGATTTAGGGGATAAACACTTGTACAAATGGCTTTGAAAAGGATTAATAAGGTGAGTAAGACCCTGTTCTATTATTTTCACACCAAATTAACAATGTTTTTAAGAGATAAGCGGTGTGTTCGTACGGTGAAGATCACCCCTTTTTTGTGCCACCTTTTATAGCTGGCTTTCATCGATAAATAGTGAATTTGCTTCAATTTACAAGCAGTAACACAAATTATACTGTATTTAATCTTTTTTTTGTTATTTCGGTCTGCTCAGCAGTATTTGATCACATACACGAGGCGCTAAGACTTCCAAAACGCATATTTTTATAAAAAAATCGACTTTGGTATCAAATATATTCAAAAATAACCTCTTATCATCGACAACCAACTCCACCTGATCAAATTATAGCTTAACTTTTCATGAGTTTCTAACAAGGTGGTTTTATTGAGACTTCCTAAAAATTGCTTATAGCATGCTTCTTTCTTTGTACATTGCCGTTATTTTGTGTTCACGTTTTTGTTGAATTCTCGTTTCAATGAATCATCATCACATTTTTTTCTAATTTTTGAACAAGGTGGTGTTAGTATGACACTTCCAAGAAAATGTAGATAGCATGCTTCTTTCTTTGTACATTGCAGTTATATTGTGTTCACGTTTTTGTTGAATACTGGTTTCAATGAATCATCATTACTTCTTGCACCTTCATCATTCACTACACATTTTTTCATATCCTGCTTGATAATTTTAAAAAAATTCCATTTGTAAACAATATATCCTTGGCATGCTCAGCAAATTTTTTTTTACTTCACTAGTACTTTTAAAAGTTATAGACTAACCTTATGCATATTTTCAAAGTTCATGGTGTTTGAACAAAATCAAACAAAATTTCGGTTACATTTCCATATATTATAGTCCAAGAAAAGTGGATATCAAGATGAAATTTATTTAAAAATATTAAGCTACCACTGTAAACAGAAAGTAGATGTGCATCTAAACAAATATAGATAATCATTACTAATAGCTTAGCTGGTACCTGTTTGCAAAAGTATGTATTAAGTTACATGTTTACATTTTTGTTTTGTAATTTTGAAATATCCCAGCATTTCATGTAACAAGTTAAAATTGGTAAACAATGCTTATTGAGTGCTTTGAATTGTACATTTAACATGATTTGTCAGATATGATAGCAACATTTCTTCTATAATGGAATATGATTCCTGATATTTATAGTTTTAGATTCTATTCTATGGAATGAACTAGTTATATCCATTGGAGTAACTTTTTTAGAGGAGAAAATCTTTTTAGTTTAAACTCCCAAAGAGTATAGAATTTGGCTACAGCATACCTACTGTAGGTATATATATATATATTATTTATCTTATAAAATGGAAGAATTATTTCACTTATTGGATAATACAAATTAAAACTAAGCATAAGGATTTGGATAACTGTAACTGAAAAATGTTTCAATTTTTATTTTATTCTTGATTTATATTGTTATTAAGTGTTGACAATTTTTGTTCAACCTACTGAATGTTTTTGAAGATTCTAAGTTAATCAAAATGATATGATGATTAAAACAATATCATTGAAGCATAGTTTTGTAGAAATGGTGCATAACATTACTCACACATTACATTATTCATTCTGCTCTATTTAAATGCCTGCTGTGTTTGGTGAAACATTCAAAAAATTTGATGCATTCTTATATGCAAGTCCAGTTATACTATCTTGATTGCATGTTGTATATCTACAGTCTCTCACTTTTATATATATTGTTTTTTTTTTCAGGAATTACAAGACTTAGGTCGAGACCCACCAGCACAGTGCAGTGCAGGACCAGTTGGAGATGATTGTAAGTTTTTTAGTTTTTACTTACCTGTTAAGTAAATAAGATCAAATATCCAATTTAATAGATCTCTATTATTAAAATTTACCAAAACAAATTCAGGACTATAGAATTCATGTTGACTTCAGCTTGTATTATTTTATATGGAGTGAAACATTTAGATCTTTTGGCAGACAGATCTTAAAGTTGGCAGTGATAATGGAAGTTTTCAAAAAGTTACATAATGTATCAACAACTTCTTTATCTGCCCTCCTTTAGTCAGTGATGCATTCTTGGAGTTGGTCATCAAAGGTTTGCTTGCTGCAGCATATCATCTGGAATTGCAATATCATTCTTGATCATTGTCTCCAACCTCTGAATGATATGGAGCTTATTTGTGAAAACCCCTCTCCAGAAAGAATCATATACTGTGAGGTGTGGTGAGTAGTGTGTTGCCCAAGGGTCATGACTATTGAGCAATATCCCATGTCCAGGAAACAGGGTGCTCAAAATCTGTATGGATAACCTGGCTGCATATGCAGTGGCTCCATCCTGTTGGAATTATATTCTGTTGGTGCCATATTCATTTTCATCCAGTTGTGGAATCAAAAATTTTCCCTAGCGACTTGCCCTTGACCAGTTTGCTCATCAGACCTCTCAGAGTATAATTATTTTTTGAAAGGGGTTCACTCAGATAAGCTCAATACCAATCAGGGACTGGAGACAAAAATCAAGAATGCAATTGCATTTGACATGCTGCAGTGAGCAATGTTTGTTTTTCATATCTAAATTGTAAGTATATCATTTTTATAGTTACTCTTTTTGTCTGTGTATTGTATAGGTAAATGAGCATGAGCTAAAAATTAACCAGTATTTTTCTTGTTTCAGTATTTCACTGGCAAGCAACAATTATGGGACCGGTAAGTTAATGAGTTTTTTTTACCCTTTCTGTCTCTATTTTAATGTTTTTTCTTGCAGCCTGACAGTCCGTATCAGGGAGGGGTGTTTTTCCTAACCATACATTTTCCCACAGACTACCCTTTCAAACCGCCAAAAGTGGCATTCACAACTAGAATTTATCATCCAAACATAAACAGCAATGGTAGCATCTGTTTGGATATACTCCGTTCTCAGTGGTCACCAGCGCTGACTATATCAAAAGGTAAGAAACAATTTATGAATTGTTTTCTACTGAACAAATTTTTTATCCCAAAATATTAATAGAATATAAAAAATTGGTAATGTTTTAAAATTCTAGCATGCATTTGGAACTTAAACATTTATTAGTGCAAGTCATTGCTTTAGTGTCCAAACCAGGGAGGATGTTCCTCAGATTCTTAGAAAATTTACGCATTTGCAAATCAATCATTCTTATAACTCGTGGATATGCAACAGACTGCTTGAAATGAAATCATTAATGTTAGTGAAAATTCTTTATGAAAACGACAAGTGGTATTGCAAATATTGTTGTTAGACTAGTTTTTATTCAAGAGAATATAGATCTTTACACGGTTTTTAGTAGGTCGCAGTAAAACTAGATGAGTTGATTCCATGCATCCATCTTCCTCACGCATACATAATATGCAATCGGACCCTATGACCAGACGTTTGTATTAGTCTTTGAATGTAAATAACTTTTAGGCGAATGCGAATATCTACTTCCGATATTCGCGAATACGATTGCGAATGCAAATTTTCAGGTTTTCTTTATACATCACATCAAGACAGTATTGCCAGGTATAGTTTTTGGTAGACAGTAAGCTAAAAATAGAGACATGCCAGTGATTGAAAATTGATGAGCAGGAGGTAAGGGTTGTATCAAATGGTGAAATGCTACCATCTGAAAAACTGAAGACCAGAGTATTGATGTTTTCTTTCATTGAATTATGTCAAAAATATACTGTTTAAGAATTTGAGTATTTTTTCGGAAAATTTTGCATTCGGTAGAATAGGATTAAAATTGGTAGATGTACCGATAAATCGGTAGAGCTGGTAACACTGCATCAAGGCATATTTGAAGGACACAAGGCTGCATAGCTTTTCTAGCAAAAAACTGATATTTGTTGTTTTATTGAAGTACGTAATATTTTTTATTCTCTTTTCTGGTATTCATATTCGCATGAATGCGGATGCAAGTGCGAATATCAAGAAACATGCGAATATGAGTGTGTTTGTGCAAGAGCAAGTAGCAGCTGTGTAAATGATCAGCTTGTGCAGTGTGCAATTTCCATCAGTGAATTTAAGCTCTGCACATGGTACAGTTAGTCAATGCACTTACCCGATTTTGTATGTGATGTAGCCACCAAAAACTGTGAAAATAGCTATAGTAGTATTATAGTGTTATCTTATCTATAGTGTATAAGTATGCTTAGTAGTGCATTTCTATACGTGCTCAGGATCCAATAGACTAGTAACACTTTCTTTAAGTAGATCTTAAACAGTTTACAGGGTTCCTTCAATAAGTATCGGGACTGGTTCCAAAAATCAAAATTTATTACAGGTGTCATTACAATTACTTAATAATCTCCAAAATACATTTCTGCATCGATACACTTTGTTCGGCGCGTCTGCCACTTGTCACAAGCAGCCCGCTGTCGTCGCCGCTTGAACCGCCTCGATGAAGTCGAACCGATGTCGTTTGAGATGCCTTTTTATTTGCGGAAACAAGAATTTCAGCTGGAGCCAGGTCTGGGCTGTAGGGAGGGTGAGGCAACGTTGCAGACTTTTTTCACTTTGCGTTGCTCCACTGTGCGCTCCATGCTGGTGCGTCGACACCACAAAAAATCACACGTCACAAAAATCCACCTCCTGTCTCAACACATACCCGCAGGCGACTGAACCAACATACGCTTGAGTGGTGAGGGACTCCTCTACCGACCCTCCTCCACCGCTCTGTTGAGGCTACAACGAACCAATCCCGATACTAAGTGAAGGACCCCTTAGACCGAAAAATTAATACTATATTTTATTCAGACCTAAAAGACCGTAAGACTAATTTAAAAACATATCGTCGGACATCTGACAATACCTGCTATCTGACATTTTTGCCCAATTTGAGGTATATGCACATTTTTCGTCGTCTACCTAGAGCGCACATTGTGAGAGTCCGCTTACTGCAGAAAAATTTAGTTTTTGAATTATTCAACCAAAACAATACCTACCACTGGCAACACGCCTGTCAATGAGCGGCAATTTCAGCTATCTGACAATTACACGTGCTATTTTTCTTAACTTTGCAATGAAACACGACGTTGTGATTTCTCAGAAATATCTCGCCAAAGGACACACCCAAAAGAAAACTGAGAAATAGAGTTATTGAGTTACCAAATGACTTTGTTAGGGTGTCAAAAGAACCTAGGACAAAACCAGAGCCATATAAGGTGAACAGAGGTGCAGCGATACTCAGCAATTAGACTAGGCAGGGACAATGTAGTCACGGGCATCAAAGTACTATGTTATAATCCTGATGGAAAAATTGAAGTGAAACTAGACAGTGTAGAGCCTCAGGAGTTGCATATGAAACCAAAACAGCTACCCGTCATTTCAGATTATAAGTGTTATATCTAAGGACTGTCACATGTTTTACGACAATTTACCATATGTCAAGGAAAGAAGCTGAACGTTCATTTAAGGTGCAACTGAGAATACATGCTATTATCATTTTGATTTGTAAAATCATTTAACTTTTAATTTGATATAATGAATAACAGTTTTTCTAACACGAATATCACTAAATCCATCTACGCATTTATCCAGTTATCAGAAATATGAGCTATCTGCACTAATTTTGTCAATTAGATCTTCATTTAGATAAAAACGCATTAAATATGTGTTAAACGTCATTTATTTTTTGTGACCAAAGTTGTAGAGTCTTAAGGCTGGTAGTATAAAATTGATAAGGTTTTTTTCGTCTCCTGTACGGTTCCTGCATATAGCAGGTATTGTCAGATGTCCGACGATATTTTTCTGATACAGGTGAAAACGCTGTGCTCTGATGTCATACGATATGTAAACAGCAGGTGGCAGTCATAACCTCTCAAGCTTTTAATTATATAAACATGACTTCTAGTTTACATGAAACATATAGTAATTGTCGTTATTGTTTTGTCCGAGAGAATGTAAAAATACATTGATAAAGCCTCCAGGAAAGCTCTGTATTAGTGCCCATGGAAATATATGCAACACTGTGTATTGCTATCCTAATGTTTGGGACATATTTTACATCTTACTGTGCAGATTTTTATCGACTCGTTTAAGTCGGACGTAGCCGACGGCATCATTGCGCGATTCTCTTACAGTGTAAGAAGAAATACAATATTTGATAACATTAGCCATAGGTTATGACTCATGAGCTTAGTTTTGAATGACTTTTGGATCGGAAGATTATGTATATGTATTCCTTATTTTTCAGAAATCTGGATTGAAGGCAAAAATATTACCAACCATCAACGAGCCGTATTCATAAAACAAAGAATATCCTTGTACTTGCAAATTTTGAAGCAAATCCTCCAGATGGTATTTATAATAATTTGAAGTAAATGCTTTTGCTTTTTGAGTATAAGCATATCCTTCAAAGCAGTGACATAAATAAAAGGATATTCATAATATTCACCTTATACTTGGCATAGGAAGCATATCCTTCAAAAATTTTGAGTGTGGTCAGTAGCAGACTCAACTTCGTAACGAAAGGTGGTCAAACTATGATGGCGGAAATTGTGGATGTTAAGGATGTTAAAACGTACAAACCTCGTTCACCTTGGTGTTAGTCAAGCAATGACATTTCGGATTGTGGATAGAGTTGTGAACAGCATAGTTAGTTGCACAGTCGAACGAATGGATCAAGTTTCCAACTACAAACCATGAACTGATGGAGGCCAAGCGGATATGGCAAAGCATTTTTGCAGCAATTGGTCTAATTGATTGTACACATATAGGAATCCTGAAACCAAATCGCCATAGAGATGAGTATATCAACCGAAAAGGGAAACCTACTTTAAATGTGCAAGCCACTTGTGATGCCAGAGAGATGTTCACAAGTGTTATGTCAGTTGGCCTGGATCAGTGCATGATTCCAGAATATGGAGAAATTCACCGACTAGATCACAACTAATAAAGCAAATGTACTACTTGGCGATGATGGTTATGGTATTGAACCATGCCTTATGACTCCCTTAAGAAGTCCTACTCCAGGTGTAGAAATAAATTATAATAAGCTTTTAAAACAAGAAAGAGTTATAATTGAACGCTCTTTCGGCCAACTGAAACGCCGGTTTCCTATCCTACAGTATGTCTGCCGCGTAAAGTTGGAAAATGTGCCGAACATAATTATTGCTTGTATTGTACACCATAATGTTGCGAAGAGCTTGGGCGATCCTGACTTTGAGATAGTTGAACAAGACCCAGATGAAGATGAAGGAAATCCTGAGAATGACGAACTTCCTCTCCGCCAACTAAGTCAACAAACAAGAAACTTATATATAGTATTATAATAAATCGTTACACTGATTAAAGTGTATTCAGTTATAATAAGTTTTATTTTCGTGAACATCATTAGTTACATGTGGCTTCTGACGCATCATTTCTAATTTCGTTTTATAATACCCTTGTAAAATACTTGTTTGGTACTGCTATAAGATCACTAGATGTTGCAGTTATTTTGGAGTTAACCGTTTGGTTTCCTTAGTTTCGTATTTCTCTGTAGCTAATTTTCTTTTTGGTGGCAATGTCTTCTGAAATGCTGGCGCTGTGATACTAACTGTTTGCTCACTGCGCCCGGTATATAATTCACTTCCTTCTTCTTGAACACTACCAACCTGAATGGCACCTCTAATTTTCCCAGTTGTAGGATTACAGTCACCTTCCATAGCTTTCAGAAACTTTCTTTCCGAATCTAACAATTTATTTGCTTTATTACCAGTTTTTTTAGATCTGTTTTTTCTTCAATCTTGATTTCATGTTGATTTTTCTTAAAAAGCCTTTAGTATCTAATGGTTTACCGAATATTGATTTGTATTTTTTCAACATCTTCAAGGCATCGTCGTTTCTCATTTTTATTTTTGGAACTTGTGACTTTTGCAAAATAATGGGAACAATGGCAATTGCATCTGCGATGAACTGCAGGTCGTTGCCATTATTTTCTATAGTTTCCTCATCACTTGAGGATGACATGCTTATCAATTTGATAAAAAACAGTATCCAGTACAAATACGGAACAGTCTGTGTAAGCTCTGGAGTGCAACTGTCGGTGATGCTGAGTGAACGAACTCCCACGTCAACTACAAGCTGGAACAAGTCAGGACATGTAGCTCAACCTTTTACTTCTTCTTGGAGGATATCCTCGCGAGTGTAATCTAATCATTATGAATATGAAAACAAGGATATGCTTATACTTCTACCTTTTTCTCCGAAGCAAGACCTTATACTTTTATCTTATGCTTCCGAGGATATGCTTCTCTTTTATGAATACGGCTCAATGTGTCATTTAACGACAAATTTTTGCTTTCTGCTTTTACGAATCGAACGTCCACGATTGTTCTTTTCAATAAAACAATTGCTTACGTTGATTAGGGCCTTTTTAAGGTGACGTTAGTCTACAAGTGACATACGGATGAGGTTTCCTTGTTTACAATTTGTATGACGTCACATCACGGCCGATTGTGTTTTCACCGTCTCGTATTGAAAATAATAAATATATTTTATTTTAAGTTGTATATTCATCTTGCGCTTTTAAAAATTGAAATCAATATAATATTTCGTTCTCCAAGCTAAATACTATAAGAAATACGTATTTATTGTACGAAATTAGATCAGAGTCAAGTGGCCTATTGTATTGAATAGCTTGAGTAGTTACAGATACCAGCGGATACGAAGTATCGGCATGCGACTCTCAAGGCTTGAGATTCATGCATAATTTGAACTTTAAACTGTGCCCCTAAACATAAAGTATGTCAACGATGACGGTGTATTGTAAATGCATTATTCCGTTTCAGTTTTATTATCTATCTGCTCACTACTGTGCGACCCGAACCCAGACGACCCGCTAGTGCCCGAAATCGCCCGAATATACAAAACTGATAGAGAGAAGTACAATGAATTAGCCAGAGAATGGACCCGGAAATACGCCATGTGATTGCTCCAAGTCAACGGCGACACTTCACATATTTACTATTATTATTAGACAAAAATAATTACAAAAAACAACTTATTTAAAATAAAAACGGTATATCAGCGTTTAATGCGGACATACGAGGCCAAAGGCGCTCACAGTGTGACAGTGTCACCATTATGGGGCCGAGGGATCGAGTTTTAGGTTAAGGCGGAATTCGCGATTTTTTGTAATTTTGAAAATTAATAGTCGGCACTCATCCTCAGCATTGTAGGAGGTTTGTAAAATGAATTGTGCGTGACATGTTTTGAAGTTTTTCAACTCTTGATCAGTTTTTGTAAACATTTGATTATGAGTTAATTCGAACATGATTGTAATTTATCTTTGAAAATAGAAACCGTGCAGGAGGTTGAAGATGTGTTATTGAATATGGAATATTGCCGATCATTTGATGCATGATTTAATAGAGCTAGTTAATTTGTCATTACTGTTGGTGGAAATCGTCATTATTAGCTTATATCTAAACATAATTCAGGCATTTATTTGCTGGTAAAACACATTTCATTTTGAAAAATACTTGTGAGTGGATACATTTCCATTTGATACAAGTATTTATATTTCTAAACCAAGTGTGAGCAAGGAGTAACCTACTGTTACTACCGTTTGTTCATCTCTATGGTGTAAAAGCGATGCATGCACCCTAAAAGTACTTCGTCTTGTGATAAAAGCAGGTTTTATCCTTGCTGTCTTTACCCAGTTCTTGGTCATCAAGTACCAATATTATTAGTAATAATAGGTTTTCCAAACCGAATGTACTATTTGAAACGTACTATTTAAAGAGTGTATGCAGCAATGTTACTATGTACATAAACATTACTGGGTTGTATTTATTATAGTTTAATATCGAAATACGTAACGAAATTTCTCACCGCTTTTGACATATTTATACCGATTTTCACGTCACAACACTTCATTGGATTTGTGAGGACATTCACAACCAACTTCGAATCTATATCAATGGCTTTTCCTTGCGCGACACATAGTTTTTGACAACTTGAATTCACGTAGTTTAATTCAAACACTGGGCCCAATAGTTTGTTGGAATTCCGTAACTTTATTTTTGGCGGTCTTAAAAATATTTCTCTCATCGTCACATTTTTAACATATGATCTCGTTGCCCCATAGGAATGTTTTTGAGCGCGTCAAGATGATTCGCTGAAACTCGATCCTTTTTTCCTTTATAAAGTCCTCGACCCCTCCCCCCTTTTTTGGAAAAATGCCAGGTACATCATCTGTCTCTTAAGTTATCTGTTTCCGGTAGCTGGTATTTTTCCTCCATGTGGTAACGTAAATATCGTTTTTTATTATGCCCTCTTAAAAAAATGCGGGGAAAGCAATTTAAAAAATGGAACTTGTAAAAATTGAGATTCTTTGTTTCTTTTCAGTACTTTCTAATATATATTGTGGTTGTACACTATACACAAGTTTAGTTTTATTTAAAACCATAAAATTATACCCCTGAGGAAAAAGGGAGAGTATGAGCAAATGATATTGTCATTGTCTAACATTTGGGGAACATGATGGACCACTCTAGAGCGATCAAAGTATGTAAATGTGGTATTTATACCAGCAAAAATTTTAGTTTCCCATAGAAAATCGAGCTGTTGTTCCTTAAATACGAGGGTGAATCAAATATGAACAGGACGTCTTGGTATATGTTTAGTGGGGATGTCAGGAAGAGAGGCGTCAGTCGGTTTGGCGCGCCGAAGTAGATGAGCTGTTAGTAGTATCATGTCCGAGTATGAGGTGCACATGTCTGTTGCGCAACGCATTATCATAAAATTTTTGTCGCGGGAGGGCGTAATACCTCCCGAAATTTTGCGTGAATTAAAAGCACAGTTCGGCGATAAGATACTTCAAGGACACAACTATAATACTGACAAAAAAAATTCCAATGGCCGAGAGACAGTGGAAAACGAGAGCCATGAGCTCCGACGCAGGTCAAACATCAATGAGGCGAATATTCGTGCAGTCTATGAACTAATTGAAGGTAACAGAAGAATTACAGTATTCGACATTGCCGCACATGTCGGAATATCGTACGGGATGGTTCAGTCGATCATTTCGGATGAGCTGGGTTACCGGAAAATGTGCAAGATAGGTTCCTCGCCTTTTGACGGAAAATCCGAGAGCAAACCGTCTTAACGTGTGTGAAAGGCTTTTGGCACGATATCGAGCAGAGGGGGTGATTGGTTCATACATACTGTTATGAGACGTGGGTGTATTATTTATTACACCCCTGAGTCGAAGCGGGCAAGCATGGAGTGGCGAAAGCCTGGAGAGGCGGCACCGAGAAAATCCAAGACCAGTCTTTCTACAGGAAACGCATGTTTGGGCCACTTAAAGAAGACCTGGAAAGTCACCATTTTGACGACGACGAAGAGACGTGGAGACGTTCGTGCACAATTGGCTACTGACACGACCAGCTTGATTCTTTGATAAGGGAATTAAAAAACTTCCAACCCGATGGAAAAGTGCATCAATAAGCGATGAGATTATGTGAGAAATAAGATGTAAATGAATTTGTATTTACTATACCAGTAAAATTACTAAAAGTCCGGTTCATATTTGATTCACCCTGGATTTTTTTTTAAATTGTTCATATCCAATCTGGTGCCTGGAAACATGCAGATTCGCGAAAAGGGGTCGTATGAATAAGATTATACAAAAAACAGAATGGAAATGTTTCATAAGCAAAAAAAAATAGATTTTTTTTCAAATTGTTCATATCCAATGTGGCGCCGGCAACATGCAGATTCGCGAAAAGCGGTCGTAAGAATAAGATTATCAAAGAAAACGAATTGAAATGTGTTTCATAACAGATGGAAGATACTTACTTCCTGGACTACATAAGGAATTTGTAACAGGTAGGATCACGATTATCAAAACCGAACTAAACAAAAATTTATTAATACCCTAAATATTACACTATTTTTCCTCTATATTGCTATTTTGTTTCGTATTCATGGGAGTCATGGCTTCGTCATTATTTGAAGACACCTTTTTCCTTCTGTCAAGACAAGCTTTGACAGGTGGTACACTGAAGCTGATCGCGGCTGCTATGGCGAATAGCCCCCCAGCTACAAAGAACGGCACCTGAAAAAAAGTAAAAAATGAAAACATTACTATGAGGCATTCTGTTTTCTGGTCGTTAAATGAAACCACATGATACGTACGCTTGATTTTAGCTAAGGTTTTGGCTTTTTCAAAGTACACATAAAAAAGTTGCAGTGACAATATATTTTATATTTGTCTGTCCTTCAAATAGAGATTCATTTATTTTTGTTGTTACTATACAGCGATTATATTGCAATTTTAAAATGGCACTGAGCATTATATACCCTGGGGTAGACATTCCTGCTCCCAAAGAGATGCAGTCTCTAAAAAGAGACTCGCGTGCCTGAGGTTTTCTGTTGTTTTCGATGACACGTAGGCTTTGCCTTGATGTGGCCAAGCAAAACATTGCGGCTTTGGGATCCAATAACAAACATAAAAAAAACGGACGAGAAAAACTTATGGTCTTGGAGAATATCAATTACGTGTTTCCTTAAAAAAAAAAAACTAGAGCTAATTGTTTAACTTTATATAGGCCTTACAAAAGGAAAGTTCCGAATTTTGTTATTGAGGTGGTCATTTCATTAACTACAAAAGCAATATTTTTTCCAACATGCTTTTGCGTATTCTGGGTATAATATAAGTCAGTAGATTCATCCAACACCGCGTGCTTGTCTAAACACGTCAGTGAACGTAGCATCTCAAACGTATTCTGTGATTACTTCGCCTAACGTTTCGTCCACCTGGGTTGCCTATTTTAAAGTACAAGATATTGTCATTATTATTTCGATTGGGTCTAGCGTTTCAAAAGCCACTAGTCATTTTTTCAATGTAATTTTTTTTTTGCTAAAAGGTACTGAAACATTAAAACATATGAAGGATTAATAGATTAATGTTAAATTTTAACAAGGTAAGTAGAGAACCGTTTTACATACTTCTCTCATTATTATTAAGCTGCCCTTATTCGACATTCCAATCTTTTAAAACTCAAATAAAGGAATAAAGGTCCGCCAGAAAGAACGCATCGAGTGGGCTGGTCCCGTGTCGGTGGGGAAGGGCGTATTGGATAGTGGGTGAAGTGCCGTTTCAGTAGGCTTGAGACATACGACTCTTTTATCTGAGCTCGCTCATTTCGTTCATCTCTCTTTAGTGAGTCGTTCGAACGGAGTCGTTCATTTGAACGAGAGTATTGTGTTGCCTATAGTAACGACTCGGAGAATAAACATCATACTATGAAAATTAAATAAAGGGTTGGGGTTGCCGATGTTATTGTATTTATTTAAACATTATTTTTTATTGAAATTGAATATAACGATTGTATACTGTCTTCCGAAAAAAGAAGGGATATGTGGTCCGGTTTTGAGGAATTACCGAATTCTGAATCAAAATGCAATTTTTGCTCTCAAATCCCATCATTTCAACGTATAATTTGATGAGAGATCTCAAAACAAAACAATTGGGTTCCCTAGGTAGTGTCTGTACTGTTACCACGTTGTCAGTTCGCAGTTCAGTTGCTGCATACTGCAGACACGCTTTGCACAATTGAACGAGCCATATTTAACAGACTCGTTCAATCATCGCTCACTTAGATGAGTCGTTCATTTTGAACGACTCGTTCGCGAACGACACATGACTACGTTTCAGTTGGCAGACGGTTTGAAACGTTGAGCATCGTGTGTTCACCGTACGTCGGTACTTTCAAAATGGCGAGTCTATCGTTCGAACGCAACGTGAGTTTCGCGTTCACTTTCGTGTTCCACGACTTGGCACAGTACCAGACCGTAAAACACCATTTTGAGATGGGTGGAAGCATTCAACACAACAGGTAATGTGATGAAGAAAAAACCGCCAGAGCGAAACCGTACTGTTAGAACCCCCGAAGACGTAGACAGAGTGCGCTGCAAAGCCCGAATCGTTCCGTCCGTTTGCGTGCCAGTTCCCTACGGATCCACGCATCCTCTGTACGTCGCATCTTGAAGAGGGATTTAGTGTTCCATCCGTACAAAATCCAAGTTGGTCATCGACCGTTGCCAGGGAATTATACACAACGTGTTAATTTTGCACAGCTCATGATTGAACAGTTGTATAACAATGACATGACGTTGTTTATGAGTGATAATGCACATTTACATGGATACGTCAATGAACAAATATGTCGATATTGGTCTCCAGTGAACTCCAAACAGTTGCATGAGCACCCCCTGCATACCCCGAAAGTTACAAAGATCCCAGGACGTCTCATTTCACGTCATGGCGATAATCCATGGCCCCCTCGCTCCCCGGACCTGTCTACGTGTGTTTTTTTATGGGGCTACCTGAAATCAAAAGTTTACCAAAGCAAGCCTTGGACCCTCGTCGATTTGAAGGAGGAAATAAGAAAAGAAGTAACCCGAATTCCTGCACGGATGCTGGCCGACGCAATGGGCTCATTTCGGGAGAGGCTTGATTCCTGCATTTCGGTTCAAGGGTGCCATATGGCCGACATAGTTTTTAGATCGTAAATTTTGTTTTCCTCAAAAAAATGGCATGTATTTTGATAAAAAATAAAGTATTTTTCCTATACTTATTTTGACTGTACTACACATTTAAAAAACATGCGTTCTTTCTGACGGACCCTGTACTATAAATACCTTAAAACTCGTTTATTTACGAATGGCATCGTTATTGATTCCTGAAAATTTCAAATTTTGTATTTTTTTGAGGTTTTTGACATGACTGGTTCAATAATTCGGTTGCAACCGCCCGAAATAGCAATAACAATAATTTTTGGTCCCAATGGGGCACGTAAAATATAAGTTTGCTGATGATCGATTAAAATTGATGGTTTTGTCACTCTAGAGAATCAAAATAGCCAAACGTGGTATTTAGATTGACAAAATTTTAATTTTCCTTCTTAAACAATTGAGCTGTTGTTCCTGGAATGTGTACGGTATGAACAAACATAAAAAATAAATCTCTTTGTGGTTAAAAATCGTATCTGCTATTTTGACGTGGGCAATAACCACATGAGGTGTTATCGATAACCTTTTGATAAGATATGACATACTTACTGTGAAAGAATGTGTGATATCATACAAGGCACCAGCTAAAGGCGAACCGATAACAGAGGCTGTGCCTCTGAATAAAATGAGGAGTCCGAAAGCATTCGTTAGTTTATCCAGCCCCAACAGGTCCACCAGAATGATCGATGTTAGCGATATATAGGCCGCTGAAAATATAGAATCAACCAATAAATATCGAAATAAGGCAGCAAAATCTATTATCAGACTGCAATAGTGAATAGCAGCTATCGGTTGGAAGCGTGAATATCTCGGTTCGCGTTTGATTGCACATTCACCATTGTGACGTGGTCTATTCGCAATTGAAGAACTAAACAAACTGATTTCGTCCGCTTGGCCACAGACAGCTGGAAAGCGTCGCAACTGTATCCTCTCTCTGAGATATGGGATCTATTGAAATAAGGCAGATATCTTATTTCGTACGTTTTCCACTTGAGAGTATACGGATGTGTTGTCAAGAAGCACGAAACGGCTCTCTGTGGTCGGACGGACAGAAGCAGCATGGGTAGTTGACCAATAAAGTATGTTTTTTCGCTAATACTAACAAGATAAATCACCATTATTGCAATGCCAAATTGAAAAGTAGCTTATCTTCCCATAGGTAAGTAGTGATAACAAAAAATATCTTGGTAAATAAAAATGTAGTTTAAAATTGACTTTGAACGTGATATCTCCAAATATTCGAAAACAAATGAGAAATAACTATTGTTCGGTATAGCTCATTATCTAACTACCCTTACTGATATTTCGATGACTGCGTTCAGCCAACGTGAGGCGGTCCTGCAGGGCAGCGTTTTATCCTGCAAGTAGTAGCCGTGGAGTAGTGTGGCAATTCGTAATATTTGATTTATAAACTATCAAATCTGACACGCAAGTGGAAACGGCTGTTAAACTGGCAAAGTAATCCCATGGCTACTGCTATTCAGCATAAAGGCACTGCACCGATGGATCTCCTTTTTTCTGAAAGCTCTTAATAATTGGGGAATTACTGGAAGATAACTTTCAATGCTAACAGAATTAAAACATATCCAAAAGACGTTAGCACCCTAATCTCCCCTATATTATGTAAAAAACACCGATAAAATGTCTCCTTGTTGACTAAGTAGCCTAGTGTGCAAATAGTTCATTCCGCGCTTGATACAAGTGATCATAAAGTTAACGACAGCTATAACCCTATTCGTAGTCCATTTACGCCCCGACACAACAAAGATGCAGCGCGGCAAAGCGGTAGCCACCTAAGCGTAGCAATAGCTATTGGTTATTAGGCCATAAAACAACGAACAAGTGCAAGGATTCGACAGGATAGAACTCAGGCTCGGGGTATCGCCGGCACGCCGACGCCGTCAGTTGCTGTTCACATTCGCTGCATACATAGCGTGTGTCTATACGTTAGCATGCCATCTACGGATACAGCAGATGGAACTGAGAATATTTCTCACAATGCTTCCTCTTCAGTGATGTCTCCTCCCCGGAAACGTGACAAGAAGGGACATTTGAAGATTCAGGCAAAAGAAATTGTCCTTAACGTTCATAAGAACGAAATTTTAGAGCATCCTGAAATGGAAATGCATGATATTGAAAGACGTGTGGCGAATAAAACGGGCTCATGTCCTAAGACAATTTTCAAAGTTGTTAAAGAATATAAAAAACAAAAAAGTTTCTCCAGCACACAAGAGGCTGCATTACATGAAGCTGTTGGATACTGTTGATAACTTTGATCGGACGCAATGTCTATCAATTTTTTGAAAGGCAGGAACTTCCCACCATAGACAAAGTATTACAGGAGGTTAATAGTGATGAAGACTTACCTACTTTCGAAAGCACCACATTGTATAGTTTCACGCTGAAAACTTAGCTACACTATACTTAGCTATGTCTGGTAGATTGGCAACCATCACCTGTTAGGTACTCTGATTGTATTATTAATATATTAGTTTTCTTCAATATAATATGAAATAATTATTTCCAGGAAAAGGAAAACGATTTGTTAGCTGTAACAATGGCAGTGAAGATGGCTTTGTACCCACACCGCCCTATGGGCATTTGAGTCAAAGAATACTACCGACTACCATGAAGAAATGTACAGGATGGTTTGGAGAAACGCCCCCAAAGCTTAACGACAATGCCGTCATTGTACTTGATAATGCTGCATACCACTCTAGAAAACTTGAAAAAATTCTCCGCGTCCACAATAAAGGCAGAAATTCAACAATGGCTCGTATTAAAAGACATCAGTTTCAACGAAAATATGGTCGAAGCAGAACTTATCCATCTAGTCAGGCAGCACAAATATAAATATAATCTTAATGTTATTGACGAAATGGCTAAGAACCAAAATAAGACCGTTTTAAGGCTACTCCCTTATCACTGCGAATTAAATCCCATTGAAATGATTTGGGCAAATACGAGTATAAAAAGCTATGTGGCTTCAAACAATAGAACATTCAAATTTTCTGACGTGGAACATTGGAAAGATTACATCCGTCTCGTTCAAGAGACAATCGAAACAAAGATGTGGGATCTGAATCTTGTGATCGATATTTGAATTGAACCTTTAATAATTAATATTAACCATTTGGGCGATGATTCAAGTACTTCCAGCGAATAAAGAATTGCGAAAAGCATGTGCAATTCTTTCTATAAAAATAATCATTCATCTTGTTATATTATTCCAAGATCATTGAGGAAAATACGGACCTGTACGATCTCGTTTTTGGGCATGCTGTGTTTTGTTTGGACTTTAACGGACTACGAATGGGGTATAGTTCCAAGTTGACGTCCTGTAGGAAAACCTAGATAATGTCAGAAAAAACCTACATAATGCAAAAAACTCGAGTTTCGTAATATCCCTGCCGCTTTCTGTTGCTTTCATTTGAGTTCGTCAGTTTGACACCAGGGTACTATATGTTTCAAAGAATTCGTAAAATGAGTATGAAATCTTGATTTACGTAGTGATTAGATTATAAATGATGGATGGGAAAATATTTTGATTCGGATTTTTTGCATAGTCTTATTCAAAAAGGACCGCTTTTATTGGATCTGAATGTTGCCAGACCCAGATTTGCATAAAAAATTACCAGAATAATTAAAATTAAATTTTATTTTTTTTTTCGCTCCGATCAGTATGGATTTTTTGAGACATTTCGTACTTTTTCAAATATTGCATCGGTTATATTTGGAAAACTATCAATTTTAGATAAAACAGGGCATACCGGAACGACAAAGAAGACAATTTTTGGAATATGCTAAAAAAATGTTTGAGAAAATTTTGACGCGAAGGGCCTTGCGCCATGCAGATTCGTAAAAAGGGAAACTTTTCGAATAATCAGATGTGAAAATATGGCCTGAACTAACAATAAACATATCTGAATCTTATAAAACCGAATGTAGTGATGTGTTAGCAGTGAAAAAAATTCTTTACATACCTCGCTTGAAAAAGCCATGTTTCTCAAGCTAGGTATGTAATGTACTATTTTTCTACAACCGATCAAAAGTAGCAAATTCAGTTTTGCTTTCTTCACGATTGATATTTTCTATAAAGTTGCGATATTCCTTGGAGTATTACCGTAAGATTTGATAATCGTGCAACCAAAGCTGATAACCAGCGTATGTTCTGTAAAAATGCTAGAACTGCAACGTAAGTATTACTAGTGATGATATCCAGTTATTTTATGTCGCAGCTTAGAAAATAATTCTGTATACAGGTTACATGCTAAGTTTTAGCAGCATGGAACCACTTGCCACTGCAAGGTTCGCTATGAGCCCACTCTGTAAGCTGTTCCCAGAAAAACTGATGTCTCGCTGTGATCACCAGGTTTAACACCCACTGAGTTTTTTTTCTGCGTAGATAGCTAAATGACAAGATTTATATTAGTATTCAAAGGGATATTGACGACGAACGAAAATATCAGTTGTGAAGTAAGCGAAATCGAACTGTTTATGTTTCAGCTCTTTACACAAAATTCAATGAACAAATCCCATAAGTGCGCGGAATGGAGAATTAGATTACATAATGTTAAAAAACAACTCATTTCTGGATATTCATGTTCAATAAAATAATTTCTTGTAAAATGAGTGAAACTTTTATTTTGAATTAGTAATCCTAAATCTGTCGTGGGACATGATCTGCTTACCTATTGCTAGAGCAAATGCTATAGACATAGCAACGTAAGCTGCATACGTATGACAAAACGGTGCCAATCCTACAGCGATGGCAGCCAATACCAGAGCCAAGTTGTTCACTAATAACGCGTTAATTTGTGGGAAATCTGCCAAATATCCAACCAACAGCCTGCCTATGGTATTGGTGATTCCTATTATGGAGATTAGGAATGAGGCTTTCCCTTTCGATATGCCCTGGAAAAGCATTGTAAATATTAAGACAAAACGATATATAGGGAGTGCCCGAATAACATGTCAATCTCTTGTATACATACCGGATGTTTCAAATTCGAATATCATCATTAAGATCTCGGATATACTCCAACTACCACGAAGGCCTAAGGTCTAAACACCCATTGGGTACCGTGGGGCTATAGGGGGATACAGGGGAAAGGGGGAACGCCACACGGACTCTGGCAAGGGAACACGTGTGCATGCAACATGCACACATTCTGGCTCCGCCTACGAGATCCGCCAGGTGGTACCTCCGCGTTCGACAGTCAGAGACCGTCTACGAAATTGTTGAATGGAGGCAAAGTATAGCGTATTCAGGATTTTCGCAATTCCGAGTATTTCCTGAATAAACGAAATAAATTAACAAAGTTATTTCGAAAAAACTAATGTTGTCATAGTTGACTTTGAAGATAACAGTTTATCACATGTTTATCCAAATAAGTCACCAATGCCTTTCAACTTTAGCACGATGGATACACTTTACATGGCATCTTAGCCAAAGATTAATAGTATTTAAAATGAAAGATGTGTGCATCGGTTTAGATATGAGGGATAGGAATCTGTAACACGGTAAAACTGGAGGAATGCTTGGCTGATGATATTGTAACAAGAATGAATGGCGCCATCTGTTGGGGACCGCGCCAGACTCCTACTCGCCAGAGCTTCATGGCCGATCTCTGTTGAGGACCGTGCCAGAGACTCTCCTTCGGTGGCGACATCTGTTGAGGACCGTGCCAGTGACTCGCCTTCTAGATCGACGCGAAGTGACCTCGAAGATTCTAGACTGCCGCTGTGGCTCACTCTAATCTTCTCGACTCAACGAGTACCTGTGATTCGGACTATATAGGGACGGCCGGGAGATGGATGTAGAGGCGTACAGAGTAGAATATAGTTCAGTGAATGGTGCGACATAATTCGTAGTCAGACATAAATTGTGATGTACATAAATGTTCTATCTAGCCAAGTTAAATAAATTAGTGCATTTCTTTTTGTGGAATCCAGTGTTTCAATCCACACCCAAAAGAACCCAGAAAAACGCTACAATATGAAACAAATGACTATTTAATAATTTCAAGGCCTACTTAGAAAATTCTGATTTTCTAAATAACTAAATAACATTTGGCAATGGCAATTTATGTCATTGTACATTTTTGAAATCGGAATTGAAAACTTGCGTGTATAAAAATGCGATATGCTGTCTATAAGAAAAAAAATAGGTTGATGAGTGAAGACAAGGGGCGAAACGCCATATGGAAATTCTAATTATGTCGCCTTGTAGAGAAGAAAAAGTGACAATAAAGTCAGAGACAAATAAAATCGATTTTGAGAAAATTCGATTTTTTCAGTCTCTTCCCGGAAATTCTAGAAATTGCGAAACTTTCCAAGTGCGATTTTCTTAGTGTGCAACCTTGCCCCCATCTAGTCTACATGGTATCTCTTATCGTTTTCTAGATGCCAATGGCGAGAGTCGAATTTGAAACAGCCGGTATAGAAAACAAAAAATAATGCAACAAGTTCGTCCTTGTCGATCTATCATTTAACTATAGTTAAGAAAGAAATTTATTATTTTTTGCGCTGAATGTGCATACCCACTAGGTATTGACTTATTCTGTGACGAACTCAAAAGTTGTATGACGTCTGTTATACACTGAAAACTAAATTTATCTGACGACTTGAGTTCAATATGAACGAAAGAGAAGTGTGTGTAGACACATATGTTAGAAAGAGATAGAAGCCGGCTGGATAGCGAAGCTCATCATCGCGTTGCCTAGCAATCTGCCGCGTTGCCAATATGTTATACCACTTTCTTGAATTAGGATGCAGGTTGAAAATATGCGTTAGTTTATTCTCTACGCCCAAATAATGGTTATTTCAAGCGTACACATTTGTGAATGGTGTCGTATCTGCTTAGGATCGATTCCAGATCGGTCCTAACGGCGCTTCATTTTAGGTAGACATGAAAGGTCAAGATCGCCACAAATTCTGCAACATTGTATCATTGGTTCGTTTGGCAACCCCGCATCTCGTACATTCCAAGGCAAGCAGGTTTCCACCTCCATGATCGTAGATGAGCGATTTTGATAACAATAATTCAGGATGTGTTGATTTTATCATTATTGGTGGAAATCAAAGGTAATTCTAAATTAAATTGAGACACTAAGTTGCACCAAACTTGAAATAAATAATTCTAATGAAAATGAAAAGAAAATATTGAATCAAATGTTCGAAAAAAACTCCTTTTTGGGTTTGACAGTAACGTAACCTATTGTAGAAATCTGTGAGAACATTTTCTGGTGTAACATACTGGCAACGCGGCAGATGGCACGACCTTCTGCGTCACGGTTGCTAGGCAATGTGGTGATGACCTTCGCTCTTTAGACGGCTTCTATCTCTTTCTAACATGTGTTGATCCACACTTCTCGCCCTTCTCTCTCGTACACATTGAACTGAAGCCGTCAGACAAATTTGGTTTTCCTGTATGTAGATAGGATTAGTCTTAAGCAATATTTTGAATGATTATTACGTTAACGTCAGTTTCCATTAAAATTTACCAGAGGGCCGATCTAGTAGTTACCGAGCATACTCGCTACTTTTGAGTAAAATATTGTATGTATAAAAGCTAGGTCACACACTTACTATTTCTAATAGAGTTTTCAGTAAACGTCGAGTCAACGTCGAAAAGGAATAAAATGTAAGCCATGTGTGAGATAGTAACAAAGGACTTTTTTATTTGTAAGGTAATTTCATATGAAATATCTGTCTAATGTTCAGCGTAGCTACACCCAGTGACACGAATCTAGGAGGTCCAATTTACCAATTATCCTATCGGCATATATATATTGGGGCTTATGGACATTGATTGAATAGACTTCTTGGCTTATTTAGTTTGATTAATGAAAACACGTAACATAAACATAAATCAAATTCACATTTTTATCATTAAATTATTGTATACTTGGTCCCGAAATTGACGAAAGAAGCAGAGCAAAGCTATGCTGTCACTATCTTCAGTCTAATTCAAATATAGGGAATTAGGAAGTTTCCTATAGTCGAAAATATCGCCCGTTTCACTTGCATATAATAGTACGAGTATAACTGGAATCATTTACGTATCTTAAAGAATTATACTGATAACTTAAAATTTAAGGAAGGTTTGATATTTTCTCTGTAGGGTGCTGTAGCCGACCGCGCCCTGTCGCTTCGAGGTTCGGTCGTGACGTCACATGACATAAGTCCGCCTTCTGGGCTGCAGCACTATTGTTTGTCTATGGCATAGACTGCTATGCGAAATAAAATGGAAGACATAATAATATGTATGTTTGTATGTTTTGGCACGCATTAAAATAGCGCCATAGCAGTCCTACAATACGGCAAAAATTAAAAAAAATCACTAAATGTTACAAAAAAATACATTTTACAGTTTTGTATGTTGTCAAGGAATAATTTATGTATCATTGTATAATGTCGCAAAATTGCCAAATTTGCAGGAAGCTGCGGCCATTAACATAGGTGTATTTCTTGACTGAGTGTCTGATAAACATGCTACTTTTCGAAATAGAGCGGGCTCTTATGCGCTTTGTGAAACTCTTTGAATTCTCATAGTTACAGAAAAATATCAATTATGTATATATTTTAATCGTCTCTATCCCCGTTCATTACCCCACACCACTTCCTTCTAATTCTTATATCTTTTGGCACAGTGTTTTAAAACATAGGAAATTACCTGATTTCCAGGACTACCAATCTTTTGATCATTATCAGTTTTCAGATAAATTTAATATCAGGCACTTCGTGCATCCATCAATTCTAAGAAGCATAATCATTTGCGAGCACATCCACCATTTCTAACACGTACAAATAATGATGTGAGCTCACTCGCTATTTCTTGCATGTTTATAGTTGTTAATGTTGTTTATTTTAGAACTATTTACACGTAGTCAGTCTTACCATTCTGAACGTTTACTTACGTCAGTTACAGCACATTCCACTATGTATACAAAAGGTACATATAAAGCTGCCATTCCAAAAAGATTAGAAATACCAATCAACATAAACACGGGATCTTTGAACAACATTAGGAGTTCGTTGGAAGCTGAAAAATAAAAAAAAATGATGCAGCACAGGGTGGTATCATCACTAGTAAAGAACTATACAGGGTGACTTCGAAGTTGAGTCATTTATTTTAACAGTGAGTAGATCTGATCAAAAGAAATGTTTTTTCCTTTACCATTTTTCTGGCAAAATTAAAGTAACAAAGTTATAGCCCTTTGGAAGTTTGAGTACCGCCCTGTCTCAATAATAATATCACGTGACGTGTTTGGCAACAACGGATATAGTCCACCTTATCGGTTCATCGCAACGGAAACAAAAAAGCGAAAGAATTTGGAACGATGTTTTTACAATTAGTTTATTCAGTTCAGTTATACATACAGTCAGTGTCAGTCGCGTGTGAATAGTGTCTGTTGCGTGGCTCAAACGAAATAAAAAATGGCACATGTTTATGCGGATCAGTTTCCCAATCGAGTGCAACCAACCCCTCGTGTCTTTGTTAATGTAGTACAACGGGCTCGTGAATCAGGTGACTTAAGACCTCACAGGAGACCTCACGATCAAATACAGGTCCGCACTGAAATACTTGTCGGGAGGATACTTTATAAAACAAGGTAAACATTTTTTTTTATTTTTACACACATATTTTGGTTTATCTTCCTTCTACAATCATTATCTGAAAATTAATGACTCAACTTCAAAGTCACCCTGTATATTCTTCACCAAGACAAAAATGCATTCCTAATTGTTCACATCGGTTTTTAAGGATGATGCAATTTATCCTTGATTTTCCGCTCTTGTGTTGAAAAAAGGTATTTGAGACTACACTGAAAGAGAATCCTCTGTATTTGGCGCTGAGGGAAGCAACCAATAGTGTTTGCTTTTTATTTCAGATACCGAAAAAGGCCTTACATTAAACTACATATGTCGCTACAAACGAGATAAATCTCATTGCTACCCTTTGTTGTATGACAGTGGACTATACAGCGGAGCAAGTTCGCAAAAACTCCAGGTCTTTACTCGATCACACTTTAGGGTACTAAAATTTACATTTTCGTGAAACATTGCCCTCTAAATTTCATTTGGAACAGCTTATACAGAGTATGGCCAATATATAACTGACTGATTTAAATTGCGCGCCATTTTGGTACATGCATTTCAATAGGTGGCGCCGTAGTAGTTGTTTAAAGCACATCTGTCCAATTCATCATGGAGCGCTACAGGCTACACGATCCCACAACGCGTCAGTATTGTTAAAACATTTTACTTAAATAATGAGTTGATTGTTGCAGTGTCAACACCATTCGTCAGTTGGTACGGAAAGAAGAAACAGGTGAAGTTAAAGACTTGCCAAGGTCGAACTGTTCGTACTCAGGAAAATATCGAGAGTTTGTGAAAGTGTAGTGGAGCACCCTGAGACGTCTACCAGAGATCGTTCTCAAGAACTGGGTATTCGTCGCACGTCATTAGGCAATATTTTAAAAAAGACTTGCAAGAACTACAGCCTAGTGACCATGGAAGTCGCCGACTATACAGTCATGCAATATTACAGCTTAATATCCAAAATAACGATTTTTACCGACAACTGATAAATGAGCGATGAAGCCCACTTCGATATGGACGGATTTATTAAGAAGCAGAATTGTATCTGGGCATTAGAGAACCCTAGTGTCATCCATTAACGACCGGAAGCGATTGAAAATTTTCCTCCGGAAACCTACCAAAAAGTGATGGAAAATGTAATCAAGAGGGCTCAGGTTTGCGCGCCGTCTTGAGTCGCACATATGTTTGATATTATTTTTCATACATAATTTCTAAATTTCAATGAAAGACTAAAATAAAAAAAATGGACGTATTTTATTTCATTTCACAAATATTCAAGATACAAACCGGAGAGTTACATATCGGCCACCCTGTACATTACTCCAGTCAATTAATCCTTCTTTTTCGTTTCTCTATATGTTCTTATCTCTTTTTCCTTATATTTTTCCAGACCGCTTTGGTAATAATCAACGAATCGCCCGAAATAATATTTCTGGTCATACTATCAAAGTTAGAGAATAAAGGATACTTTCCTCCCATTTCAGGTCAGATTAGCTTCCATGGCAGAAGTATGGTCACATTCCAACGAAAGAACATGGACACACTTATTACGTCACGGTAGAACTTATTACTTTACGGCTGTGACTCGAAATTTAACTTTTGAACTTTGGGAGCAGTAGTGGGGAGGCAAAGCCTGGCAACTAGTCCACCTTTGGATCTTTTTGCCGAGTGTACCAACACTCTTCTCCACATATTGATCTGCTTGTTTGTCAAACCTTAATGATCGCCTGATGAAGGTCAGAATATCCCACCATTCCGCTGAGTAAGCATCTTCACGGTCGAACTCCATGGCTCCGATTATCTCAGGCCTTAGATTGGAATATACGTGAAAAACGCTCTATCATCCCCCTCCCAGCACATGGGGCAGATAGGATCTCTCCTCACCATTGAGAGGGATAATTCATCTCTCGCCACGCTCTTCTCAGTTCCCTGTACACCTATTCACTAGATCTAAGTTCGAACTTCCGAGAGAATAGAGGGAGTTTCCTCATGTTTGTTGGGGAGTTCTCTATATACAGGGGGCTGCAATTAGGAAGAGAACTGCACGCGGACAGCCTTAGGTGTACACCGACTTCCAGAGTCTGCGGAGCCTTGGGAAGAAAGATAAGATGAGAGCTAAACTCAAGACGCTGATGGGAAGGATGAGAGCGGAAGGGAAGCAAATGAAGATAAGGTTGACAGAGGGGTGTGCACTAATGAGAATGACTGATAGAAGAGCGCACGAGGGAAGATGGAATGGATCGACATAATGAATGGGAGTATGAAAGGAATATCAAGAAAAAATGTATGAGGGAGCGAATGGTGCAAGAATATCAGAGCAAATGAGATATAAGCATGAAACCAAGGGAGCTGTACCTATAGGGAGGTTGGGAACGACCTTGCCCGTAAGTTTTAAATCTGATCAACTGATTGCGGGGCACGGCAACTTTTCGGCCTGCCTACGCAGGTTTGGATTGATGAGAGGGAGCATGGTTTTCGAGTGTGGAAGACGGGATGAAAGCGCAATGCACATTAGGAAGGAATGCGGATTGGAAAAGAGGCAGGATAGGATGCAAGGGAGCGAGTAAGGCGCGTCTGGGGTGACTTCAGGCCGCAGTTGAGAGTGCAAGGGAGAATGAATGTCATGACAATTGAGGCAATGAACGAATGAGCTGGAAGTGTGGTGATGGATGCTTGAGGAGTGAGGAGTGGAGCTCAGCGGGGATGGGCTAAATAAGAATATATTGGTTTTTATGGGGATTTGTTAGGCTTTTTTCAAGGGCTTTCTAACTTTGCTTTTCGAGCATTGATTTAAATTTGAATTTTATTTAGATTTTTTTGAATTATAATTAATATGGCTTGCTTTTTTTAATATTTGTTAGGTTTTAAAATGTTTTTTTTTTTGGTAATTTGTTAGGAATTTTTAAGGGTTTTTTAAGTTTCCTTTTGAGAACTTTGATGTTAATTTGATTTTTTGCTTATGTTAACGCTAATTAGTATGGATTGTGTTTTTCTAAATATTTGTTATGTCTTTTTTAAGGTTTGTAGGGAATACTTGTTGATTATTATTTAAAAAATTGGAATTCTCTCAAAACAAAAAACAATAATAAGGCACAAAAAAGGGGAAAAGGGGGAAGGCAAGGTCTTTCTCCGCTAATTTTTGAATGGCGGAGGTTGGTGGGTTGCTTTGGTACTGGTTTTGCTAGAAACTGTGTCTGGGGACCCTAAGCAGGGTCACTTCTTTGGATCGGGCAGAGCCGTGAAGAGCGATAGTACAAAGTGGTCGATATATACTCGTAACTGACTGGTTTGTATATTGAATATTTGCGAAATGAAATAAAATACGTCCATTTAATCATCTTAATCTTTTATTGAAACTTATAAATTATGTCTGAAAAATAATATCAAACAAATGTTCGCCTTTAGAAGCCGCGCATACCTGAACTCTCTTAATTACATTTACCATTCATTTTTGGTAGGTTTCGGGAGGAGTATTTGCAAGCGCTTCAGTAATATTGTTCTTCAGCTGCCCTACAGTATTTGGTTTGTTGGCATAAACCCTCTTTTTAGAAAATCCACATAAAAAAGTCAGGAGACGTTAAGTCCGCTGACCAGTTGACATCACCAAATCGACAAATCAAACGTCCCGGAAATATTGTTCGCAAAAGATTAATTGTCTCCCTAGCTGTGTGACAAGTTGCTCGGTCCTGCTGGAACCACATGTTTTGCAGGTTAAATTGTTCTTTTTGAGGAGACAGAAAGCTTTGCACCATATCACGGTAGCGCTCGCCAGTGATAGTAAGAGAATTACTTGCAACGTCTTGATGACACCTCCATACCAAACACTGCACCAAACTATGACTCGACGAAGATGTAGTGGTCGTTGATGGATGACACAAGGGTTCTCTAATGCTCAGATTCCACAATTCTACTTATTAACAAATCCGTTCATATCAGTTGTAGGGTTCTTGAGAAACGACGTCTGGTAGATGTTTCAGGGCGCTCTACTACACTTTCACGAACTCTCTCGATATTTTCCGGTGTACAAAATTTCCGCGCCAACTGACCAATGGTGTTGACACTGGGCACATTTCGACCGAGATCTTGTCATAGCTTCCGAATCAATAATCGATTAATTATTTAAGTAAAACGTTTTAACAATACGGACGTGTTGTGGAATCCTGTAGCGCTCCATGATAAATTGGAGACATGTGCTTTAAACTATTACTACGGCGCCACCTACTGAAATGCGTTTATCAAAGATGGCGCGCAATTTAAATGAGTCAGTTATATATTGGCCACCCTGTATTTGTGTAATCCTCAAATAAGGGTGACTTTATTCTCGGAGATCCCACTGCCTTCAGGGCAGCTTGACTGTCGATACACTGGCGAATCTCCTCTGAATATGCCACCATTAAGATGGCATGTTTGCCATCTCTGGAAGATCGTTATGCAGGTTCCAAGCGTGAAGCTTTCCTGCACACCTATGCCTTCGAGTTCGAGGTATACTCCCGCCAAGGGCGTCGCCAGCCAATGGCCCAGGGGGGCAAGTTCATACGATGAATGAGAAATGTATAAATTGTAGGTAAAATCAATAGCACATCAAATTTTATCCGTGTAGTATGGTGATTGTGATGAGAACAGTATAAAGTCCAATGTGAATCCTCACGAGCTCTTGACTGTACGGTAAATGAAAATTAAATTATGTTATATTTAATATTACCTTAGAGTTTGAATACAAGGAATGGAAATGGTAAATTCGTTCGAGTTTCGATGTACGGGAATGATCGATCAAGCACGTTAAGTGAGTGTACTTATGAATTTTATTGATTTGGATTTCACTACATTTTTCAGGGTCTCTAGGGGGGGCGACTGCACCCCCTGCCCCCCTGGAGACGCCCCTGACTCCCGCTCCACTTGATCCTGTTTCTTCGGAAAAGTATCCGCCTGTGAAGCACACAAGTCACTAGGGTGGAATGTTCGTTCACCCATTCTTCCTTCGTATGGATAATGAGAGAATTCTAAGTCTGGTCTTATGGTGTTTTAAGACCTTTCGACTCTTACCGAACTTTGGGAACAAGTTCCAAAACTTCCCGTTCATAAAAGAAAGTGAGAACACTCACAGTATACTTTTTAAAGGTAAGGTACTGATATTCTTTTCTAATCCAAATTTACGGATATGGTATAGTCCGTTTCATGTTTTGACGATACTTACAATTTTTAGGCTTAGCGCTAGCCAAACTGTGTCGCCTATATTCGTTAAGTGACTTCTGGGACTGGAATTCTTTGAGATTCAAGACCGATTGAGAATAGAAAACGTCTTTTCTTTCCATTGGTTTCACAGTATGACTCCGCCTACTAGCAATAGATAGTTTTGAAGCGTATGGTGACGTAGTGTCGCCCTGCAAATAAAACAATGATTTTAAACCTACATAATACCAGTCTTATCCGAAAAGGCATCAAAACCTTATAGTCTAATCGTATTAGCAAAGTTCCCCGAAATAATTGTAAAGTCTGGTTTTATTGGTGCAAGTTGTTCAAGGGGGTATTCAAAACATGGACGCATAAAATGGGTACACCAATTTTTGTGGGAAAACTTTTCATTTGACAACAAAGAATGAGAAAACGTCTTTTTTGGGATTCAATCGAAAGTGTTGGCAAAAACGAATTTTTTTTTATATATAGGTATTTATGAGACCACACGTAAAAAGATCCGACTAATAGCAAAAATGGCCGAAAAACGAGGCAAAATGCAGGTTTTTTCGCTTGTTGGTAATGCGACGATAATTTCCTGCAACTACTTGAAATTCTGCAAATTCGTAGGATTCGAACTTCTAAATAACCGCAACAAAATTGGAGTTGATTGGTAAGTAGTTTTTTAAGATTGTCTAATTGTTTATCCCAAAACAAATGTTTTCCGGGCATCACTACTAGTTTATTGAGCAATATGCATGATTAGTTTAAAGGGCATTTTATAGCAAAATACACTAGTTTTATCTTGCCAATAAATCGCAAACCATTCCAGAAGGTAAATGTTATTTTTATGTAAAAAAGGATGAGTGACGTTTTTTCATCTAAACAAAATCAAACATTTCGTATTTGTGAGTAATTGATCAAAATTTGGAAAAGATAGAAGTCATTTAAATCCTTGTATGTGATTCCCGTTTTCCCGTAGCAAATTTTCTCAGGAGGGCCATATCCTGAAAATCTCACAAATTTTACACAAAACCTCATGCCCTCCCCCTGGCACCCCAATGCCATCACAGCTTTGATGCGAAATTCCACGTTTGAACTTTGAATCAGGGAAATGTGAAATGAAAAATGAATATAACGGGTGTTTTTTTTTCGAGGTATAGAACTTTAAGTTGGCTTTACTTTTGAAGATGGCGACCGATTTGACAGCTGTCAAGAGATTTGTCCTCAGTTTGGTTTGGCAATTCATCATGAATAGACTCACGCCTGAACAACGCTTGCCAATTGTGCAGTTTTATTTCGAAAATAATGGTTCTGTGCGGAATACGTATCGCGCACTACGTCCATTTTATCGTCGACAAAATCGTCCATCAGAGCAGTTAATTCGATTAACCATGGAACGTTTTTGCACCACGTTTACTCTAATTGATAACTCACATCCCCAGAGACGCCGTACGGTACGTATAGAAGAAGCTATTGCTACTGTACAGCGTAGTATTGAGGAAGACCCGAATGAGTCCATCCCCCATCGAGAACAGGAATTAGATCCACTTTATGGAAGATTTTGCGGAAGGATCTTGGTTTGCGTGCTTACAAAATCCAACTCGTGCAAGAATTGAAGCCAAACGATCATCAAGCAAAGCGTAGGTTTGTTGAATGGGACCAAAACGAGAATGAAGTTGTTCCCGATTTTCATAAGCGAATTTTGTTTAGCGATGAAGCGCACTTCTGGTTGAATGGCTACGTCAACAAACAAAACTGCCGCATTTGGAGTGAAGCTAATCCTCAAGTCTATGTCGAAACACCGTTACATCCAGAAAAACTGACTGTTTGGTGCGCTTTATGGGCTGGTGGAATCATTGGTACGTACTTCTTCAAAAACGACGATGGCCAGAACGTTACAGTCAATGGTGATCGGTATAGAGCCATGATTACTAACTTTTCAATTCCTGAATTGAACAATCATGATGTCCAGGAGCTGTGGTTCCAACAAGACGGCGCAACATGTCACACAGCTCGTACTACAATCGATTTATTGAAAGACACGTTTGGTGGCCGCCTAATTTCACGTTTTGGACCTGTGAATTGGCCTCCAAGATCTTGTGATTTAACACCGCTAGACTATTTTCTGTGGGGCTATCTAAAGTCATTGGTCTATGCGGATAAGCCACAAACGCTTGTCCGTTTGAAAGACAACATTCGCCATGTTATTGCCGATATACGGCCACAAATGCTGGAAAAAGTCATCGAAAATTGGACTTCCAGATTGGACTACATCCGAGCCAGCCGTGGCAGTCATATGCCAGAAATCATATTTAAAATGTAATGCCACAAGATTATCAATCGAATAATCCATCGTTGTTTTATTGCAATTTAAAGTTCTATACCTCTAAAAAAACACCCTTTACTTCTGGATTCAAAATACAGTAATTTATAAACAGTGTGTTTCGTCAACTTTGGAAAATATCCTATACAGTGGACCTCCGGTAATCCGACAAACATTATGCAGGGCAGTATCGGACTGTCGAATTTGTCGGATTATAGAGCACTGCCTAAGACCCCCTATAGTTTTTAATTTTTTACAAAAGAGTACCTTGTAATCCGACAAATTACATATCCAATGGTAAGATTATATGTATATGTTATGTATGTACTTTGAAGTACAAATCATACAACATAGTTTATGTATGTCGAATTTAGTAAATTAAATAACAATAGAGAGCTTACGTTTTATCATAAAATTAACCATAAATGCACATACATAGATACCAAAATAATCAAGAATTATTAATCAAAATCGTTAATGAATTTATCAAATTATGAAGCTTGGAAATATTCGTCAATCTTTTTTTGTTTAAAGTTGTTATAACCTGAGATCAGAGCTTTGTCCCTCGGTCTTCTCAAAAGTAAAAGTTCGTTGTAGGATGTACCATTCTCTTCAGCCCATTGGCGTTAATTGCGTCTTGTGCTGTGACTTGTGGAGCAGTTGCAATCACGTTGTCGTTATTTTCCTGATTGTTTGTTGTATAATTAGAAACTTCTTTTATAATCCCTTCTTCAGACATTTCATGAAAAACATTTTCCTCTTTATCCATTCTACGGCACCAGATTTCCAAATCTTCCGGACTTATCTATGTTTTAGTAGCGACTTGTTCTGTAACTTCCGAAGTTACACTGATTTGTGGAACGTTGCTAGGAGTGGTGACTTTATCTGGTAACTTTTTCCTAGACGATTTAATAGTTGATGACGGTAACGCATTCCACGACTGACAAAGAGCAAAAACCAAGTCTTTCATTTTAAATTCTTTTAAAGTTTTTTCTATTGGTTGGTCTTTTGATACGGCTCTCAGAAGTAGGTTTTTCTTATAGTCTTGCTTGACAAACTGAATGATATTCTGGTCCATTGGTTGAATCAGTGCAGTGCAATTTGGCGGAAGAAACATCGCAGTGATGCATTTATCTTCAGTTGTTAGTTCTTCTTCAGACGGATGACCGGGAGCGTTATCAAGAAGCACCAACGCTTTTTGAGGAAAATTATGATCTTTTAACCATTTTCTAACTTCAGGTACGAAGCATTCATCAAACCACTTTTTGAAAGTAAATCAATGTTTTTGAATGCCCGTGGTTTATTAGATTTCCCAATGACCATCATCTTAAGCGCGTGTATGCCCGCATCGTTAGCACACGGTAGTATGGTTACACGCTCTCTACTTACTTTTCGTCCAGGTACGGATTTTGCATTACAAGAAACGAAAGTTTTGTTAGGCATCACACGCCACCTTTTGCAAAAATCTTAATTTAAAGGGCTCTATGCAGGTGGCGTCGTTGGAAAGTTTCTCTCCTGTAATAGTCATTAAACGTATGCCATGATGACTTTTAAAACGTTCTAGCCATCCTTTGCTGGCCACAAAATTATCTTTTTTTGTTATTTCCTTATAAGAAAACTTAGCTTTCATGGCCAACATGGGTCCTGAAATTGGTGCATGCCTATTTCTTTCCTGAAGAAACCACATGTACAAAGCTTCTTCCACTTCTTGAGTGTCTGTCTCTTGCCTGGCCCGCAGTCAGTAGTTAACACGAACTTCTTGATCTTCTCGTGGTTTCTTTTAATGTCATAAATTGTAGATCGGCCTACGCCGTATTCACTTTTTTTTTTATACTTCAACTACCACGAAGTCCTAAGGCCTAAGCACCCATTGGGTACCGTGGGGCTATAGGGGGATACATGGGAAAGGGGGAACGCCACACGGACTCTGGCGAGGGAACACGTGTGCATGCAACATGCACACATTCTGGCTCCGCCTACGAGATCCGCCGGGTGGTACCTCCGCGTTCGACAGTCAGAGACCGTCTACCACCTACGGACATTCACAACATCCATAGCCAAGAGAAAAATTTCTCCTAGGACGGGACTCGAACCCGCACAGCGCACGGCGACTGATCAGGAGACCGACGAGTCTACTACTGCGGCCACCGCTGCTAAACTACTGAAAGTTTCATTGCGATTTAAGCAGTCTAAAATATCACATTTTTCTTTAATTGTCATTGTTTTGTGCTTTCGCTTCTGAGTTTGTGATGACATTACTAGGTACTATACTTAATACACAATGAATAAATAGTAAACAATGAACGCACGCTAGGCCGTACCGCTATCACAAGTAGTCAAATTCAAACTAAGTAAAACAATGCTTACGCATCGAGCACGATAGCGGTGGCGCGTACAAGTTGTAACCTGTTCAAACCTGCGTGATCTACATTAGCGAAGATTGTCAAATACGTATGCATGTAATATTCAAAGACATGTCGGATTACAGGGGGCGCCGGGTTAGACAGGGGCCGGATTATCGGAGGTCCACTGTATTTGGATATAAACTACACATGACGCCATGCTAACGTGGTTCGGACAAATACGATTATTTCGTACGTATCATATGATGAAATAGCATGTGATTTCACAATACATAATCGCAAACGCTATCGTTGATCAACCTTATCATATGATGCAAATAATATAACTTGCCTTCATAGCAATCAGTATTTGCGACTGATATTTGGAACGCGATAATCATTTGAAATAATCGCGTAAGCACTCGATGATAACATATTTGCCAGACGCTGATTCTTGACATTGAAAATTAAGTCTCAAGTAGATGGACTTACACACTCTCGCAGCACTACTATTTATAATAGAAGCGAAGTCGGTTCCAACGTCCCATCTGAATTTCTAAATGTTGTCAGACAAGCTAGGCAAATAATTTAATTATACGTGTCGTTGAAAATTATGTAGACTATCAAGTTGATCGACTCTGGCATTAAAATAGCGGTAGAGGAAAGTGCTCTAAGACGGACCCCTGGTCTCATTTGCTCCGCGTTATCTGTAACTTCATTATTGCCAAGTGTAAATAGTAGCTTAGCTATCCTCCACAGCGTAGTGGAACGAACGGATAGCTCACATCACACGTTGTATATTCGCCCACCATTGTTTTTAGATAGAGATTTTTCGCGGTGCTTCACTTTCCCTTATAATTCCCAGTTATTTGCAAGTAAGCCTCCGCATCTCTTTATTTTCTTAAATGACAACCTATTTAGATATCGGTTAAGCAAGTTCATGGTTTTAGTAGCGCAAACGGGACAATTTTCAGTTGCCTAGATCGCCTATCCACTATTTTTTTGAAAACCCTTTTGAAGTTGGAAAAAGGCAACGAGAAAACTTGAATCCTAAAATAATTAATGCTATTGATGCATTTAGGAATAAGAAGATGAGTCGGAAGGAGGCAGGGAACAAAAAAAGTATACTCGCTCATGGAAGTAAAAACTATACGAGGTCTGTAAATTGAGTGATGAGACTGGCAACGTAGTGATCGATCTGGCAACACTGGAGGCGCCGGGCTTGTAGGGGAGATCCGTCTTCGGTACAAGTTTGAACTCGCTTGGTCATTACACGATAATGCTCGGTGTTACACAGCAATGTCAGCATCGAGTTTTTGGCCAGTAAAAGAATTCCTATGGCTCCTCGGCCTCCTTATTCGACAGATTTGAGTCCTTGTGACTTTTTTCTCTTTCCGATGTTGAAAAAACACCTCAGGGACACTCATTTTGGGACAGTTGAAAACATTCAAACGGGTATAACCGACCATCTGAAGGCTATTCAAGTATCTGAGTTCCAGCACTGCTATGAGGGGTGGAAGAATCGTATTCAGCATTGTGTGGCTTCAGAAGGAAGTTATTTTGAGGGAGAGAATATAAAATGGTAATTATATTTGAATAAAAAAAAATTAAAAACAAACAGTCTCAATTTACAGACCTCGTATGTATTTATTTTAAATTGTTCCTTGCATGAGAATAAAATCCTGATTCATAATCGGCAATTTTTACTAGGGGTTTGTTCGTAGCACCTATTTTTCAAATCACGAGTATGAATAGTTTTTAGAAACTACTTTTTTATAATAATAATTTCTAATGAGAAGTTTGTATGCTTAAAGTAAATAATGCTTAGCATTGCAAAGTAAACGTCGCAAACTTTTATAACATGCTTTTAGCTATAATTTATATTTTGTCAATCAGTAACAAAATGGAGGTCCGTTTTTGACCATATTCCTTAACTATTACCAGAACTGTATCAATTCATCTGAATGTTACTGAGAATGAGAAGTGAAAGAATGGCTGTGGAAAACATAGATTCTGAATAAAATACTCACGTATGTGTTTCTCCTTGAAAGGTTCGGCTTGGCGGTACCATTTACTTGCTTAGGAGGCTTTTGTTTATATTCTAAGGGTTTCATCAATGCCCCAAACAGCACACAGGTGCCAATGACTCCAGCAAATACTAAATTGGTGCCTTGAGGAAAAGAAGAAATAATACATTTATAGATAATACCTATGAAAATACTCTAGTACTACACGATTCAGCCAAAACTTCATTGTGCTTCATACGAGGAATGTCTTCTAAGTTTTGCATATGGAAATAAAACAACACGGTAGGTAGTTTTAAATGACTTTATTGTTTTTCAAAGTATTCTCCACGAAGATTAATACACATCTGCATGCGCTCGAACCAATTTTCGAAGCACTTGTTCCACTCGTTTGCTGGCAGATCCAAAACGGCATTTTTGAATGAGTCAACTGCTTCTTCTGGTGACTGGAACCTTTCACCACGCAGTCTGTTTTTAATTTTCGGGAAACTAAAGAAATCGTTAGGACTTAGATCGGAACTATATGGAGGATGGTCCAATAATTCCTCGTTTTCTTCCGTTAAATACTGCCTTGTTTTTTGGGCTGTGTGCGAGCTTGCATTGTCTTGGTGGAGGATGATTCTTCTTTCGGAGTTGATTTTTCGAAGCTCGGTGATGACTTTTGGCAAACAAATGGTGGTATACCAATCCGCAGTAACAGTTCTTTGCTCATTAAGAGGAATTGTAATATGACCCGCTTTTGCGCGACCATCTTTTTCGAAACACTTCGAGAACGGATAACTTTTGTTGGCTTTTCTTCGTCTTGGAACACAAAAACAGCCGACTATAGTTTATTTTCTGATTCATAGCAGTAATTCCACGATTCATCACCACTAACAATGCTGTACACATTTTTTGAGTTTCCGGAATTGAAACGGTCAAGCGTTTTTTGACACCAAGTAACCCTGGCTGCTTTCTGCTCTTCGGTCAGCAGGTGGGGTATCCAACGAGAAACTAATTGTCTTACTCCTAATTCTTCATGTAAACTTTTTTGAATTGAGGTCTTTGAGATCTTCAAGGACGCCTCAGTCTCGCGGTATGTCACATGTATATCTTCAATGATGAGTTTGCGTACAGCATCGACGTTTTCCTGGGTGACTGCCGTTTTTGGTGCACCCACCCTGGGATCGTCACTTTATGGCATGAAAATGTTCTCGGTTGAGTTCCATTTTTGACTTGGTGACACTTAAAAATTCACTGTAGTGAGAACACTGCACGCATTGTTGTTAAACTTTGAATTTAAGTGTACTAAAGACTGAGGTTAAGATTCAGTACTGGCGTTCGATCCGCGCAGCTTACTATGTTTCTATATGCAAAACTTAAAAGACATCCCTCGTACAATTAAGGTGGGTGGACTATGGAAGGCCATGCTTTTTGTAATTACAAGTATTAAAAAGTCGTCGTTATTACCATGCGATGACCTCCTTCCACTTACATTAACACCCGTCGAACTCAGAACAATAAGGCACCTCTCTTTGTTGACAACGGTCGTCGAAATTGAAATTGTTATACGCGGTCACAGCAAAACGCAAGTTTTCGAGTAACTGTTGATTTCTTTATTTTTTTTAACCTGAATTACGAGGGACATTTTTAAAGTAAGAATCGATTACACATCATGCACGCTATTTAACACCGCCGACATGGCCTGGTCTCTAGAGGCGTCGTTCTGCTTCACGACAATGCTCGGTCTCACGTTGCGGCAAGAACAAAGACAGAACTATACAGCCTTGACTTAGCACCATCGGACTTCCATATTTTTGTAAAACTTGAGGAATTTCTTTGAGGAAAGCGCGATACAATGATGATATGTTGAAAGAAAAAGTTACTAACAAAAATCTGTTGCCACTACTTTACAGATGTGCAAATATTTAAGGTACTACTCAGCTATTTTTAATTTTTAATTCTAATCAAATATTTAGTTTTTTTTTATAAATCTTTTATCCTTTATCCACCTTTTTTACGATTTTCACCAAAATGTTGAAAAGTGGAGAAATGTTCATACGGTTTTCAATTAAAAAATGACCCTCGTAGCAAGTAGTGTATCTGCTGTGGTATCAAAAATAAATTATGTAGTATCCAAAAAAACTTGTTTATTTCCATTTTTGTTAGAATATCAGTAGTGTTCCTAGGAAAGCCAATGGTTCATTGTAAGGCTCTTAAAAAAATCGACACTTGGCCACGCTGAGGCTAGGAATTACGAAAATATTAATACTTTGTTTTTAGTTAAAGTAGAAATGCGGGTTTTAAATTGCACCATTTGTGCTCTTTCAAGGAACGGACCCAGGAGAAGGCCATTTTGGTCAGTTTATTTTTTATTTCATTGTAAAGGTTATTGACAGCACATTTGATATTGACATAATACTCATTCGAATTATTTTTACGAATAGATTCTTAGTTTCCCGATAGTCTTTAAGTAATGTTTTTTGGGTATTTTTTATGAAAATATATTAGTATTTAATGTTTCATTTTCATTTAAAATTCCTTTTCATGTAGCTTGAAAGTTAAGTGACTGATTTATTACATCGACCTTGCAACGCAGTTCGGAAGAGTTTGATAAAACTTAAACTCACTAAATATTTTTAACTTTGCAACAAAAGAAAATGTTTTATAATTTACATGATAACAAAAGTGTAACCTATAATTTGCTTGTTTAATTTGTCCAATTAAGGCATTTTTTGTTTTGTTATGGTGACCTTCAATGGTTCACCCACATTACCCCGTTTTATTCCGAAGCTGCCGCGTAGGCAGTTAGATATTATACTATTTTTTACATTCTATATAAATATTCTATATTCAAAAATAAGCTATTTCGAAGTCTACAAATTGCTAATCTTCAGCGCTTCTGCTACTGTCTCCAGTACGTATGAAGTGTGTAACGGGGGACCGCTGTTTTCATTCTCTTCCTGGAAATACCTTAATAAATTTAGCACGAGCTGTCGGCCTTCTCCATTGATCGTATTTCCGAGCATTGCACAATTTTATATTGAAGATTGATAGCAGGACAACTTAAATTGCACGACGATGTCAATACGTAACGACAATGTTTTCGAGACGGAGACATATAACTAAAAAACGTATGTCTTTGAGCTTACCGAACAAACGTTGACACTCAGGGGTAGATTGCATGTGTATGTATGAGGGAGATGGAGAAAAATAAAGGGATACTGGTAGTTTTGCTTTGACCTGCTAAGAAGGATGACTACAACTATATGTAGCTTTGTATTTTTTCTGATAGAGAACCCACTATTATTGCGGTATAGTTATTCCGTCTTACAAAAACTATTACCTTTCCATCCAAAATTGTCGATTAAGTACTGCGCCACTGGTGCAATTGCAAAGGTCCCGACACCACTGCCACATACTGCGATGCCTGTTGCCAGAGACCTCTTGGTGTCAAAGTAATATCCAACACATACCACTGCTGGCAGGTACATGAAACCAAACCCAAGACCACCTAAAGCAAAAAGTATCATTAGATATATACAATTATTGTCTCTAGTGTTCCTCAAGTTGAGCCCAGAGAGTATAATTCTTAGTTTGCTGTGATATATCGCGCTTTTCTGAACAATAGTTATCATGGGACCAAAGCAATCCTATGACTGGTTTCTGAGAAATAGGGGATGCTTTTTGTCGGATTTGCAAAAATGGTGAATGTATTGATTTCAGTTCTCATCGAAATTCTTGACGGAGCTTATATACTGAAGAAAATATCAAATATCTTTCAGGAAGGTGTATCGGGAACTGTCATGTTGAGCTTGGAAAGTATCCTTACAAGGTCATTTTAAGAGCAAGATTATTTTTATACGTTGACACTGAAATGGATCCAGCACGAGTTGTTCCTGAATTCAAAAAAAATTACTCAAGAGGACAGTTCGCTTCACAAGGATACGGAAAAGTCGTGGTTGTTAAGTTGTTTTTGATTATTGACTAGGTCAGTTCAAGGTCGCGTTGACTTTGAAGGCTACAGAGGAAGAAAAATTGCACGAATACGAACATAGCTTTAGGTTACTATAATTTATTGTCTGTTAATTGAAGTTTCTAGTTTTGGTCTGTTCTTTCTCCAAAGGTAACGAACTCTAATCTCGTAGAGAGCATATAAAAAACACGTGTGCGCCTAGGGCTTGGCCCCCAGATTTAAATCTGCCATAATGCCCGTGAATTATAGCATTAGCAACAGGTATATCCTCGTTATTTTCATAAACTTGTCGATAAAATATCCAAAGTCGATTTTTTATTGGATTTCTAAAATCTGAGTAAATCCCTTGTGTCGATACCTTTTCTACTTCATTTCACGGTAGACCGCCGTTGCTGGCAGGTGAAGCTCTAATCCAGCATTAGCACCTCCTATACATTATAATTAAATGGATGGTAACTATTGATAAGAGCATTAGCTATTTTATAAAGGTCTCTTAGGTTCGGCACATGCTGCGTTTAAATGGATTTCTTGAGGAATCCAAAAATCGATTCTTTGTACACCTCCACCATTTTTGCAAACAGGAAAACTTCATACCTCTATTTCTATGAAACTAATGATAGGATGGCTTTTACATGTCCGACCTAGTCGACACACGCCGTATAGGTAAACCAAGTTGCTTGTTTATACATTGGATGTGATTGGCGATCAAAGGACAGTGTCAAAAATCCAGTAAAACATATTGTTTATGTCTTAGCACGCCACCTTTATACAAATGTATTCCAATCAAATGCAAATTTAATGGAGTTGTTGTTTCCAATCGCTAGAAAGGGGGAAGCAGACACTTAACGACAGATTTTTTTAACATTTCGAAGTGTCAGCGTTTTCTAGGTATTTTAAGAAATTCATTCATAATAGAAGTTTTTTTGAGTTTGTAATATTTTTTATGATCTTTTAGGTTTTGAAAGTTTATATTTTATATTATAAATCGTTCATTTGCTGAGTAAAAGTATGTACCTACTTATGACTTAAAAGAACGTGAAGATACAATTTTCACGTACTTTCTACTCATATTTGGTGTATATATCCGACAAGTTTTGTATTCAACGACTTCTCTTACTATTAATTATTATACAAGTGTTTCTCATTTGTCTTTGGATTATCAGAATTTCCTTCCCTAGATTAGTGTATGATAGGAAAAGTGCACTAGACTTTCCAGCGCTTTTCGGGTTTCCAATAAGTATTTTCGACTACTTTTAATCATAAACAATGATGCGTTTGTTTCCAGAAAGGGCATTTCTGGATAAGGGTGCTCATATCCTTGAAAACGTCAAACGTATTTTTCAATGTCTTCTACCCCCTATTTGGAGTAGTTCTGTGTATATTTTTGTAAATTCATTGACTTCGGTTTTTGCTAGTTATCTCAAAATTATGTATTCATCTTCTGGCGGAATGTCTATGCTGAATTGATTGAAGTATTTATTTTATTCGATATAATGCGACTAGTGTACTTTAGGAATGGCGCACTGGATTTTTCCGCATTTCTCGCGTTTGCAATAAGTATTTTTGGATACTTCTAATCATAAATAATAGGGTTGCGTTCGATCTGGTTGAGAGCAGAAAAACACCTATTTTTAACATTGTCCTCCAAACAATATTCGCCGTTTAATAATTTTTCTAAAATAATTTGACCCTAGAGTCTTGGAATTTTAACTGTTGCCATTTAACTCATTTCACTGACACTTTAATAATAATGATAATAATAATAATAATAAAAGCATGTATCGCCCAGTAAATAAGAATCCTTTACAGAGCAATACAGATAAAAACTTGTGTTATTTGAAGGTATTTTGCCACATATCCTCCTCCAACTCCTTGAGAATATATCAACATGCTGCGATATCTTACGATGAGAACACATTACTGACAATAGTGATTTTAACATTAAATTTGTCTTGGTAGCAAGATAATAAATGTTAAAGAATGTATAGAGTTAAACTGGTGTTCATTAACTTTAACACGTAATAAAAGATCTAGTCAATCAATAACGTTATGTATCAATTATAGAGAAATGGCAGGAATGACAGTGTCCATCTGAGGTCCAAACTATCACTCCCAAAAAGATTCAACAATGGAGTATGTTCAAAGCCAAGTTCTGGATATATATGGTGCTGTTTTAAGACGAAATATTTTAAAAACTTTCTTCGTATTTCGTCCAGTCTTTCTTTAAAACACCGATAATATAGATTTTAGACATTCGAGCAGTATTCCCACGTAAAACGTACAAAATATACAGGGTGGCGCATCGAAAACGAAACAGACGCATTTACTGGCAGCTCAGTTTTTTTTTGAAAAACGCTCAGACCCGTCGATTTTGTTTTCGAGGGGGACACAAGTTTGGCAAAAAATCACGTTAACACGTGCAGCCCCCTGGGCGGGGGTGACACCAACCCTAAAGGGGGGGGTCGAGTGATACCTTATTTTGAAGGTCTTTCAATTCCCTTTATAATGATATAAAATTAATTTACTTCAGTTCAGTAGTTTTGAAGATTTGTTGACTTAAAGCTTAAACTAGACTTTAATAGGTACATCAGATTAGTTTGTACTACTTTCAGAAGAAATTTGACTAAAAGAATTTACTTAATATGCAAATGCTTTTCTTCACTACACCCATGGTTTGTTTATCATTTTGTTGTTGATAATAGCTATTGGAGCTTTTTTTTTTGTGGCAAAAAAATTATATCTTGAATAAAGATAAGGAAATATATCGTACTTATTTTAAATAGGAATTTAGTATATAGTTTGCGATTGATTTGACAAAACTTTGTTGCTAAAATAACTTGTAACGCTTTATTACATAAATTAACCATGGTATACTCCACAGCAGAAAGAGTTGAAATTATCGAAATATTTTTCTGAAATAATCAGTGCGCTAACAGAACAGCAGAAATATTTAATGACCGACATGAGAACAGTAACGTGCATCGAAAATATGTTCTAGAACTTGTAGCTAAATTTCGGGAAAGTGGGTCAGTCGCCAATAAAAAACGCAATATTGAAAATCCCATAAGGAACGAAGCAATAGAAGTGGGGGTTTTAGGGCAAGTTTATGTAGATCCTACGTTAAGTACCCGCAAATTGGAGACTGTGTGTGGTGTTAGTCGACGTACTGTCCAACGGATTCTAAAGGCCTATAGTTTTCATCCGTATAAAATTCACCAGGTACAACAACTTAATGAAGACGATTTTGATCGGCTATTACAATTTTGTGAAGATATGAGTGAACGAATTATAAACGATGAACATTTTCTATTCAACACTTGCTGTTCCGACGAATGTTCCTTTTTCTTAAATGGCTTAGTAAATCCTCATAACTGCCGATATTGGTCCGATTCTAATCCCAGAATTTATCATGAGGTTCATATACAGCAGCCACAAAAATTAAATGTTTGGGCTGGTATTTTTGGCCATCATTTAGTTGGTCCTTTTTTCTTACCTGGAAATTTGACCGGTGAAATGTATTTGGAATTACTGGAAGACGCCATAGATCCTGCATTAACAGCCATAATTGAAAATCAGAATGATCGGCGGTACATTGCGAATAGGTTGATGTTCGAACAGGATGGTGCCCCACCACATTACGCATTACGTGTTCGACAATATTTAGATCAGACGTTTCCAGATCGATGGATTGGTAGAAGAGGTGCCATTGAATGGCCCCCAAGATCGCCAGATTTATCACCTTTGGATTTCTTTATGCGGAGTCATTTAAAAAGCATAATCTATGGTACTCAGCCAACATCATTAGAAGACCTGCGACAAAGAATTTTGAATGAGTGCCTTCAAATTACTCCTCAAATATTGCAAAATGTGCGGCAACGTTTTGAGCAAAATCTTTATTATTGCATGGAGAGTCATGGTGACCATTTTTAACATTTACTTGTCCAACGGGTCAGTTCATTCTTCAATTTTAAAATACTTTGCTGCCAAATGTATTCATCTCCACTAATGATGATGTACCTATTAGTTTTATTTAAGCTTTAAATTTTAAATAAATAAATCTTCAAAACTTCTGAACTGAAGTACATTAGTTTTATATCATTATAAAGAGAATTGAAAGACCCTTAAAATCAGGTATCACTCGACCCCCCTTTCCATTTAAGATTTTGGGGGTGGTGTCACCCCCGCTTAGGGGGCTACACGTGCTAACGTGATTTTTTGCCAAACTTGTGTGCCCCTCTAAAACAAAATCGACGGGCCTGAGCGTTTTTCAAAAAAAAAACTGAGCTGCCAGTAAATCCGTCTGTTTCGTTTTCGATGCGCCGCCCTGTATACTCCAAGGCTGTTCCACTATTAAATGATCGACAATTCCTAACAATGAATCCGTACATTTTGTATGCATCAGCAACTTCGTTATCAATACGATCAACGGAACTAATTTGCGAATCAAATAATATTCCTAAATCTTTAGTCGTTAATTGACGTTCCAAAGAAATGTCACTAATGTTGTGATTAAACAACTTTCGTATTTTTTTTCCCAGATAAAGTACCAGTTTTACACTTTGTAACATTCAATGATAATCTATTGTTCATAAACGAACATTGTCAAGTATTAACTTCAACCTACTACATACAACCTTCGTGATTCAGCTACTCTATCCAATTCATTGATAAACATATTAAATAGTAGTGGGCCTAACTTTGATCCTCGCGAATCACCCGAATTTAGACTATACGAGTCATTATAGTTTACGTACTGTGACCTGTTACATAAGTAAGATTTACAAAAATTTATCAAATCCTTGATCCACTCTGTCGAAAGGCTTTGAAAAGTCCAGACGACGCTGATCCAGGACATCCGATAGTTCTTGTGTAAAAAGTACTACGTTAGTTGCTGTTGATCTTCGACTGCAGGGTATATACAAAGTCTGTAAATTTAGTGATGAGACTGATTTTTTCTTAATTGTTTTGTTCAAATATAATTATAATTCTTTATTGTCACCCTCAAAATAATTTCCTTCTGAAGTCACACAGCGCTGGAGATGGTTCTTCCACTCCTCATAGCAGTGCAGGAGCTCCAATACTGGATTAGCTTTTAGCTGGTCGAAATGTTTTCGACTGACCCAAAACGAGTTCCCTTGAGGTGATTTCTCAACTTCGGGAAGATAAAAACGTTGCGAGGGCTCAAGTCAGAGGAATAAGGAGGTTGAAGAGCCACGGTTTTTACTGGCCAAAAACTCGTTTATTGACCTGATAAACGGTGGTGTGAGTCAAATGTACCTCTTCCTCGATCATTCTGACTGTCAACCAATGATCTGAATGCATAAGATCCTGGATTCTGTCGATATTTTGATCGGTCTTCATCTTCAATCGACTCTCTCGCTTCTGAAAATACCTTAAACCACCGAAAAACATGGACTCTTGACAAAATACTATCTGCCTGCTGAAGTTTTTCAAGAGTTTCCGTGGCTGAAGTCTGAAGCAAAACCTGATAGCATACCGTTGCTCAAACTTGATGTCACTCATTTTTAGAGCACAATAAGAAAAACTGTTTCACAAAAAAAATCGCTACTGACAACCAACTGATTCAAGAGAGTTCAAACTTGTACTGAGAGCTGGTCACTTGGTCCCCTGTCTTCCCTCCAAACCTGGAGACTCCAATGTTGCCAGATCAAACGCTGCTGCGTTTCCAGTCTCATTACTTAATTTACAAACCTGCTACGATCATATACAATCATTTCTAAAAGCTTAGAAAGGTTCGTTAGAATAGATATGGCACAGTAATTCTAAATACAGTGGACCCCCGATAATCCGGCCCCTGTCTAATCCGGCGTCCCCTGTAATCCGACATGTCTTTGAATATGTATTACATACATACGTATTTGACAATCTTCGCTAATGTAGATCGCGCAGGTTTGAACAGGTTACAACTTGTATGCGCCACTGCTATCGTGCTCGACGCGTAAGCATTGTTTTACTTAGTTTGAATTTGACTACTGGTGATAGCGGTACGGCCTAGCGTGCGTTCATTGTTTACTATTTATTCATTGTGTATTAAGTATAGTACCTAGTAATGTCATCACAAACTCAGAAGCGAAAGCACAAAACATTGACAATTAAAAGAAAAATGTGATATTTTGGACCGCTTAAATCGCAATGAAACTTTCAGTAGTTTAGTAAGTGAATACGGCGTAGGCCGATCTACAATTTATGGCATTAAAAGAAACCACGAGAAGATCAAGAAGTTCGTGTCAACTACTGACTGCGGGCCAGGCAAGAGACAGACACTCAAAAAAGCTGAACATCCAGAAGTGGAAGAAGCTTTTTACATGTGGTTTCTTCAGGAAAGAAATAGACATGCACCAATTTCAGGACCCATGTTGGCCATGAAAGCTAAGATTTTTTATAAGGAAATAACAAAAAAGATGATTTTGTGGCCAGCAAAGGATGGCTAGAACGTTTTAAAAGTCGTCATGGCATGCGTTTAATGACTATTACAGGAGAGAAACTTTCTAACGATGCCACCTGCATAGAGCCCTTTAAATTAAGATTTTTGCAAAAGGTGAACGATTTAAATCTTGACCCGTCACAGGTGTACAATGCAGACGAATCAGGCCTTTTTTGGCGTGTGATGCCTAACAAAACTTTCGTTTCTTGTAATGAAAAATCCGTACCTGGACGACAAGTAAGTAAAGAGCGTGTAACCATACTACCATGTGCTAACACTGCAGGCGCACACGCGCTTAAGGTGATGGTCATTGGGAAATCTAATGAACCACGGTCATTCAAAAACATTGATTTACATGTACACTATTACGGACAAAAATGTGCATGGATGACAAAAGTCCTTTTCAAAAAGTGGTTTGATGAATGCTTCGTACTTGAAGTTAGAAAATGGTTAAAAGATCATAATTTTCCTCAAATAGCGTTGTTGCTTCTTGAAAACGCTCCCGGTCATCCCTCTGAAGAAGAACTAACAACTGAGGATAAATGCATCACTGCGATGTTTCTTCCGCCAAATTGCACTGCACTGATTCAACCAATGGACCAGAATATCATTCATTTTATTAAGCAAGACTATAAGAAAAACCTACTTCTGAGAGCCGTATCAAAAGACCAACCAATAGAAAAAACTTTAAAAGAATTTAATATGAAAGACTTGGTTTTTGCTCTTTGTCAGTCGTGGAATGCGTTACCGTCATCAACTATTAAATCGTCTTGGAAAAAATTATGTCCAGATATAGTCACCACTCCTAGCAACGTTCCATAAATCAGTGTTACTTCGGAATGGATAAAGAGAAAAATGTTTTTCATGAAATGTCTGACGAAGAGATTATAAAAAAGGTTTCTAATTATACAACAAACAATCAGGAAAATAACGACGACGTGATTGCTCCACAAGTCACAGCACAAGACGCAATGAACGCCTTTGAGCTAGGTTTACAATAGGCTGAAGAGAATGGTACATCCTACAACGAACTTTTACTTTTGAGAAGACTGAGGGACAAAGCTCTGATCTCGCGTTATAACAACCTTAAACAAAAAAAATTGATAAATATTTCCAAGCTTCATAATTTGATAAATTCATTAATGATTTTGATTAATAATTCTTGATTATTTTGGTACATACATATGTATGTGCATTTATGCTTAATTTTATAATAAAACGTAAGCTGTCTATTGTTATTTAATTTACTAAATTCGACATACATAAACTATGTATAATTTGTACTTCAAAGTACATACATATACATAACATATATAATCTTACCATTGGATATGTAATTTGTCGGATTACAAGGTACTCTTTTGTAAAAAATTCCGGACTATAGGGGGTCTTAGGCAGTGCTCTATAATCCGACAAATTCGATAGTCCGACACTGCCCTGCATAATGTTTTAAAAAGTAGGGATAATTTTGATTACCTTCCATGCTTTATGAAATGTATAAGATCGCAGACCCTTGATACTTTCCACCGAATTAGTGCCAACTAACTTACCCATGAACCCGTAGACTAACATGAGGCTCTGCACATTGGGGCAGTAAATAGAGAGGGCAAAAGCCGTTGCCGCTATTATGCTGCCCATTATGCAACATAACCGACAACCGTATTTGTTGGCGATGATACTTATGATGGGACCTGGACACATTGTTGCCCCAGCAAGGATTGAGCCCACCCATGCCGTTGTACCTTTCGATTCATGGTAATAGTTGATCTGAAAAAGAATTCTTATAATAGTACTTGAGAAAGAACATAAAAAGTCGAGTGACCACTGAGATCCAAGGCAATCCGATTTTCTGAGACCTCCGGGGAGAGAAGAAAACGGTCCAAGGTGACCTAGTTGCCAGTCTTCGCATCCCCACCAGTACTATTACTACTACTGGCCCACCCAATGGTGTATGTGTTACCGGCAATTTGTATAATCCGGTACTCTATACAATACCTAGGTAATGTATAGAATACCTGAAACGTGTAGGTAATGTATGAGATATTATTTGTTTTATACTTTGCCTAGGTATTCTATACAATACCGAATGCGCAGCCGGCAATGTATGTAAAAGACGAGACCTAGGAACGGGTTTTGCTCAAGGGGAAGGGTGGCTTCCAGAAATATCAGCTGCAAAACAGCTACAAGGCAGCTAAAAAACCAAACTGGAGGAGTGTGAATGGTGGTTCTCCACAATGCCTTCACACGCCAAAGGTTAAAATCCCATAAGAAAATGGACGGGGTAGCACCCAAACCAAAACAACTAAGCGTAAGGTACTAAATGAGAGGGGTACTCCGTAAACTGGTGTTTGGGGGTCTAATATCCCAGAATCTGGAAGTTCCGCCCACATCACAATCTCCTCAGAAAAGTAAAAAAAATTGTTAATTCTGATAAAGTTGAGTTTTAATAATAGAACTAGTTTCATTTCCCCGTCAGTTTTATATGTAAGTCGGTTAACATTGATAAACTTAGACCAAGATCTATTTATTTTACACATTGTCGGTGGAACAGCAGGTACTCTATACAATCCCTAGGAATTGTATTCAATACCTAGGTAAAGTATGTAATGGATAATATTCATAATATTCCATACATTGCCTAGGCAAGCCAGGTATTCTATACATTGCCTATGTGTACCGGGGAATAACGACAATAGTCCATCCGGACTGATTTTGAGAAAATCGGTAATTGAGGTTTACTTACTTGTTGGAAAGTAAAATTGATGAAAAAATAAGTCGTAAAGAATATCTTTGCTAAACAGTGTATTTATTGGTAAAATAGAGTATACAAAATGAACTTTTACTCAAAACTAGTAACGTAACAAACAACAGATGACGTTCAACTACTGTCTCCTGGATGATCAAGATATCAACTATTGATAAAATGATCTAGAATCTGCTCTCCCTCTAGAAATTTTGTCAGATCCTGTAGATCCTTCCATTTCTTACTTTTAATTCGGATTGGGCACTGGTAAAGTTTTCTCAATGTTTCCTCATTTCGTTTTTGTTGATCTTTTTGCGTCTTTTTTAGATTCTTCCGAATTGCCTTATCAAATTTAGAACTAGCATATAGGCCCATGTATGTCGATTTGTGAAAAACTACGCGAGGATTCTCATGACAAAACTTGAGCATCCTGACTGGTCGGGTTGGAAAGGGGCACTTTGTTGGATAAAACGGCGATAAAAATGTACTCCAATCTTGAAAATCAAAATTTTTGCCACAATCTGTAAGCTCTTTGGTTCACGAGACTCATCTATCACACTCGAGGTATGAATGCCCCCTGATCGGGAATATTTCTTTCACAGTAGTAAAACGATTTTTCTTGGTAACCAAGTAACGCAAAAACCGAATAACTGTAAAGTTTTTATTTTGCCGTGCACAGGAGTCCGAGAAAATGGCAAGTTCTCTTACTTCCATAGGCAGGATGTTAAAAAAAATGTGACACAGCACAGAACAGACATCGTCAGCTTCTTTCTTAGCAATAGATTCATCGTAGGTATAAAAGATAGAATTTGAGTTTGACAGAATCTGGATGTTAAACCTGACGAAATTTAGTTGCCGCTTATAGTAAACATCATTTGTCTTGATATTTGGACAGGGCAAGTTTTTTTGGTAATCCATCGTGATACTTTCGATAACGGGGAACTTCGAGGCACGTTTGCAGTGAGTTCTCTTTAGACTGTAAAATCGCTCACTCCTTTTCTGATGTAGTGTCTTCTCAAGTATCTTTTTCTCCAAATTATTACTTGCTGACTGCCTAGTTTGTTCCGTGTGGGAATTTAAGGTAGCGGTAAGTGAAGATATATCAGCTTTTCAGGAATCACACGTACTACAAGTACCTTTTCGTGGATAACCGAACGATATATTGAAGTTGTTTTCAAAGATTTTTCTGAAGGATTCATAGTAAATCTTGTTTTCAATATTGCCATTTTGTGCAATTTTGCGATATTTAGATTTTCAGGTAGGTACGGCCGTTGCAACGCCGCCTTTCTATATATATGTAGATTGATGCCGTTTTCCATACACGCGCAGGGACTCATGCCATTCTTCCCGGGCACAGGAAATCTTATAGCTGTTGCTTTGTGAACCTAAGCTCTTTTTACAATTTAAGAAGCTGATTACAAAATAGCATCAGGAAAATGCCAGCAAAATAGACTGAAAGCTCAATTTATCCAATTAATGGACTAATGCCGTTTTTCTCCGGTACCCTTCATATGCATAAACATACCAAGTTACGAGTATAACCGTTGTTATTTATAATCTTCTTACTCGTATATGAAAATACAATCGTATAATATTCAATTCAGTAAAGAGAAACATGAATCAGAATCTTAACGTAGTTTACTAGGGAATGACCAACATTCTATGTTTTTATCAAGTATTAAAACTTTAACATTCCACAAGCAAAAAAAATATCAGCAAATTTACCATAGTTGTTGATTTCTTTGCATTCGTATGAAGTATGTATATGTACAGTGTCTAGAATTCACTCTTATCGGTACATTCATGTTGATTTCTGGTGAAAGGTAGAATCAGTCAATTTGATCATTCAAGATTTTGTGAAGAAAGCCAGAGGTAAGATTTTGAAATGTTCCATCACCAATCGTGACTATGAACAGTGATACTCGCCTTATACGAGGGCGGTTCAATAAGTACACGTGTTTCACGACAGATGGCGCTCCTGAAGGAAAACCGGCACAACAAATTTCAGTCTGATTGATAGGTTAGTTTGAATTGGGCAGCCATTCGAGTAACACGTGTTTCGTGATTTTTGCTAAGATGGAAATAGAGCAGTATCGTTCGGTAATTCGCTTTTTGTTTTTGGATGGGGAAAAATGCGAGGAGATAAAAGCAAGGGTGGATGCTGTTTATGGGGACACTTCGCCATTCATGACCACAGTTAGATATTGGTTCAACGAATTTAAACGTGGACGAACCTCCGTTTTTGATGAGGATCGACCAGGACGCTCGGCAGACGTGTTTACCGAGGAAATCATTCAAAAAGTCCACGACATGATTCTCGCTGATCGACGAACGAAAGTGCGCGAAGTAACAGAAGCCGTCGGTGTGTCGACCGGAACGGCAATCAATATTTTGCATGATAAGTTGGCTATGAAAAAATTGTCTGCCCGATGGGTGCCGCGATTGCTCACTGTTGACAACAAGCGGTTGCGGCTGTTAACTTCGAAGCAGTATTTGGAGCAGTTTAAGCGAAATCCGAAGGAGTTTTTGCGTCGAGTTGTCACCGTCGCTGAAACTTGGATTCATCATTACATACCTGAAACTAAGCAACAATCAAAACAATGGATTTCTCCCGGTCAATCTGTTCCAAAGAAGGCGAAGACGGTCCCATCGGCCGATTTTTTGGGATGCGAACGGTGTCATCCTCGTCAATTTTTTAGAAAAAAGAAGAACGATCACTAGACAATACTATAGTGAGTTATTGAACCGCTTCGACAAAAAATTGAAGGAGACACGGCCACATTTGACTAAAAAGAAGGTACTGTTTCACCACGATATCGCACCAGCACATTCATCCGGAGTTTTCGGCGCCAAACTGCATGAATTGCGTTATGAAGTGCCCCCCGTATTCACCCGATCTGCCCCCCTGCGATTTAGCTCAAACGAGGAAGTCATCGCCGAGACAGAAGCGTATTTTCGAGATTTCGACAAATCCTATTTTTTGGGGGGTTTAAGAAAATGACAGGAACGTTGGGAAAAGTGTCTCTTTCTAAAAGAGGATTATGTTGAAAAATAAAAAGAATTTTTTTGGAGAAAATGGTGACTTAATTTCTAACACGGGTACTTATTGAACCGCCCTCGTAAGCCTTATTATTTGAGGAAACACTTATTACGGTGGGAATCTCTAGGGGGTTGAGCTCCAAAGCCCCCTCCCCTCCTGAATACGCTCATCACAAAAAATAGCTTGCAGTCCCTGCAATTTATAGTGAGGCTCCCAATATTTTTATTCCTCCACATGTAAAACACACTCACATCTGTAGATATTCTACAGATTGTTAAAGGGACGTTCAAAGATGTTTTCTTGTAGGTTTTAAGCATCGACTACTAAACACAGCTAGACCCGGTTAAAGATCCTGAAATTGGGTGAAGAAATCGCGAAGCTTCGATTCCGTGTAGCCAGAATTGAATTGTTGACCGATCAGTGTAACGTTTACAAACTCAATTAACATTGCAAAACGTCAGTTAAGTAATTAGAATTGTTTTCAAGGCTAACCTGACCAAAGATTGATATCAAATGAACAAGCTACGCTGATTTGGACACTTTCATCGAATTCAAAATCTTGGTAACTGTGACCATGAAAGATTTTCATCGTACCCATCAGGTAGATTTTCAAGACCTTGCCTTCAGAATATAAACGGACAATTTTCGCTTACCAGCTCTATAAGGAAGATACCGAAGCAGTAAGAGATTCCATCCACGACTAGATTGCACATGAAGCTGGCAAATACGATCACCCAACCGTACCCTCCGTCAGGTGGCGCTGGAACGTCATCTTCCTCGTCTTCTTCTGGCCGCGATTCGGCAGCTAATCTGGCCTCTTCCCTATGAGCTATCTTAGCCCTTGCCTGAAAGGAACAGTATATACAGAGTGTTGTCTAATTCAATGCCATTTTTTAAGGGGGAAATTTTTCGTCGGTCTGTCCGCTAATTTTATAACCGCCTGTGACTTGAGAAGTAATGCTCGGATTTTGATGAAATTTTTACACAAGTTTGTCAGTGAGAGACCTTCTATTATTGTGAAGCTGGTGATCTCAGTGATACACAATGCACCTGTTAGACATAATAAGTCACATACATTTTCTCTACATCTGCTATGGAAACAGAAATATGGTAGATTTGCTTTATATAACTGTAACGACTATATCAAACTTGATACGCAGAAGTTGAAGATTCATCGTACCTAAGTGATTCAATTTCGCCTTTTGAATCGATTTGACTCGTCCTTTCTCTTTGAAACCTCCAACGAAAGCGTGGAAAGTATAGAGTAAATCTACTTTACGCCATTTTTTTCCACCAGTGGCGTTCGTACAGAATTTTACCTGTCTATTTTGGCAGACATTGATGGTACGTCTAAGCAAATTTGACTACCTGACTTCTTCCCAATCCGATGCATGTTTTTTGCTTAAATAAATAAAAAACGTTTCTCTGCATGATCACAATATCGTTAATATGACAGTATCACCATGCAGAGGTATAGATTTTATATTTTTTTGTGTAAGAGATCAAATCTACTTAAAAATAAATACAGATAACAATTTTTATTCTAAGAAAAGTCAGTGGCATGCCGCTGATTTATTTTCTCAAAAGTTGAGACGTTTGTGACATACGTTTTAATAATAATAATAATAATAATAAATGTCTTTATTGAAACCTTCGAATTGAGGCAAAGTTTAGCCACATGGCTACTCTACCACTTAACCTCAAAAACGAAGTGAAAAAATAATAATAATAAGGACAATAGTACAGTACAGAAAAATAAAAAGAAAACAATGAACAATTACAGAATGTATAAAGCATGAAAAATTTACAAAAGCTACAAAATCAGTCGGCTAATCATCAGGGATTTTTTTAAAAAGGCAATTCCAAAAGAGCAGATTTGTATTTAATTTTAAAAACAGGTAAGCTTTTGGACTTGAATACCTGGTTGACAGAGTTGTAAGTCCTGATAGCATTGTACGTAAAACATCTTCGGAATATACATGTTCTGTGGAATGGCATACCGAAGAGATGGTTATGTCGTAGGGCTCTAGAAATGACTTGACCACGAGGTACAAGTTTGTCCATAAGATAAATGGGTGACATTGTGGAAATCAATTTATGGACAAATACACCCAAAGAGAAAGTATAGTGTTTATCAAGTTTTAGCCATTTTAGCTCTTTTATCTTAGACGATACGTCATCATACCTTCTGAGGCCATATACGAACCGACAACAACTGTTTTGGATTTTCTGCAGTCTATATTTAGTGTTATAATCAATACAAGGATAATAAAGAACCAGCGAATAAAATATTTTAGACATAACAAGACTCTCAACAAGTTTTTTCCACGTTTTGAAATTAAGAATGTGCCGGTTTGAATATAATAATTTTAACGATATATACGTGGATTTAAGGGTGGCATTCACGTGCTGATTAAAACGGAGGTCTTTATCCAAAATAACGCCCAGGTTTTTTGCTTCGTTAACTAAGGGTATGACAGTATGATTCACAGACAGTTGGATTAGATCAACATCATTAACTGGAAAATTATGTGGACTAAAGACAATAGCATTCGATTTACTAGGGTTTTTCTTCCTTAAATGGAACCAAAAATTGTCCCCTTAAATATTGACATTCAAATAGGAAATATCCTGTACAGAGAAGCTTTTCTCAGTCAAAAATTTTCATTCTCGTCCTCCGTAACTAAAGAAATCAAACTAGAAAATTACCACCCGATGTACTCAAAAAATTAGCTTCCTTATTCACCGACATAACTAACATACTGTTTGGTTTTATTGCGCAAAATTTCCATTTTGGTCTCTTGTAGTTGCGTGAACGAAACTCGGCCCACTGACGTAATTTGAGACGCTTTTCAAATATGAAAAACCCTCCTAAAAAAACTCTTTCCAGAGTGTGTCTCAATTTTATTAAAGTTCATTTTTCAATAGAATGCCCTATTTTTTATCAAATTCACACACATAACAAGGATTCTTAATTAGTTATTGAGTTATTAGATATCTTATATAAAAAACAACAGGGTTTACCCAAAACAGTGTTTTTCTGAATTGTAGATGCGCACGCATTTCTGAAAATTTTCCTTCAGCAGCTTAAAGCAGACACAACTATTAACTTTGGCCAAGAGCGGATTATATGGGGGTGTCCCCCTCCCCTAGATGTCATTTTTTTTTCAAGAAAATGATATATGTATATTGCTGTATCTTAGTGTAAAAGTTACCTTGCTATATCTGAATCGTGAGACGTTCACATCTACCCCCTCCCCTCCCCCGCTCCAAATGAGAAACAAGGGTATTTACCCTCAGAAGTGCGGCTGAAATACTTAGGCATGCAGCCGCCGCCCCCTCCCGCTCTTCAACTCTAAACCGTCGCTAGAGCCCCCGACACGAAAAGTTCCCGAAGACACGAATGCTGAATCGCGCCCTCCCTAGACAGATTTCTAAATCCGCCCTTGACTATTGCGTTTAATTAAAATATTCAACATTTATCTACGATGTCAATGATCTCCAAAGATCTGATCTAAATTCCATATTCAACAAGGCCAAAAGTCACCATTGATGATTCATTAGCAATATATTAACCAGCTTTCTTAAATTATCACGTATTATTGGAAACGTATCTATCACAGTCATTAACGTATACACACAAAATCTAGATGCAATCTATCTCCATTTTTACAAATGACTTCTTTAACGGTTTCCTTGCATAACAAAAGGTTATATCTAGATTATTCTAAAATCAATTGTATTTGACGATTTTCAAAAATCGCTTCGTTTTAACCGTAACCAAATTTTGATAAAGAACGTTTTATATTATCAACAATCACACGCGACGCTCCTAAATCTATAAAGAATGTTCAAAATTCATAACTTCAGGTAGAAAGCCAGACGTCAATATTCTCATCAGAGAGCGCGCGCCTATTTTAAATACACCACGGTTCCACGGTTCGTTTTTTAGATAGTTAGTACCTAGTACCTGTAGCTCTGGATGGCCTCGTACGAAATAACAGGGGGTTGGAGAGTAGAGATCATGCAAATCATAAGTCGGAAACTTCGATTTCCGTATTGAAAACCAACGACAAATAGACAGGCAACAGTTTTAGGATGGTATATAAATCGCCCCTCAATTTTTCCGATTTTGTAATAATACAGTGTAGACTACAGCTGCTGCTCTCACTTTGTTATAAAGAAACGTTTTGTAGCAGACCACGCGACGGAGCTCACATTTATAATATACGAGTATAATATAATAAAATAAAAAATAAAATTCTATAATGAATTAAAAAAATCATGTTAATGTTTGCTTATCATTTATTCCAAATTCAATCCATTGTTCTTTGTTCGAATAAGCTTACGCCGCAATGCCAAGGTAAAAGCGTATTGCTGCTTCAATCCATTTATACCTATATGAATGATTTTAACTTAAACTCATCTATTAGTATAGGAAAAGTGTTCCCTATTTCTTACAATTCTGGATAAACAGCTTTTGATATTCAAAATTCACAATTCCAAGCTTTTTGTTAAGTTTAGCTGATATAAAAATGAGTAAAAACTTCCTTACTGGGTTCATGTTTTCAAAAAGTTGTCTTTATCCGTTTACTGCTAAATATCTTGACGTCATTTGAAGTTGCAGCGTTGAAAAATAGATGTCATACACAAAACACCACGAGAAAATCACCGACTTACAGAACTAATATCAAAAATATGCATGTATCGAGCAACATATGTTTCATAAAACTGGTATGTACTGAAATTTGTGAATAATTTTAACATATTAAACTTGATAAAATTATGCAACTGTATGTTGGACTGATAATTATATTCTTGCTGATATCTCAAAGACCTTAACCTTAATGTATGTGAACCGTATCAGGATGCTTTGTTTTGCCAATATTATTGATTGGAATCATGTACCCCATATTAGTACAGTCAAATGAATTGAAACAAGAAAGGCAATCAAATCCATATAGTCACCTGTGTATATAGTCTTTTTCACGAGTATCCATTATCGTAGAGTTACAGCTGGCAACAGTATACATATTTCAGAAATCGTGCATTAACGCTCGTGCGAAGAGGAAAAAGAGATTATTTACAAGCTGTTCAAAATCAGGATATAAAAAAGTTTTATAAGACCCTAAAGGCTTTCAAAGTACAATCTCAGAAAGATTCTACAATTCCCGTGAGCTTGTCAGATCCGTATGAAGTAAATGAGGCATTCATTTCAATTTTCGAGAAAATAACTCAAAATTCAAATTTCAATTTAATAAAGTGACTATTGACACCGTTGTTAAAATTATACATAAAATAAAATCAAATTCTAGTGGTACAGATGAAATAACGTTGCATATGATACTACACTATGTATACCTGAAATTGATGTGTACTTAACGCATATTATAAACTGCTGTTTAGAGAGGGGATGTTTCCCCAATCAGTGGAAACGCGCTATAGTTATTCCGCTACCTAAGTGTTCTGACCCTACTAACCATGGTCAACTGAGACCGATCAGTCTACTGCCAATTTTTTCTAAAGTATTGGAACGCGTTGTTTACGAGCAGCTCTGCGCCTATTTATATTGTAACAAAATTATTCCATCTAAACAATCTGGATTTCGACAAGGCCATAATACAGCTTCGGCACTGCGATTTAACAGACAATATAACAATGGCACTTGATAACCAAAAAGCAGTAGCTCTCATACTTCTTGACTTTACTAAAGCATTTGACACCATTAATCACTCACTCCTTGTATCTAAATGCAGTTACTATGGATTTTCTGAAAAACCTCTTTCGTTTATTCAAAACTACCTTGAAAATCGGTATCAAAAAGTTCGTCTAAATCAACAGTACTCTACGGAACAAAAAATTTGTTCTGGTGTACCACAGGGATCAGTCTTAGGACCGCTATTATTTTCATTATATATCTCAGATTTAGAAACAGAGGTAAAATCATGCAGCATACAATTTTTTGCAGATGATACTCAAATTTTCTATTCATTTAGGAGTAATGACTTGGAATTTGGAAACGGCAAATAATAAAATTAATCAAGATCTTGTCCAAATTGAAAAGTTCAGTAGTAGTCATAATCTTCGTTTGAACCCTTTGAAGACAAATATGTTAGTATACGCAAATAGAACAAAAAAGAATACATTTAAAAGGTAATAAATTAATTCCTGTGGATCATTCGAAAAACCTAAGTATTATAATGGATGATGACTTAAAATTTGTTGCACACGTGAACTATCTAATTACTCAGTGCTACGCTATTCTCAGAGTTTTATTTGCAAATAAGGCTATATTACATAAATCTGCGAGAAAGCAATTGTGTAAATATTTCGTATTTTCAAAGATATCGTATTGCTTAGTGGTTTACTATCCCTATTTAGATATTATAACAAGAAATCGTATTCAAAGTATTATGAATACATGTTGCAGGCTTGTAAATGATCTCAGAAAATATGATCATATATCGAATGCCATTAATGAACTAATAAGGTATAAGTACCAGCTCCTAAATCTGACTCATAAGGTTCTTTATTCAAAAACACCGTCATATTTAGTAAACAAATTCATACGTAGAGGGAATATGCATCGTATTAATATTAGATATAGAGAGACTTTTTCAATTCCACGCCACAGCACGTCTCTATTTCAGAATTCATACATTTACAATGCGATCAAATCATATAATTCTTTAGACCGCAGTTTAAAAGAAACCAATCCATTATCCAAATTCAAGAAAAAAGTGAAAGAAGTTCTTCTTGATCAGCAGCGAAATCGGTTGTAACCCATAAGTGTCCTCATATTTTCCTTATGTATTTACCTGGATTATTCGTTATTGTATACAGGTGCCTATTAATTTTCAAAAAATTCTTTTTTTTTACATGTCGTATTGTTAAGAGGGATAGATGGTAGAATAGATTTATAATCTAAATCTCGCCTCCTGTAAGAATATTACAAATAAAAGACGTTAATTATTAATTATTATTATTATTATTATTATCTAGTAATATTTCAAAATTCCCTATAGCCGCAAACGACACATAATTCTGACGGACCCGTCAATGCCAGGTAGACAGTTTTGATTTTTTGTACACTACAGATTCATTTTTACTTGCTAAAAGCTCTTTTATTTAGAAAAGTTCATTAGCATACAAAAAACAATATGCTACAGACAAGTTTTACTAGATTTACACCCGATTAATTATTGCCATCGTTGCAGACTAACACAAAAATGTCATTTGCTGATCAGCTGTTCACCTCAGTAGACGTCAAAGCGTGATGACTCGTGAAATAGGGTATAGGCCATGTTTTGGTCATTTTGGACCTTTAACCCTTTTCACGAGTGCCAAGGTCCTGTTAGATAATAATCTGCGTTCGCATTAATACAAATTCCCGCGAATCCAGACACCCAAGGGCGCACTCAGGGGGCAGCTGCTCCACGCCCTTTTCTCTAGCTCGGCAAAAATTAAATGAAGAGAATATGTTCTACAAAAATCAAATTATACGATGCTTTTCTTTAATGTCCCCCTCCACTTTGATTTTTTGAACGGATCAATTAAAACTTGAGGTAATGAAATTGATGCGTGGATACCATATTTTAGAGTAAAATTGACAGATGAAAATGTCAAGATGGCCGCTGGGCGCCATCTTGGAAAAAAAATTTATATGAAAACGGGGGTCTTGTGGCACATCATTTTGAAGCTCCTGACGAGTACTTTATAACCCTAGAATATAAAGTCAATGCCTTTACCTACTACAAAATGATGGTACATTTAATAATTACTTGAACACAAACCAACTAACATGCATATCTCTACAAATAATTGTAATTCCCTGCCGTATCCACAGCAACAGCGATAAAAATTTGTTTTGTTATTTTTTGTTACAAAGACAAGAATATCAGTAGGAAAACAAACATCATTGTACATTTAAAATATTCTTATTTAGTTTTCGATTTTAGTGCTAGATACTGTTTGAACTATTTTTAAAATGGTCAATTCTCGTCCATTGGAAGAAAAAAACAAAGCGATTTTTATTTATGGTGCGACACGTAACTTTCACGAGACCGAAAGAGAAGGAAGGAAGATTTATTACTTGGATGAAACCTGGATAAATGCAGGACATACAAAACCGAAAGTATGGGCTGACTCTACAATTAAATCAGCAAGACAAGCTTTCTTAGATGGATTAATCACTGGCCTGAAGAACACGTGTATCTAACCAATTCGTCTTTAATTTGTGTTGTAAAAATTTTGTCAAGTAGACTGAATCTCTGAGCCCACGCTGAAAATTTAGCTATATCTGGTAGATTTGGAACCAACACTTGTTAGATACTCTGCATGTATTATTATGTTTTCTTGAAAACTACTCGTATATGAAATAATTATTTCCAGGAAACGGAAAACGATTTGTTATCTCTCACATTGGCAGTGAAGATGGCTTTGTGCCCATTGCCATATGGGCATTTGAGTCAAAAAAAACTACCGACTACCATGAAGAAATGAAAGGACGATGTTTTGAAGAAACGCTCTCAAATCTTGACGACAATGCCGTCATTGTACTTGATAATGCTGCCTACCACACTAGAAAACTAGGAAAAATTCCCACAATGTCCACAAGAAAGGCAGAAATTCAACAATGGCTACTATCAAAAGACTTTAGTTTCAATGAAAATATGATCAAAGCAGAACTTATCCATCTAGTCAGGCAGTACAAATATAAATATAATCTTAATGTTATTGACGAAATGACTAAAATCCAAAATACAACCGTTTTAAGGCTGCTCCCTTATCACTGCGAATTAAATCCCATTGAAATGATTGGGGCAAATATAAAAAACTATGTAGCTTCAAACAATAGAACATTAAAATTTTCTGACGTGAAAAATTTATTTATTAATTTATAGCTATATACATGTATATAAGTTGTCAGCAGAGTGACGGCAAACCATTGGAAAGATTGCATCCGTCGTATTCAAGAGACAATCGAAACAAAGATGTGGCATCTGGACAATATGATCGATATTCAAAGTGTAATAATTAATATTAACCATTCGGACGATGATTCAACTGCTTGTTGTTTTGTCTGGGCGTAAATGGACTACGAATGTGGTTATAGACGCGTCTATTCCAGGTAACCTCTTCTTAGAAGTTTAACTACCTGCTTTCAAAGTGTTTTGACTTATTGAACACGTGGAAGTAGGAATTGGGAAATAAACAAAAGCTTAAAAATCTCAGGATTGCTCATATTAATGCAAGATCGTTGGTTTCCGGTTTTGATTGTTTCAAATCATTGGTAGAGGATAATGACTTGCACATAGTTGGTGTATCCGAAACGTGGATCTCCGATAATATCCCTTCAGATGTTGTTAGCATAAGAGGTTTTAACTTATTTAGATGCGATAGGCAGGGTAGAGGTGGAGGTGTTGCTATTTTTATAAAGAGCGATACTGTCAACAATGTACAGGTACTGAGCTTTGATAATAGCTACAACGAGCTGAAAATTGAATTTCTGTTTCTCTCGTTTAAAATTGGTAATACAAGTTACTGTGTAGGAGTTATTTATAAGCCTCCAAATGAAAACTTATCAAGTATGTTAGAATTCTTGGATAATCTACTACCACAACTCATAAGCGAATATGACAGTATACTGGTGTTGGGTGATTTTAATATTAACATGCTCGTGGAAAATAAAATAAATGATTGTTTTGAAATATATGGTATGACCCAAATTATAAGTGAACCGACTAGAATAACAGAGAGAACTTCTACATTATTAGACCCTATA